GATTAGAAGCAACATAATGAAGTCCCCTACCTGTCTATTGCTGATAGACATTCTAAGCTTGTATCTTCCTCTTTCAGCAAGTTATTTCTCAAGTTACAAATATCAAACAGTGAAACATGGTCATTAAATGGCCTATATTACACTATTTACTGATCTATGTTATAATATTGTTTCCTCATCAAAAACATACCTGGAGATGAGTTTTGTTTCATTCACATGTTTAACACACAACCTTGGCATAATTAGGCTAAGTTCTTCCCTCAAACGAAAAACACTCTGTTTCACCTTGTGATGTCATGTGGTAATACAGGAATTGCTTCACTGTGTTTTTAAACTCCATACACCTTCACTGGAATTGCCTGGATAATTTCAGCCCTGGAATAGTGAATCTCTACTGAGAAAAATGTAAATGGTACCTGTTAACTTGAAAAGTACCACTACATGACATCACAAGGTGGAACAGAGCATTTTGAGCTTTGGCGATGTAGACACACTAATGATAAAGGGTTATTCAAACATGTGTGAATGAAACAAAACATTACTCCAGGTATTTTTTAAGGAGGCAACAGCATTATAAAATGACTTAAAAAGAATGAATTTTGAGTAATATGGGACCTTTAACACACAAGCAGATAAACAAACATATGCAGGAACCAAACCAAACCCTGCCCTTAGACCCACCACAGCAGCAAAACCATCAGCCTTTTTAATCACTTTATCTTCTCCGCCTCTTGCCAGTGGCTAAGAAGGACTATGCACTAACCATAATGGCATCTCTCAGTTATTTTAGTGTTTTGTTGGTTTAGTTAGTTTTACTCTATAGTTCCTGGGTTTGCTATCATAGCATATTATTGTATCAAGAACTTGACCCTGTGTTTGAAAAAGAGTTCAGAGTTTGTATGTCAGAAGATGTATTTTCGATGGACAAGGCTTTACTGATTTAGTTGACATTTGTGCATTGTGGAGATCCTAATCCGTGTTGACTTTGTGAGATGCTGTGGTAATAAGATGCGTTGGATTGGAGATAAAGAATATTTATAACTACAGGTTTTATCTCTAGCTGTTATTTATGGCTGTGTGCAGAGACATGTGGCCAAATAGGAAGAGAAATAATATCCTTTGACTGTTCAAGGTTATACATTAGTGAAGATTTTCTACATTAAAATGCTAAGGACCCACAAAAAGGATGTTCATGAATCTCATAGTCTCTCATTCACATTTAGAAGATTATATCGTAGGTGGAAAGAGGTCCAAATTTGTGTCACAATACAAAAATGTAAAACATAGATTTCAATTATATAGAGACTGACATTTTCAACAAAGTCTTTTTTAAGTCTAATGAACATTTTAATGAACTATTGTACAATTTTCAGAATGATCAATGAAAACAAAGTCCAGAACATACTACAGAAGGGAGGGCATGTGACAAAATTAAATATAAAATACTTCCTGGTTGGACACCGCAGCAGATATGACACGTGGAGAGTCGTGTAACCTAGTAACCATAACGTAAACAAGGGCCAAAACACCAAAATGACAATACGTAATACTAATACTATAATACTTATAATCTGATCAGACTTATACAAATAAAACACAGTGTCATTTAGTGAAACGAAGGCTCAAAATGTCAGAAAAAGTCCTTCCTTGTGCATGAATTGCCTCTGCATTCTGGATGGACTTTTCCTGATGACATAAGCAGAGGGTCTCTACTTCACAACTCAGAAATTCTCCAACTTTTTCTTTTCTACTTTTCTTCTATGTGGTCTAGTTCTGATCAAGACTATTCAAAAAGATGTGTCCATTATAACAAACTAACAACTAATTTATTCCCTTAAAAACATCACAGTAAGTAAATACAATATTCAGGTGTAATGTTTTCTATGCTTTTTTAAAATTATGATACTAGTTTTTGTAGTGTCTTGAACAAAATACTGATGCACTATTGAAGAAAATGTGGACATCAGTTTCTACTTTGCCTGCTTTAGTCCGATAAGTGTTGAGCTGTGGAGATGTGATTCACTGGTGTGGTCCATCTGTCCTCACTCTGCTGCCAGAATAACACAGTTACAGCTACTGTTTCTTTTGACTTGTTTTTCTGTTTGTCCGTCCACATGACTGACTGTAGACGTGAGGATTTAGATTGTCACCAAGATTTTTAGTGCTGTCTGCTGTATTCTTGTCTATTCTCATTTTCTCTTAAATGAACTGTCCATGGTAGCTACATCAGCATTTATGGATTATTGTTATCAGTTAAATAGAAAACACTGTGTCTGAAGTCTAAATAAATCAAACCATATATATCATACTATACTATACTGTACTATACTGTACTATACTGTACTATACTATACTATACTATACTGTACTATACTATACTATACTATACTATACTATACTATACTGTACTATACTGTACTATACTATACTGTACTATACTGTACTATACTATACTGTACTATACTATACTATACTATACTATACTATACTGTACTATACTGTACTATACTGTACTATACTATACTATACTATACTGTACTATACTATACTATACTATACTATACTATACTATACTATACTATACTATACTATACTGTACTATACTATACTATACTATACTATACTATACTATACTAATACTATACTGTACTATACTGTACTATACTGTACTATACTATACTGTACTATACTGTACTATACTGTATACTATACTATACTATATACTATACTGTACTATACTATACTATACTATACTATACTATACTATACTATACTATACTGTACTATACTGTACTATACTATACTATACTATACTATACTATACTGTACTATACTGTACTATACTATACTATACTATACTATACTATACTATACTATACTACTATACTATACTATACTATACTATACTGTACTGTACTTTCATGCAGCTAAAACCTGGAACAGTCTTCCTGAACATGTGAGACAGGCCTCTTCTGTGACGCTGTTTAAATCCAGACTCAAAACATTTCTGTTTAACTGTGCATATAACTGAAAGGTTTTCATTCCGCACTCTTCTCTCTTTTTTAATTTTAATCTTCATGATTATTTATGTTTTGATTTGTTTTTATTATGATTTTAATGTATTTCTTATTCTGTAAAGCACTTTGAATTACTTTGTGTACGAATTGTGCTATACAAATAAACTTGCCTTGCCTTGCCTTGCCTTACTGTACTGTGCTATACTATACTATACTATACTATACTATACTATACTATGCTATGCTATACTATGCTATGCTATGCTATGCTACACTATACTATACTATCCAAACTATACAGTACTATAAGATACAATAAAATTAGACTGTTAATCTACAAGTTGATCTACTAAGACCTTTTAGTTAAAGGTGCATTGTGTAACATTTCTGGTGGAGGGCCCATCAAATGCTTTTCACCCTGAAAATGTCATTGCTCTGACTCGAAGATTTCACTGTATGGTAATAAAACTTTCTATCTACACGGAGACCAAACCAGACCAAGTTACAGGTCAGATCTGTGGAGAGGCAACCCCGCTCACAGTCAGAATACCTGTTTTTCTAGGTATTTTTGAGCTATAAAACCACCTGTAATTTGGTAGAGCTGTTTGATGTCATACTGCAGAACACCAGAGAAGGTACACAATGCACTTTTAATTTTTTCAGTTTTATTCACCAAGTTTCTGTTCTTTTCTGTTTTATTTGTTGAGTTTTGTTGAGAATTGTTGTTGTATCTAATATGATAGGAAGATTTATTAGTTTTTTTTTTTACCTTACAGTATATATGCCAGTGAAAACACTATTTACTGTAATCGTTAAGAATCCAAATACTTCTTAAATTGACAAGTGATATTTATGTTCACAAATAGAAACTAATTTTCAGCAAATATCCAAGGCCTGTTTCCTGTGAACTCCTCCACCGCAGCAGCAGTAGTCCCAGTGGAGTGAGTGTTTCCACTGTATAAGCATGCGATGTATTCACTATTTATGAGAATTCATGTCAAATTCATTGCTGCTTTATTCTTCCTGTATCTGTGTGTGTGTGTATGGCCACAGATGTAAACAGCTCTATGATCAATGCAGGGATCCCTAGATTAACCAAACAAGACTTAATACCTAATTTGGACATTAATTAGTCTATGTGTTAGTTGACAAAACCCTGTGATTTCCCATGATGCCCTGCACAGTTTAAAGTGGGCTCTAGATGTATTGTGGTGGAGCTTATAACAAGGTGGAGATAGGATCATTAGTGTTTCACAGTAAACAATAAAAGCAGCTTGTTTGGTTGGTTAGCATTTTACCTGCTTTCTTGGATACACAATTTACCATGAATTATTTATGAATGTATAGATTGCGTAAGGTCCTTGGAGATATTCTTTACACTGGCTTTTTCATCACACAGTGTATGTATGGGCTATAAAGCATTTGCTGCTGATCGTCCTGTAATAGTGTTTCTTCTCATAGTGGGATATAATATTTAAATAGTTGTTTTGGAGATTATGCAAAATTAGAATACCAAGTATGTCATCTATACTAAAAACTAAAGTGCTGAAAAAATAGTGTCTCTGCAGGACACAGAGAAAGGACACTTACGTCCAGATGACTGTTCCTCTCCTCTGACACAGGATCTGCTGACCCTACCTGACCAGTCCTCCTGTTATGCTACACTGAGACCTTTGACTGAGACACAAAGGCGACTGAGAAGCGTTCATTAATAAATAGTCCTTTTGAACCACTTCTTTAAAATCCAACTCTGAATCTTTTTTTTTTTTCAAAAAAAATAAAATAAAATTCATCCACCACAGAATTGAAAGTTGTTTTACATTATGAGATTTTAATGTTCCTTATTTAGCTTTTAATCTAAAATGTTCCCTCTATAATCTGCACTGAATCCTCCTCCTCATCCTATCACCTCTTCTATCTTCACAATCCCCTGTCATAGACTTTACCATATCCTTGTTTATAATGTTTCTCTTTTCTCCCCAGTGCACCCCCATCGAGGGCCACGGCTTTGTGTTGGACAAGTACAAGTGCCAGTGTCGCCGCGGGTTCTACCATCCCAGTCGAGTGGCTCTCAATGGATACAGAAGTAGGTTACAAATCCCCTTGTGGGGTACAAAAATACAGAGCGGATTGTACTGTCAGATAACATAGCTTGAATCTTTTAAAAGCCCGCTGTAGAGATTTACTAAGAAAAGCTAGATTTTTTGGATAGAAGTGCAAAAATGTGTTTTCAAGAAAGTATTTTAAATCTCATTTTTAAAAACTTTTTAAAAACTCAGGAGTTATTTTTCACATTCACCACATTAGAACAAAAGAGGTCTGGATCACAATTAAATAAACCCATTAGGAAATAAATAGCACATTGATAAAAGTTATTATGCAAATCAAATGTAGCTACAGTAAAAAGCGCTTTAAAAATTCTACATACCTTATCATCAGACATATTCATAACTCATAGTAGCGTATGGGATCACCAGAGGCATACTGGCAGATTTTTAAACCAAATGCCCTTTCAATTGCCACCAGCTAAATTACAATGGCTTAAGTGGGCAATGTGGTTGATGATACAACAATATTGTGCCTTCGTGGACTTGTACCGGCAACCCTCCAGTTTGTTGACACTGGTTTCTGGATCTCTGGATTTAGATGATTTTAACCTGCAAAATGGAACCATTTATTTTATCTACACTAGCAGTCAAAAATTTTAGAACACCACACTTTTTCCAGTTTTTTACTGTTTACTGTTGACCAAAACATATTCTAAACTTTTGATTCATGAAAGTGTCCACCTTTGGCAGATATAACAGCTGAACACACTTGTAGCTCTTTCTTTTTACAATAGAAAATATTCAAATATTCTTCAAAAAGTTCTTCCCAAGTCTGTTGCAGAAGTTCCCATAAATGTATGGCACTTCTTGGTTGCTTGGCTTTCACTCTTCTGTTCATTTCATCCCAAACCAGCTCGATGGGGTTTAAATCTGGAGACTGTGTTAGTCACTTCATGTTTTCAAGCTCACCATGTTCTTTTTTCCTGTGGTAGTTTTGGCAGAGCTTAGACTTTTTTTTGTTATCTTTTATCTTTTTTTAACCTCTGGCTGTTCACTACTTACCTTTGTACCATTTCAAGCTCTTCATTTGGCTTACACGACTTGAATTGCAATAAATAACTGGAAAAATTAGGGTGTTCTAAAACTTTTGACCGGTAGTGTACATCATCTCACAAATTGCCAATTTTACTTTAAAATACAGCTCAAACACAGTTGCTAGATTTTTCTTCACTACAAAGTGATACATGTCATATTTTGCATATTGTGGGTGTGTTAGATTCAGACAGTGGAGTTTTGACACCTTGACTGAGGATCCTGCAGTGTCTTTAGGTAAAAAACTCTCATGAAGAAGACATCAGAAAACCACATAGCTCTAGCCCTGACTGCTCCAATATGGCCGCCCGGGGGAATGAGACAATCAGCTTTATTGTGGTGCAGCACGGTGAGGCCAGAAGTGAAAGTAGTCAATCTGTGGTCGGCATCAGTGAATACAATCCAGGAAAACAATTTAGTGACGTTTCCATAACAACGGGCCAAAAGGACAGAGGTATCAAAGAACGCAGACTAGAAGCAGGAAGCTGGAACAACAACAAATGAACTCTAGGAATGTGCCGCAAATGTCTATAAAATGTGCCATTGACTTTTCTACTACATTAATCTGACAGTGCGTACATATAGATTGTATAGGAGTACTTAGAGGAGCAGTATTCATAAACTTGGAGAAGCCATAGTTTGGGTAACAACCTGTGACGGAAAGAGCATTCACCACCGCAGTGAAGCCACACACACTTCCAAATACGGCATCATGATTTTTGGGGGAAAAAAAACAACTATTGTGATTTTTCTGACAAGTATTGTGATCGTTATTTGATTTGTGATTATGTTGGAAAAAGTAGGATTTTGTTCAGAGTGCACATTGTTAACAACTTCAGGAGCATCATTGTTTGAGAGATTGAAATATGATCTGATAAACAACAAGACATTTTTCAATAAATGGGAAATTTTGTTGTATACAGAGGACATTCTAAATAATTGCCTTTGTGATTTGATAAATTCCCCTTTTCAAATTTGGATTCATTTACAATATATTGGGCTGATTTACAAAGTTGGAGATCCTCATGTACTTAAGGCTTTTCTTAATTACTTCCTATCTCCATTGCTGTTTCTGAGATATGCTCAACCCCAGAGACCCCTAGTGACATTTAGTGACCAGTCTTTTGGCCCCAAGGCTTTACTAATTAAGAGATATTTGAAAAACTTCATTATTGTTCCTACTGTATGAATGTGGGTGTATAGACAGTATATGATTTCAGTGTGTTTAAATGTACTGGGTTCTACTGTGTAATATCATGTTGAGTGTGACGCCAAAGGGCTGCTCTATCAGGGTTCACACTGGCTTCACACCTCTAACACTTCTCTCACTCTGGAGTCAAGTGAAAACAATTTATACTATTTTTATCTCAGACTTCAATTCACTGTTTGTATCGTTTAAAATAAAGCAATGTCCTGGTTCAGTCAAGTCCCTAAATGTAGGTTCATTACCTCCGCCAAGGAGGTTATGTTTTTGCCGGCGTTTGACTGTTTGTTTGTTTGTTTGTTTGTTTGTCTGTTAGCAACATAACTCAAAAAGTTATGGACCGATTTTGATGAAATTTTCAGGATTTGTTGGAAATGTGAAAAGGAAGAACTGATTTCATTTTGGGGGTGATCTGGAAGAAATCCTGGATTCTGGATCACTTTGAAATTTTAGTTAACATTGTGGTAAATGGGGCCAAAAATTTTGTTTCTCAATATCTCGGTTAATTATTGACCAAACCCCATGAAATTTGACTCAGGGATGGACAATGGGATCCTCTTTCATATTCCAAAGGCTGATCCGGATCTGATCCAGAAGACTGATTTTATCGCAATTTATATAAAAAATGGGGGTAGTCCTTGGCGGAGGTCTGCGCTCTCTGAGTGCTTTTCTAGTTGACTTTGTAATGTATCCAACACTTGCTAGACTTTGATTAGTCTATCCTAAATACAAGACTGCTCTATTTGCTTCTTTATTATTCATATTAAACTTAATGGTTTTTATAATTTAAATTGACTGGGTCTGTAAAACCTCACATTGTAAAGCCAGTCATACAGTGGTGAGGGATTTAGGGTTAGGGTTAGATTCTGTTTATTGTAGCTAATAGTAAATGGTCACATTTTTATATAGTGCTTTTCCACCTTCAAGGCACTCAAAGCAATTCAGTTCAAACATAAAATATATTGATTGACTTGTACCACACAAGTTCATTATTTCTTTTATATGATCAATAATAACTTCATGAAATAATTAAGGGTATCAAAATGCAATAAATGCTTTTATTGCATTGAGGGATGTGTTTTCGCTGAATTATGGTGTAATATATGTTTCCATTAAACATATTGATTTATAAAATGGCATAAACCCAATAAGAGTTTGCCTCTTTGTGGATAGAGGCGCAATTACTCAATATTAAAACGTTATAGAAGTTATGTAAGAGTGAATAGCCCCCCAAAGCATAGTTGAATAGTTAACTAGTTCTATTTGTAGATTTTAACCATTAGATCAAGAACATTAATGACACAACAAACTGAAATAACAAATCAGACCCGACCTCTTGGCCATATCACTCTTTCTTTTAGTATTTCTTGGTGGAAAAATGGTGACGTGGCTGGTGCTGTGTGTGCATATTGTATGAGCCCCGGGATTTAACTGGGGTTACAGCTTATCAAGCACGAATCCACAACAAGCTGCTCACAATATTTCTCCAAAAATAAAGAATAGCAGGATTATAAATACACCATAGTGGTGTTTAGAAAGCAGCCCCCGTCAGATTAGTCTTGAGAGTTGTGTAATCGACCAGGAGTATTATTATAAAAATAGTTATGCATTGGCTTTAGCTCATTATTTTCACCGTGAATAACAATACAAAATCATTCCTTAGTAGAAGGTGAATCACTGTGGTTTTAGCAAGTACATCAGTGATAGTAGGATTAATATGAATAGCAGCACTAACAATTGTATGAATTCATAATTCAGCACCAATAATCAAATTCTTTTCTGATACTAAACTTTGTGTTACTACAGTCTGAAGGGAATTGACATGATTATGCTGCTATCAGGCTGTATCAGATTCCCTTTTGTTCATCGACGCTTCATAATTGCAGGTTGTTTTTGTCATTATCTCTCCAACTCAGTGTGATTAAGATGATGATGTCGTCTTGCTGATCAGCTGAGCCTTTAAAGGAGACACGAGTGCATCTATACATTTGAATTAATTACACTGACAAATCCTCACAAATCCCAGACTCAGAGCATTTGAGAACTCCTCAAAGAAGAAACATTATTTAACATAACATACATAACATACATAGATCATATCTCTGGCAAACAACACATTACATATATTTATAGTTGAAGAATGGCTCTGTGACTTTTCGAACCTAGCATTTATGACCAGGAGTCTGAGACTTGTAAGTACAGAACAGTGGGTGGAGATATATCACTCAAAATACAATTTTGCGTAAAGTTTAAAAGTCTTTTTGTACATTATATGCCCCCTTTAACTAACCTTAAGTATATAATATCCAATGTATTTCTGTTAGGTAAAGACAGAGAGGACCCATCGGAGGGCTCCACCAGGTGCCTGCCATGTCGAGAGGGATGCCCCTTCTGTCAGGACGATACCCCGTGTGTGGTGCAGGAGGACGGCGCGCTCAGGCTCTCTGTGGCCACTCTGCAGGGGCTCTGCATGCTGCTGGACCTGGCTTGCATGGTGGCCCTGTATCACCTCCGCAGAAATAAGGTGAATGTTTTTGATAATCTGAGTTAAACCTAAATATGACTGTCTTCTATCATAGACAACAATAGACTATGAGAGAGAGTTGTATGGTTAGTGTTATAAGGGGCGTGGGGGGTGAGCTCTGTGTGAGCCCCTGAGAATCACTGTCCGATAATTACCCTCAAAATCCATGGGCAAAATTGGCTTGAATTTTCCAGTTTCCATTTATAGATTTTCACACTGCCTTGCTCTTTCCCACATTTTTCAGTTCACAAGGAATGTCCTGAGAGAGTTGTGAATTTACATAAAACACCCAACATTTTCATGTGGAATATAACACGGTAATTAAATGAACCCCAGAAACATGGTGCTGTCACTCACTTTAGGCAATATCAGAGAAACACCAATTTAACAATGCTGTGGTGTGCTTGCCCTGAACCATGTGACAGATTGTTATTCAGTAAGTTGCCTCAAAACATGTTCAGAAAAATTCACTCATTTATCTGAATTCATTTATCATGGGGCTAAAAGAGAATAGATTGAAGACTTTATTTTTTTTTTCAATAGACTGACTGAAGTTTCCTCTCATACAGAGCATCCGCACATCTGGACTGATTCTGCTGGAGGCCATCTTATTTGGGGCTCTGCTGCTCTACTTTCCAGTAAGTATAATTTTATGGTGTATTCTAAGCATGTCTCACAGAGCTATCATAAAAAATGAGGGGTGAGGGGAGGACTTTGTTTTCATTCACTACCTTATTCACTATCTTCTATGGTTGGTTGTTTTTTTATATGTATTTGCTGTCTCTCTATGTCATCTTGTGTAAGGTTAAAGTGCACTTTATCTTTCCAATACACGTGACAAGATTGCAGTAGAAATATGAGCCACACACAACCACCAGCTGTAGATCACTCTACCCCCAGGTCTTATCCAGCATCATCAAAACACATTAGCTTTAGAAGTGGCAGAGAAGCGTATCGACAAACTACCTTTAGACCCATGGGCAGATTTTATTTAACAAGCTGTAATAATAGTTTGTGGGATTATTGTTTAGAAACAGATTAGTAGCACAATAGAATATCTTTACGCTCTACTGTATAATTGAAATTCATCTTTTGCTCTCCACATAATACAGCACAAGACAAGATGAAAGCAGCAGCCCTGGAAAAATACACTAAATACATTACAAAAAGGAAAAAAAGAGGCTCAGACAACAGAGTCAGAGGGTGAGAGGGTTCTGCCACTATGAACTTGGCTTTACTCAATGTCCTCTCTCTGTATAGCTAGCCCAGGGTTTTTTAGATCTTGTTGCCCAGTTTTGTTTAATTTATTTATTTTTTGTTGTACATAATTTTCTTTTGTAAAACTTTTTTTAATACTTAGCAAACTATTAAGAAGTTTTAAAAATAACTCAAAGGCTGAATCCACCCTAGTCCCTAACCCCTCGCTCGTGACTTGGTGAACTCTAATGCAATCATTTTTCCACCAGAGATTTCAATATAATTAATTTATTTGACTTTGTTTATGGTAAAAACACATTTGAATTTGAGCCAGAACATCCCATACAAATCAGAAGTCAAAATTGGATGTTATTTATATTATGGGTGTTATTTATATTATTTATATTATAGAGTTAATCGCTTGTGTAGTTGGCGTCATTGTGCACACATTCGTAGACCTGTCACAATAATTACTATATCGACTTATTGTTCAAAAAAAATTAAACCTGGAACAATATATTTTGGGGCTCAGTATTTATCTGGTGTACAGTTTTTGTGCAACACAGTGATGGGGAAATTTGTCTTATTTTAGATGTAACATGAAAAGATTTGAGCTGCCAAAAGTTGAATAAGTGACTTCTGTGGTTAAATATTGCTTTATTCTGCTTTCTTTCTGCTCATACCTTTTAATAATAATGCATATTTAAAAATGTGTTTACTGGAATTATCTTGCTTTGAGGTTATTATGTCATGTGCCATAAAGTAGTTTCAGTATTATCGTTTATTGCGGTATATCTCTGTAGCAATATATCATGCTTCAGAATGTGTTATTGGGTCAGGCCTACACATTAGTTTATATATGTGCTTCTATGGGAGTTTGCATTGTACTCTTGTGTATGTGCACACAGCCCACGCTGCACCTGGTGGGCTGCATCAGAAGTCCAACTTTAGCCCACAAACAGATGGATGAAACCTGTATGCCATGTCGGGAGATATGTGATGTAGCGGGGGAATTCGCTCTCCTCAAATACCCGCTCAGACTGCCAAAGACAAAGGCCTGGGTGGATTCCTGCCATTTGTTAAAAAATATGAGAGCAGGAAAATGGAGGACGATCTTCAAAGAACAATCTGACTCTGGGGATGAGAGGGTTTTGTTCTTCCTGGAGTCAATGCTACCATCATAGATATATTTACAAAGGAATCAGACATTTGTTAAGTCAAAGTGACCAGTTTTTGCATGGAAGGTATTTAAAGCATTTAAATCTATATCTTGGGTTCAACTCCCTGGTTTCTCTATAGAGTTTGCATGTTTCGCCCTGTGTCTGAATGGGCTTCCTCTGGGCACTCAACATGCTTAATAGGACAAATGTCCCTATAAGAAGCTACTGGAATCGGACAACAGACGTGAAAATCCTCTGTCCAAACTTGAGATGATCCAACCACAGTTGCTAATTTGTAGCACGTCTCTCTAATGCATCTACTCTCCAAAATTCTGTTAAAATTCAGAATAAAATATATAACTTATTTTACCTGAGAAATATGTTTTGGTGCTTTGATTGTTGATTCTTTAAAAATCCATGTGTTTTCTCACTAAGACATTGTAAACCTACAGATAACATGAACCACACATAGTCCAATTTAGGCATAAATGCATTAAAACATAGTGACCCAGATGTAATTTTATTCCATAATACTACAGTTCAATGTGGCATTTTATTCTCTCTTGGCTGTTGATGGTGTTATGGCTTCAACTTTTCAAACTGACATTTCATTTTATATCTATTTACCATAAACATTTTGTTGGAGCAGTGATGAAATTGGCGACAGAGACGTTTTACTGCCAGTCCTAAAACCTGATGAGAACGGGGAGATTTATGACCCTTGTAGTTGCTGCTCTCACCTCATGTGACCACACCTTGGCTCGCACACATTTCTGCTCTAAATGGATTTTGTATTTTGCAGCCAACCACCCACTGCTCCATCCAGCCCAAGGACCAAAAATAGCTCCCCTAAAATGTGCTGCCACTCTTTTTGACTTACACACACTTGAACACACTTAAGGGCTTTTTCCTCCCTTAGCGCCTCCACTCTTCATCTTTTCTCTTTTAGTGATTCGTAGAGTAGACCAAATCTGTGCTCCTATGAAAGCTCTGCTCAAAATAGAAGTGAGTCAAACTGAAGTAACAGACATCATTGAAATAATTTCGGGTGCATAGTTACTCTAATCACTAGCCCATGGTGAAACAACCATGAAATGTTAGTTTGAATAATTTGTATTTGTCTTGCTTTATAGATTCAGTTTTAAAGGTGTGTTGTGTAACTTTCCAGGTGAAGGATTTGTCAAATGTCTGTGGAAATGTATTGCTTTGTTTGGAAAGTTTTCAGTGTGGTATTAAACCTTTCTATCTTCATGGAGACCAAGTTACAGGTCAGATCTGTGGAGAGACAACCCCGCTCATGGTCAGAATGCCTGTTTTTCTTGGTATTTTTTGAGCAAAAACCACCTGTAATTGAATAAATGTAAGGTAGAGCTGTTTAATATCATACTGTGGAACATTCCAGGCAGAGCAAGGACATATCTGCAGAAACAAGCAGGTGACTTACCTCCTACCAAAAAGTTACATGGTGCACCTTTAAATAAATACAATACCCTCACTTTTATAGTGTGTTTATAAGTTAATTCCTTCTTTATGCTCATAGCTGTTCAAACCAGTGTAGTCTTTATTCAGTGTTACTTCATTATGATTTTTTCTCCTCAATGTTCTCTCTGCATTTTGGAAGGGTTTTGTTGAATGTAAAGGGTTTTCAAGTTTTACAAAATGTCATATTCATTTTGTGTTTTTATAATTAATGTCAGACATCCAAATCTCACCATATAGTTAATTCAGTTATTACCAGGCTTATCATGAAAACAAATTTAGAAGCACAATATACTGCTACAGAGAAATATAATGAAAAATTTGAATATTGAAAATATTTTATGCCACTGAGACAAAACAAGATTATCCCAGTAAACCATTTTTAAATAGACAGTATCATTAAAAGGCCTGAGCTTCAACAAATAAACAGCAGAATGAAGCAATAATTAGTCAAAGAAGTTACTTATTATAACCCTCTATAGTTCAACTCAACTAAAATAACAAAATCTCCCCATTACTGCAAAGCAAATATACACACAATGAATATTGATCTCCAGAATATATTGTTCTAGTTATCATATATTGATATAGTATTTATTGTGACAGGCCTAATTATTACTATTTTGTGTACTTCTGAAAAGCTCAAGCTCCATATTAAAATCTAATCTTTGTATCTGAGTAAAAATAGCTGTTTTAACTCCAACAATAATGCCCTGTATGACAATTATTTTTTTTCCTGAATATGTATTTCTGCTTGTATGCATTTCCATATTCCCTCTTGTCCCTCTATCTGCAGTCTCTCTCTTCTCTTCTGTTTGCCACCACATGACTGCTCAGCCCCTCTCCTCCCCGCTCAGCTGCTCAATGCATTTTTAAACACTCCATCAAGTTCTAGCACAAGTTGTTTTAAAAATACATCTACTGATTAATTGATGGCTGAGGCAAGGGAGGCGCAGCCGGAGAGCCACCTTCTTTATACTGTTTTATTATTGTTTCTATCCCCCGTGGCTCATAGACTGCTGTTTAGATGTGTCTGTCTGCAAATAGGATAAAGTTTGGGTGTTGTAAGTGGCGTTTTGTGGGTATGTGGGAGTAAGTGCTATCCTGGCCTAAAAATGGTTCTGCTCATGTGATTTATTATTTGTTGTGTAGTGGAATCGTTAGGGGGATGTTGGGTAGGGAAAATACTAAATACAAGGGGATATGCATGCAGTCTTAGAAGTAACAGTAACCCCAACCTGTAATAGATCATGTTCGAGAATCTATATAAATGACATTTTATTTTTACAATTCATTTTTACAATTTTACACTTCATCCAGTGGTGTCATGAATCAACACTAAAGACGTGCTTGTTGTGAGTTGAAAGGACTTTAAAACATAAGATTAATATGGTAAATTTGTGTTGCCATTTCTGAACAAATATGGTTCAATATTTGTGGATATTACTTACAAAAACAATACATCTCCCTTAGAATTATATAGACCTCCAACTGAAACTATGACATTATCAAATTCTGATCATAACCTATTCAGGGAACAGGCTACAATAGTACAGTTAATTATTTCAAATATTCATCAAAACCAACCTTTCTTGTCTACTGATTAATTTCCAAAATGGTGTATTATATAATCTTGATTACATTGCACATAGCTGAAACATGCTCACGACAGCAACATGACAGTTACAACTTTCTCACAATTAGTTTGTCATTTAAAGAAACCAAAAATGTAACTGTGTTCACTTCCAGCCTCTTTTTACCCATAATGCACTTGTGTTTATCTTGAAGAAGTTGTTATGCCGCTGAGGTGAGCTAGGCGCTGAGGAGTTGCTGTTTTTGCGGGTGATAAAAAAAGATAGCAGGTGAAAAGTGGTGTTGTTATTTAAGCTTAATTACCCCAGATAGCTGCATGTCTCCCGGAGGAGCACCCAAATGACGAAATGACAGCCACTGCACCTTAGGGACCCTCTCTCACTGTGTAATGAGTGTGGCTGTTGAACTAGATCCACCTGTTTTAAAGACACATAAATGATCGAGCGCTCAGAATAACTGCCGGGATATGTCAGTTTGATCTCCTCATGTAGTCCATCGCAGGTCTTAATTAGTTACAGAGCAATGGGCACAGCAGCTGGTTTATAATGAGGGTTTAAAAGAAATTAAGCAAATTAAGATGAAATTGTCACTTTAACTTGCTAAAAGTGGCTGTGGAAAAGTGACAAAGGCTAGCAGGATCACTCATTATGAAAGCAAGTGCTAATCTGCCCAAATTTGCCACAAGGAAGGAGTGATTAAAAGTACAAACATAGCATTCAATATTAAAGACTGTACTCTTTCAACTAGAGGCATTTTGAAATTATGAATTTGGCATGCATGTTTGAGAACAACACTGGGAGACTCCATAAATAATGGCCACTATCAAGGGGAAATGCAGTAGATGTGATGAAATTCCAATAGACTAAGCATCAGGTCTGAACAATGTGTTGGTACCATAGACTGTATAAAGAAATGGACTAAGGGAGTGTGACCTCACCTATAGCATTCAGCTCCACTCAAATGAAACTCACAACGCTGGCTATTATAGGGGCAAATTTGGAGGTGAGTTCCATATAAGGAGTAGGAATTTATTTACGGACAAAACAGCTAAATAAAAACACCATGGTATTTATTTATGTATTTATTTTGGGCATGTACAGATTTACATACTTATATAATGGAACATATAACATAACTGAAATCATAATAACAAGAAAAAATATTGCCCAAAAAGGAATAGAAAATTTATTTAATCCCACCCCCACTCTTCTAATCTAACACAATGAGCGATCTTTCGCATTTTTCAGACATTTGCATTAAACTATATGAGGTATTTACAAGTGCGGACCAAGCATGTTATAACTTGATAGTATAACATAATCATACCAACAATGGTAAAGTTAAAGATACAGACAATGGTAACAGAGAACAGATACAAATAATGCAATGGACGGCACATACCAGCAATGGTAAGGAAACAACAAACGTAAACCAGCACTACAGAAGGCAGTATTGTTCTAATATTATGACCCATTCTCTATATACTGTGAATAGACCATATTTTTATACAGCAACTTGAATTTAAGGATATTTTGGCATTGCTAGAGATGTATATCCAAACTGTTGCAGAGTTTTACACCACATATAGACATGCAGAAACTTTTATGGGTAGTTCAAACCTTGGGCAATTTTAAATTTCCATACCCTCTAAAATGATAAGGGTCATGTAAAGCGGGTTAATAAGAACATTTTAAGACCAAAATGACAAGGCTCACTGCAGCAGTTACAGAAAGACTTTAATGTAAAGTCAATTGGAGCCAGAGTCAATGGAGCCAGAAGCGCCCACATCCTATTTGAAATGTGATTGCTAGTGGGTTAGCTATGTCCAGTTATATGTACAGTCAATAATTGGTACCAGTGTGAAATGGGGCCAAGCTGATGTTTCAAATTTTATTTTAATATCTATTTTGTATGTATTGATTACCTCTAACCTACAGGTGAAAATATGATTTAGTCAATCTAGTGATGGTTTGCTCTTTAAAAAAATGCACTGCTTTGATAAGGTTCTTACACTAATGAGTCACATGTAGCCCTTATAGATATCCTCTTTCACGTTGTCCTTGACTTTGAATGAATTGTTAGAAGACATACCGAGAATATAGGGGGTCTTGTGGCTTCTTACAGGGACATTTCCATTCTTTCACACAGAGAAATTCATGCTGTATGATCGCTCAACGTGGGATTATACAGTGAGGAGATATGGGAGCTAACCTTTATCATTTATCTTGTGAAGGCTTCTGTGACATATGAAGTACGCACTGCTGTAAGGGGTCTATGGGGGGCGCTGGTGCTGTGGGGCCAGTCTGCTGCTTGCTGTAGGCTGGATATGTGTGTGTGTGCGTTCAAAAGTGTGTGCCTCTTTCTCCAGGTGATGATCCTGTTCTTCAACCCCAGTGTGTTTCGCTGTATCCTCCTGCGCTGGGTTCGTCTGCTGGGGTTTGCCATTATGTACGGCACCATTGTTCTCAAACTCTACAGGTACCAAAGCGCTTCTATTGTCCTTTGTATCACTGTTTATGTGTGCTTTTGTGTAATATCACAAAATACTCAATAGTAGGGGTAGGGCAACATATTGTGCCACATGTTACAATTGTTACAAGATTATGCACATATTGGTAAGCATAATTTCCATTTGTTTATATTTGGCTCAAGCAAAAATAAATAAATTTATAAATATGTTCAGTGCTCTGAACATCAAAAAAGCAGTTGGAAAATTACTGCTAAAATAAATAAAACTATAAGACCAACATTGTAAACTCATCTGCACAATATAGTTCTGATAAATTATGTCAAAATCTCATCTTGTCTTGTTCTCATGGACCCAATCTAACAATTAAAGTCTTAAATTGAATGAGATTCACAAGCAGAACATAGCAACTTTAATGTTAAGTTATTAATTTCTTGTTGTTTTGGGGTCCATTTTTTTAACTTTTAAAATGTTATGATAAAGTAATTAAAAATACTAAGGTTTACAGCATTATTATCTTCTACATTTCAGTTATTAATCTCATGCCGCCCACAGTAGCATGGTTTCACATTTGAAATTCACATCAGTTTTTGAGTAGGCCCTTGTCGAGTATGTATTCAGTCTCCAACAGAAGCCTCCTTCAGCTCAGAACAAGTGTTTCTGAGATGACAGAGGGGGTCAGAGGGCGTACAAGTGTTCCTTTGGCAAAATTACCAATCAGATTTTTCCATATCTCTGTGGTTATGAGCTGTGCCCCAGGGGCCAGCTCCTGCAGACCAGTCTGTCTCATTATGTCTAGGAAGAGGGAGATTTGTCACAGCCTGGCTCTGAGAGGTTTTTTGGATGGAAATGTGTTATTCTATAAGTCATAGTGAGAAAGTGCCACACATCAAAAAGAAACTAAAGCAAATTATCATTCAAGAAACTTTTCAAGAAGTCAGATTTAACTGATTATTTCCTAATTGGCTATGTGTTAGGGTGCGCCACCTGCTTGTCTTTCAGTAGATGTTATAGCTCCCAGAATGTTCCAATATGACATTAGTATGACATTAGCCATAATTTATTAAGTTGGCCTACACCTAGGCTCTATACATGTTGAGTGAATGGAAGTTTGGAATTTATAAATAAGGCTAGTTATCAACAAAACCCTTAACTCATAGTGTATGTATGTTTCAGGGTGTTGAAGGTGTTCCTGTCCCGCACGGCCCAGAGGACGCCCTACATGACGAGCTGGCGGGTGCTGCGTCTTCTCCTGGTCATCCTGTTGGTGGTGCTGTGGTTCCTCGTAGCCTGGACCTCGGCCGTGTGTCAGAAACCGGATCTGAACCAAGTCCTGATCAGTGCCGGCCTCACCGTGGATGGGCTCCAGTTCAGTATGTGTCTGCTGGACCGCTGGGACTACATGATGGCTGTTGGTAAGGCTCCAGAATACATAATGTCTCCTCTATGGCAATTCATGTAAAAATACTGAAGACTGAATAATATTTATGTTTAATCCTCCTTCAACTCAACTAATATATTTTTATCCAAAGAATATAACGGATTGTGAGTGCATCTGACACCTACAGTATATTATAACTGTTGTTACCCCGATGTTCATCTTAGTTAAATTAATTAAACCTATATTATTCCTACTAATCTTGCACAGAAAACATGTTTGCTTTTTCAAATCTTATTTGACAAATTTGGTTGTTTGTCACATGGAAATCTGTTCAATAATTATCTCTGAATGACTATTGAATTATTATAAATGACTCTCATCATATCCACAGATATTATGAACGTTATTGGGTAGGGCAAGGGCAGCAATGAGAGAACTTTCAAAACTCGATTTAAAGTGACAGTAAAAATGTGAAACTGGTGTATAGCCAATTGCAATGTAATATAGTGTGTAAATCTTTGGAGCAGTCTGTCTGGTCCAAAGGAAGTGTGAGTTTGTCAGAAATATTGGCTGCAGTGTGCTGGCTCTAGTGTAAGAAATGTCCTCAGGCTCCACTGAACGCTGGGGTCAAAAGGTAGACCGCCTGCTCCACCGCACCGCTGAAATATCAAAACAATGTAACACAATTCAGTCTGGCTTCCACAAAGAAAACCCCATCCTCTTTTTGTATCTTGCTTTGATAGAAACATGTGTTTTTAAATAGTTTGCAGTCTGAACATGCAAAGAAAAGCAGGAAAGCTATCTCTGTTTATTTTTGGCTTGAACTTGAAGCTACAATGTCTGTCTTCCATTCAAAATGCAAAATATTAATGTCATTTATTTTCAATGTCCTTAATAGCAAGATGAACCAGGTAAAAGTTTGTGTAGACCTACATTTGATATGAAACTACAATAACAGTGCCTAGTGTCAGTTATTGAACACAGAGAAGTATGTGTGTCCACAGCTTTACACTAAACACAAAATATTGAGACTTTGCAGCTGATGTTATCAACAATCCCTGGGGGTGTGATGCTAACTGTAGGCTCTGCTTTGTCTGATCTTTTTTTTTTTTTTTTTTAACACAATCTGACCAGAAAGAGCTGGTTTAGTTGGAACTACAACAGTCATAGTTACGGACATAAACAAGTTTGCATTAGAGTCACTTTCACCTTTTTTGTTGAAAAACACCTAAACAGGACCATGGGCTCATATTTATCACAATCTACTTGTTAAAATAGTTATTTAAATCCTTTTATGTTTTTTTTTTTTTACTTTTTTGTCTCTGATTACTAATCTGTGAATTGTGTCTCCATGGTAATTACTGAACATTTCACCACTGGGATACATGTAGAACACCCTCAGTGTGATGTCACTGCAAAGTATCAATAGTCTGATACTGAGGCTGTTACGTGGAGTGTCATTAGCTTCTTGCATACAAAGAAATCAATATATTGGCCTTCCTTACTCCATACATATCTTGTGGCTTGTTATGATACAACTATAGTTATATCATCGTCAAGGCAATAGGCTGTGGTAAGAAATGCTAACAGTAATAAATTATGATAATGAATCTTTTCAGATGATTTTGTAATTTGACCCTTTCTCTCACAGTAGCAGAGTCACTTAAGAGTCCGGTCAGTTCTGTCTGGTGTCATGAATTGTACACAAGGCAATAAATGGCATTATATTTGTTGTGGTCCATTATTTTACATCAGCTGAAAGGTCAGACCATGCACAGGGCTAATGTTATTGATTAGGCTCCACATATGTTATCAGAGTATACACACAGAGGCAGAGGTATACCTCACAGATATCCACAGTCATTTCATCTAATCTTTCATTTTCAGTAAATTTTCTTAAACATATTTTTATTCAGCTAAGGAATTTATTAGTGCTAGTTGGAAGTTGCATTGTTATAATTATTGTAATAATAGTTATTATTTTAGGGATGTGCATTTCTAAGGTGAAAAGATTTTGAGTAGACAGCTTTTCTAATTTTGATATGCCAGTGTTTTTTGTGTTATTTATCATTAATATTTCGTCAGTTTAAAAATATGTAACAGGTTTGATACCAATAAGGGCCATAACACTTTCTAAATTCTAGTTTTGAAATCGATTAGAATCTGAGTAATAATGTTCACACCTTTAGTCTGAGTATGTGTAGGTTCTCCTGTCATGTGCCTGTATACAATTGCTGAGCTTCTTTAAAGACACTGGCCGGCCACAGCAGGCAGTGATGGGCACCACAGTGAACCAGCTCTGACAGCAGGAGAGCGTAATCCTGTTTGGAGATGAAGAAGAAGAGAAGGCTTCCCTCAGAGATACTCGCCACATCCCTGAAAATATGACGGACAAGCCAAACTCCAAAAGCTGAAGAGGGAAGCTGTGAAGTCTGAAGCTTTTAGGCAACATGGGCAATGATGCAGAGAGAGAAGAGAAGGGAAAGAAAATCTCCAAATGAATGTGTGCAGGACTGTAATCTCTGTGTCTTTCACTTGAGCTGTAAAATGAGGGAGTCCAGCTGCTCACGCTGAGAACCTATAAGAAACGGGTGATCTGAAGGACAGAAGTCCCCTATTGGGATTAGATGATGGGAAGAGATTTTGCATACTGTCTGAATTTGTGTGTCGAAAATGTGGAAATTAATGTAACAGCTTTCATTGCTATATCTGTTTTTCACTCTTACAAGTCAGAAATTAGTTCTTGAGCCACATTTGCCAAGGAATAATAGTAGATGTAGTTATTATGTTAATATTGTGTCTCTCCATAAAAAAACATAGATTTGTGTTCTGTTTCATGCATGTTTCAATAATTCTGCCATCGCTTCGCACACGCACATCATGCACAGCTTGTGCACTTTTTTCTTTCTGGGGGAACCAAAAACCAGTGGATAGAGTGAGAGGCAGGTGCGGTCGATAGCGATCACACTTTTGCTATATATTGTTATAGTCAATATCAGTATATTGTCAAATATATGTATGTGTGTCTCTTAAAGTTACATTATGTAACTTTTCTGGTGGATGGTGAGCCAACATCTCCATGGATGTTATTGCTTTGCCTGGAATGTTCTACAATGGTATCATATTTACCCATGCTGCATTCAATTGCAGGAGTTTTATTGCTAACAATAGCCCGAAAAGCATGCATTCTTGCTGTGTGAAGACTCACCTCTCCAGAGATCTGAGCTCAGTGACATCACCTGCTTGTCAACATTGATATAAATGAGTTGAATGCCAGATTGTGGTACATTCAATAACGTATTCACATTCACTTTTCAGTGTCTGATCAGGTGCATTCCCTGTGCCCTCTGCTGGACAATGCCCTGTCCTTTACCTGCAGAACTAGGTTGTCCAAAAAGTAGTTTTAAAAGCCTGGAAAGTGCATGATAGGAAAAAAACAACCTAAGCCTTTTTCTCATTACTGTGTAAAAGGAGCTATTCATTTGAATGCACTTATTGCACTATTTGTTTGCATTAGCTGCAACACTTGTTCTTCTGCACTTACAAAACACTCTCTAAGCAACCTTTCCCAGACGCTAAGTGCCATGTAATTACCTCTGATTTATGGACAAGATATCTCCATGAATATTAATGCACCGTTCATATGAATAGCCCGACTCGTGTGTTTGTTATTGTTCCTGGAATACAGCAGAAACAATTGTATTTGAAGTGGTCATGGGCTTAGAGAAAGATACACTATATTATATTAAATGAATAAATGTTGTTTGCTCTTGGTACACGAGCTTTTATAGGCCTATTATTGAGGAGCATGAAGCAGTAAACTTAGAAGAGCCAGACATAATTTCATTTCTCCAATACAGTCTGACCGAAGAAGTTCTATTAATGAGTTTTAAAATGGCTATTGATTCCCTCTTGCAGGCCCATATTTTATTCTATTACAATAGCAATTTATGTGATAATGACTTCTACTGCCAGCTATAAAGTGTGAGACCTCTTCAAATCAAAGCTTCACTATGAAGATCTGATAAATATGGGCGCTCACTGACACAGAAGAGAGTTAATCAATAATGCTATGTCTTGTCTTTTCATTGTGTAGCTGAGTTCCTGTTCCTGCTTTGGGGCGTGTACCTGTGCTATGCCGTTCGGACCGTGCCCTCAGCATTCCACGAGCCTCGCTACATTGCTGTGGCCATCTACAATGAGCTTGTGGTGTCGGCCATCTTTCAAATCCTCAGGTCAGTATCTGGTAAGAGTGGGATAGAGGGAGGAGCACGTGTTATTATAAATGTTAGGTTTATATATGTAAATAGGCTAAATAAAATTATTATTGGTCCTATATTGCACAAAATTGACTCTTGTGTGCTATAGGCCATGTTAGAATGTTACCTACTCAAAAACATGTCTCATTCACAGATGTTTTAGGAACCCTGTTTTATTAGTTTGTCTACAGTTCCCAGAGCTCAAAATACTTGCACCTTGATGATGTGATGTCATGTAGTGGTAGCTACATGTTTTCACTTGGTTTAGTAGAGATTACTCCAGGGCTTTAATTATCCAAATGATTCCAGTGAATGTGTAATGAGTTTAAAAACACCGTGGAGCACTTCCTGCAAGAAAATGACATTACAAGGTGTTTTCAGTCTGAGAAAAGAACTCAGCCTAAATATGTAGGGTTTGTGTGTTAAACGTGTGAATGAAACAAAACACAACTCCAGATATGTTTTTGATGAGGAAACAACATTATAACAAAGATTAGACAATAGTGTAATTTAGACCAGAAATAGCTTCCAGTGAATGCCAAAGGCATAAAATGTGTGTTGTATCAGAGCTAACTAGATAAAAGAGAAGGTAAAAGTTGTGTAATTTGTGCAGTGGCCTGTGGTGTGGTGCTTCGTGGGACAATAGAAAGGTCACACTGAGTTAATCTGAGTGGAGCAGCCCACTGGCGCATTTTCATTTTCAGCTGTCGTCTGGGACTGAAACATTAGGGGTTTGTGAGTCTGCTGCTGTTTCTCAGATAAGACATGTGCACAGAGCAGGCTGAGTGCTAATTCAGCATCTTCATACAGCAGAGCTCATGGAGAACTCATCTGAAGATTTTAAAGTACAAAATGGAACAGAGCATGGAAAAATGGCATTGTTTGCATAAACAAAGATATTTTAAAGCAGTCTGTATTGCACATAAAGGAGAAAATGTGATGGTTAAGCCACATTCCCCCACATATTTTCCCACACTGCAGGTATCTGGAGCCCATCTCAGTTGTTTTCTGCAAGTGACAAAAACAGTTAGAACAAAGTAACAACATTAGGTGCACAGTTGTTAGGCAAGGCAAGGCAAGGCAAGTTTATTTGTATAGCACAATTCGTACACAAAGTAATTCAAAGTGCTTTACAGAATAAGAAATACATTAAAATCATAATAAAAACAAATCAAAACATAAATAATCATGAAGATTAAAATTAAAAAAGAGAGACATAAATTGGAGAGAAGAGTGCGGAATGAAAACCTTTCAGTTATATGCACAGTTAAACAGAAATGTTTTGAGCCTGGATTTAAACAGCATCACAGAAGAGTCTGTCTCACATGTTCAGACTGTTCCAGGTTTTAGCTGCATGAACCTGAAACGCTGACTCCCCTTGTTTAGTCCTGACTCTGGGCACCAGCAGGAGGCCAGTCCCTGAGGTCCTCAGAGTGCGAGATGGTTCATACGACACTAACATGTCACAGATGTACTTTGGTGCTCGGCCATGGAGAGACTTGTACACAAGCAGAGCTGCTTTAAAGTCTATTCTCTGAGGCACAGGAAGCCAGTGCAGAGACCTGAGCACAGGACTTATGTGCTCGTACTTCCTAGTTTGAGTCAGGACCCGAGCTGCAGCGTTCTGGATGTTCTGCAGCTGTCTCACAGCTCGTTTGGAGAGACCAGTGAGCAGACCATTACAGTAGTCTAACCTACTGGAGACAAACACATGGATAAGTTTCTCCAAGTCTGCTTTAGACAGTAAACCTTTGATTTTTGCTATGTTTTTTAGATGGTAAAAGGCTGCAGATGTTATTGATTTGATGTGGCTGTTAAAGTTCAAGTCTGAGTCATTATTACCCCTAGATTTCTTGCCTGATTTGAATGTTTTAGAGAGAGACTGGAGGTGACTGCTGACACTGTCCCTTTGTTTTTGTGGACCAAACACTATGACTTAGGTCATTGTCTAATTCTGTAATCAAAGTCTTGTTGGTATTTTTAAATAATATGTATTTATTTACCCACAGATTTTCCCTGGTCCCAGGACTCCATCCTGACTGGATGTTCATGTTGTTCTTCGCTCACACTCATCTGAGTGTCACTGTCAGTCTGTGTTTACTGCTTGTCCCAAAGGTGATAAACATTTCATACTTTTCTTAACAGTTTTAACAAATTAAATCAGAAAAGCATGTGTCTGATCAGAAATGAGGAGATGCACTCTTATAATTCTAATAAACCATAGTTGGAGTAGGTCTAATATTTTGTCCCAAGTCCCAAGAATTATTTTGGCAAACTTCGATCTATTCAATCAAGTAAAGCAAAGTTAAAACAGTAATAAGACAGTGTCTGTGCTCATTTTTTATGAAAATTGTGATTCATACAGGAGAAGGTTGTTTTGGTTTCATTGTGAAAAAATCAGATCAGATTGTCACTTAACTGTGAACCTGCTCTGTGTGGGCTGTATCACTATTCCAGCTGAGTCAGTTCTTTGTTTTGATTTTCATTATACTTGTAGAGTGAGTCAGCTGAGTACACGGGGATAATTAAGAGAGCATACTAATCTCCCAGCGTCTGGTCCACAATATGAGACAAATATTTGCTTGAGCCTCTATATCCAATATTATATTTAGACAGAGTTTTACGTTTGGTCATTATGTCAAAATCAGCATACTCAGCTTGTTTGCTATCATACACAATTAGCCTGCCAAATAATGAGCTCAACACATTTACATTTGGATATACTTCCTGCATGCTTGGTGGTTGTAAATATAACTTGTGTTTCTTTGTTTGTAGTTTTTGTCCAAAGGGACTCAGGCCAGGGATGACATTGCCACAGAGGCATATGAGGAGGAGCTGGACATGGGACGCTCCGGCTCCTATTTAAACAACAGCATTACCTCAGCCTGGAGTGAGCACAGTCTGGACCCCGAGGACATACGGGTACACAGACATTTGGGAATTTAATATTCACTATATAGTATCCTATGAATGACTATGTATTTAGGATTTTGAATGCATGTCTATGGCTATACATAAATACTTGTTCTGCCAGAGGATACAAAATTAAAAAAAAAACAACAACTTCAAAATAAAATAAAATATACATGCCACAAATGAAGTTTCACTGTTAATGTTATTAATGTTAAAATGAATTGATGCTTGTAATTGTTGCTTTTTCGAATAAAGTGGTTTAAAGACAAACAGTGAATAAATTGATTACATTTGGGCTTAAAGAGGTTTAAATTCCTCTTCAGTTTTTAATATCTAAAATACTTTATAATAGTAATAAATAGTAAAAATGTAATGAGAATTGTTCAAGTTCACAAGAACATAACAAACCAATTTGTTTTAGCCACATCTACTGTATTCTTCGTGCTGTGTTTCAGGATGAGCTGAAGAAGCTGTATGCCCAGCTTGAGATCCATAAGCGAAAGAAGATGCTTGCCAATAACCCTCACCTCCAGAAAAAACGCAACTCCAAGAAGGGCCTGGGCCGCACCCTGATGAAGCGCATCACAGAGATCCCAGAAACTATGCACCTGCACCGACAGGGCAGCCGCGAGGAGGGCAGCGAGCACGGGAGCAACCGCAGCACCCTCAGGAGGGGGGCTTTTGACCACCCAGGGCACCATGGTGAGACTAATACTACCTTTATGTAAACGGAACTACTTTCTTTTCTTGAGGTTTCCATCCAGAGGCAAAGAACAATGTAGAACTCCATTTCTGTTTTAAAACCTAATGTACTCTGCTTTTAGTGCACTTCAAACCCTACAATTGAAGCCTTGGGACTGCTAAAAAGATTATTCTTGTTTTGTTTTTAAAAAGTTTATGTAAGAAACCATTAAAATTTTCTGTATATTTGTATTTATGTTCAGGTAAATCTCGAGACGACTCTCTAAGGAACAAAGTCATGGCTTTAAAGAAGTCCCTGAGCTATGACCATGTCTGTGACCAGGAGGGGGCCGCTCCCAGCCCCAGTGGCTCAGCTGGAGGAGAGAAAATGACCCCTGTGGGAGGGGGCGAGGGATCGTTTTTGGGCTCACTAATTGGTCGAAGACACACCAAGAAACCAATGGACTCACCTGTGACCACCCAGACCCTTCAGCCTGCCGAATCCACAGAGTCTGTCCCACTCTTTTGGAAATCTGCCAGTGCCCACAACCTGACGCACGAGAAGAAACCAGTCCACCTGCGCACCACCATCATGCAGAAGTCTCTGAGTGTCATTTCCAGCGCCAAAGAGAAGATGCCCAGTCTAGCCAACAAGAGTGTGGAGGACGCCAATAAGAGGGGTCCGAAAGGGAATGAGGGGAGTACCCTAGCAGAGGTGGATGAGACCCCAGAACAATATCCAAAGATGATTGTGAGCCAGTCTGTGGAGTACTCCAAAACACCACTCAAGATGGGCATCATGAAACAGCAGGTATGCCTTTCAGAATGTACTAAAGTTTTAAAAGTACTGAGGTCCTCACATAAGAATTTCATTACTTCATTACAGAACTCATTAACTCATGAATTAGGTTGACATTTTGGTGGCTAAAAGAAACACAGCATCACAGACATCAGCAATGTCTGTGATGTTGTCCACACACAAACAGCATCTTGATATTTATTTCAGCAACATCTTAGCAAATCTTGTGTATTTACATGAATAAACTGTATTTGTAACTGACAGGTGAGTGGCAGCCAGCCCTCCATCTGTTCTGAGACTGGGAGGAGCCTGTACGATGTTTCAGAGGTGTGTCCTTGGGAGATGGAGGAGAGTCAGACCCCCACATCTGAAGTCAAACCTCAAAAACATGTCTCCATCGCACCAGGAGAAACCACAGCTTGTGGTCGCCGTGGCAGCAGTTCTGGGACCACCAAAGGTGTGCGCTCGCAGCCAAGACACAAAACTGGACAATCACCGGGCAATAGACGAAGAAGCAGGGATAAAGGAGCAGAAAAAGACGAAATGAGGGAGTCACGAAAATCCAGACCACAAAAATCTCCTCTGCCTTTAAAACCAGATGTATGTCCATGGGAATTTGAGGAGCAGCCAATCATGGGACCTGAGACCATTTCTCCAGACCGAATGCGACGAAAGAAAAGTGTCACACCCACCGATGGCAAACCCAAAACTCTACATTCGGACCACTCCAAGTCCACAGGGAGTCTGCTGCAGCCTCCATCACTCATGGTGGAGATTTGCCCGTGGGATTATTCCAGCCCCCCATCTCCCAAACAGGAGCGAGGGTGCAACAGTCCCAGCACACACAAGAAGAAGAGGAAAGGCTCATGCTCATCCAATCACAAAGCAGAGAAAGAAAAGGGACGGGAGAAGAGCAGGGAGAGACGCAGCTCCTCCAGTAAGCCATCTTCAGAGAGGAGGAGGGTGAGCCAGTCCTCGGATTGTCCTGGGGTAGTGGGGTCAGAGAGGCGGAGGAGCTCGTCCAGGGACCCTGAGGTGGTGTACCGGGACAGTGAAGCACCTCGCAGCAGTCTCTTACAGACTAAACCCTCCGGAGAGAGGAAGAGAGCTGCTGTCATCAGTGCACCCAACATGGCTGACGTCTGCCCCTGGGACTTTCCCAATCCAGACTCTGGAGGGAAGGTGTGAGGAAAACCATGTCATTTTTCATTCACAAAAACAAAAAAGACTCAGACAGGTTAGGCTGAGAGTTAAGATTATTATTTTTTTCAGTCTCTTTTTATGCTGATGGAAAACATTTATTCTTTCTTTCTTGCAACTCAAGCACAACATGACAGGGAATACAACCTTCAGGTCACTGTAATAATAAGTATTCCACTCTTTTTTCACCAAATAACAGTTTTAATTAAAGTAGACCTGACAATCACTTATTAGCATACAGTCGTCTCCACTACTCGACATGCATGTCCCTTGGTGTACTCTGATTAGGTTTAAATTTAGATTATGTGATAAATCAGCAGAGACTGACACTATTACATTTGATGATGAAAGGCAGTGGGGAATAAAGTTGTGAAAAAAGGCAGAATGAGCTGTGAGGTTTCTAGACACATCAGTGAAGCCAAATCTTTAGGCAAATGTAATTCATATTAGAAAGACATTGTGTTTGATCAGAGGAACCTGGGGATTGCTATTGTTAATCCTCCTGATATGAAGCTCATGATACAGTCATAATTGATTTATTTAGTCAACATTTGGGGAGGTTTTGTCATATAGGTTAATGCCATTAGTTGATTTGATGCTGTTTATTAATTTTATCTAGAAAATCACATAACTAATTACTTATATCTTTATTTATGCTTTTGCTTTGGTCAGTCTCCTCTGGGGTTTCAATACAAATCATCTTTATGGAAATGCTTATGATTTACTTATTGATTTGGCCTGGGTACATACATCAGATGCCCTTCCTAGTTGGATAACCATGCTTTTAATAAGGTTTAGTACTTACACAAGAATATGGAGGCTCACCACACCTTCTTTGTTTTGCATTTTTAATTAAGATAAACCCACATTACAAAGTAGAACACTTTTAGCCCTCAGTTTAAGCTTGCCTTGTTAGTTCTGATGCACTGCAGGTTTTCAGACAGATAACCATGCACATATGCATGACCAAGTAAACCCAACCACATATTTCATTGCAAAAGTCATTAATTTAATTTCTATCTACACTTCAATAACAACAGTATTTCTATCCTTTGACCACCCACTATTAATAATGAATACAGTGCAATGTAACCACCTACGTCTGTGTGAAGCTGCATCCTGATGTGCATGATCATACTGGGCTTTGTAAACAAAAAACAAAACAAAAAGTTAAGGGCCTACAGAGGGAAAACCACTTTTAAAAATGTGTCTCAAAGAATGTGAAGACAAAAAAAAAAAACAAAAAAAAAAAAACACATTTATAATATTTCAGTTTTGTACCAGGTTTTGTTGGACCTTTCGAATGGAAAACTGTGCACAAATATATGTATTTTATGCTTGTTCATTGTGTTATTACTGAAAGTTGCAAATGATTGTAGCGTCCACATGAGAACGTTTCTATTGTACATCATGTTGTGTTGCATGTACATAAGAGTCAATGCTACAGTTCTGAATTAAATGTTTGTATAAAAGTATAGGCTACTGTTTTGTATTGACCTCAAATTTTCTTTTACAGTAAGATCGGATTCATTTTATTTTTTGATTCTGGAAATGTATTTCATTATTACGTCTGGCTTTTGACTACCTGCTTAGGGTAACCAGATGTACCTATTTACCCAAGAAAGTCCCAGTTTTGATCCCTGTGTCCCCTGTCCCAGCAGATTTATCCAAAACCAGTGATTTGTCCCAGTTTTATACAAGAAATGGCCCAGGTGTCCCAATTTTTGACAAATTTGATAAGTGCCAACAGTAAAGCGAAGCATACATTGTCATTTCTTTAAGTAAAATACAGAAAAGCAGCTTAAAAATGACCAAAACTCTAAAAAAAAAAGTGACTATACTGGCTGACATGTTAGTTATGAATGGGCCGAGTGCGTAACAATTTTCCTTAATTACGCACTCGTTTCACAGTTTTAGTATTACTAGCCACCCCAAACCGGTTTTTGATTTTGAAAAGCTGGTCACTTCATACCTGCTTCTTCAAACAGGTACACGTTTTACCGTAAGGAAAATAAAACTATGCAACACTGCCATCATGTGGATAAATAACGCATTTGGGAAATGTATTTATCCAGATGGTTTGTCAGATTCAGTCAAAAGCAAATAAAACATACTATTTACGTTTACGAAAATATTAATTGACCAAAAAAAAAACATGTGCATTTATGTCATTTCCATGTACAGAAGGCTGTACTGATAAAAAAAAAAAAACTACAGTGGCGCAGTAAGCATGAGGGGCATTTCCGGGACTCTAGTTTAAGATCCAAGTTCTAAAGTCAGGGCAAACACGCAGCTAATGAATGAAAATAGCTCATGTATTTTCGAAATGCTTGAATAATATAATAATATAAATATATAATAATCCGCCCACTGCATGTCCCGTACTAAATGAATAAAACGCCTTGACGTCACATCTGCAGGACGCGAGAGGCAGCGGGACACGCACGCATCACTTTTGCTGCAAACTGCGCTTCTCTCATCAACCTAAAATCAACATTGAAATTGTTACATCTACAAAAAAAAACCCATTCAAATCCTAATGGGAAACGTGCAGGTAAGGTTAAAATTACTTCTTTAGCGATGTCACTTTAAATTTCCTGTTTACAGTATGGGTGGTGTCCTTCCTATTAATTAAATGTAGTCTACTATGAAGTGGGCAAATACCGAACAGCCAAAGCAGACTAAAACAGCTGTCAGACAATTAGGCTTTTACATGCTGAAATAGTCGGCTACTGCTATTTTTTTCTTTACTTATTCAATGTAGATCAAGTTGAATTTCCCATGATTACTATAGGGATTTTACATCAGTTTTATTGTTTCAAAAAATTTAAAAAGTGTAAAAATGTATGGTTTATGTTGCCTATTCAGTGGGTAGCAGAAAAATGAAGAAAGAAGAGGCAGTAGCAGGTCAAAAATGTTATTTCTGAGAACAGCTGATCAATAAGGCCGCATTGTGTTTGAGAAAGAGGGGTGGGCTGGAGCAGGACCGGCCCATGAGTCAGCAGCACTTCACGGCAGCGCCCTTTTCCTGCGGGACATTGCTCTATTATTCCCATCCATGCATAATTTATGTAGCTGAAGCCTGACCATAATTTACTGTGGTTAATATAATGTTTAATATCTTTCAATCAGTGATGACTTTGAAATTGTTCTTGCACAGCCCACCGTTGTCCCTTATGAGGACTTTGATGTTACTGCTGATATCAAGGAGATCAGAAAAGCCTGCAAAGGTTTAGGTAAGTCTCAGACAAACAGAGCAATTTGAATTTTGTTGGGATAAGGCTTAATGTAAATGTAAATTAACAACAATAATATTAATATATAACTTTTTATTGGACTACTTCCTTCATGTTTTTGGTATTGCATTAATTCACTCCTTTGCCTCTCTCCTACTCCTTAATAGGCACTGATGAGGAAACCATAATTCAGATCCTGGCCAATCGCTCCTCAGCTCAGCGTATTGAAATCAAGCAGGCTTATTTTGAGAAATATGATGACGTAAGTGTGTATTCCTATGATAGACTTCTTTAAACAGTCTATGGTCAGTGATGGGAAAAATACTTTGATAATGTATTTAGTTACATGGTGCAGCCAGAGTACTATATTCTGAATGCAAAAATACTTTCACACAGAGTTGCATTTAAATTGTAGTGTAAAGATGCAACATACAATAAAAACAGCTTTATATTTTTTTCACTGTTTGTTATGCATTTCCTGTATCTAATTGGAAAAGGAAAAACTACACATGCACCTACCACAAGAGCTGTGTTTTCTACTTTGCTCAATAACACTGTGGAGTTTAAAGCCTGTGTGATACCAAAATGTATCCCTTCAAATGTTTTATTAATAAAGTAGTAAAGATTAGTAACTGTACTGGAATGCAATTACTCAAAATTTGCTTTCTGAATACGTATTCTCGGCACATGCTACTTCCCACCATTGTATATGCTTCCTACTCCTTGTATTTGCAGGCACACTCACACTAAATATCGCTACAGTAATATAGTTTTGTGTTAGGAACTGGAGGAGGTCTTGAAGAAGGAGCTTACAGGAAGTTTTGAGAATGCAGTGGTGGCCATGCTGGACCCTCCTCACGTGTTCTTTGCCAAAGAGCTGAGAAAAGCCATGAAAGGAGCAGGGACTGACGAGGCCGTACTGGTGGAGATCCTCTGTACTGCATCTAACGAGGTCTGCCACTTAATTTAGTTGTGTATGAGTGTTGTGTGCAGTTCAAGTAAGAGCTATAATATTTGATCTGTTTTCATTTTTTAGGATATCATAAGCTACAAAGAGGCATATGCTCAAGGTGAATTTTCTTCAGCCACATTTATTCAGTCAATCCTTCATTTAACCAAGATATATATTTAGAAATTAGATAACTGTCTTATACTGCAGCTAAACCATAATAATATGGATGGATGAGGATGAATGAATACAGTGGGTTTTTTTTTTATGTTTTTGTGCATTAAATGTTTCAGTTCATGAGCGAGAGCTGGAGGCAGATATTGAGGATGACACTAGTGGAGACGTGAGGAACCTGCTGATTTCCTTACTACAGGTAACTACTCAGTGATTTGACTTATAAATAATACACTGAGTAAAAGATCTCACTACAGAACCTTGAAGCTAAAGGCTGTTTACACAATCAACATAAAACTAAAATAAATTATGTTAGGTCATAACAAATACATTGTGTTATAATTTTTGTAGTTAATTTTGATAGATAGATATTGACACACAGAAATCATCAACCACAACAGCAAGTCAAATTGGTTGAAAAAATCCATATGAGACGATCTCTAGTTCCTTTATCCATATCTTGCATCACTAAAGATGATTAGGCAAAATTCCTAAACAGACTTCACATTGTAGTTCAGGAATATGCTGCTATATAGAGATGGCTTCTAATCGCTGGAGGCATTAGTAACAAGCAGCTGCACTCACTAACAGTGTTGAAAACTTCTGTCTATCATTTTAAATCAGTACAGAACCTTTATTTGATGTGTATTCACTCATGATTACAGACTGGGAGCAAAAACAAAGCCCAGTTTTGACAAATTTCAGCAGTGACTCTATTGTTTGTGATTCCCCCACTGGGACATTGTTCACACACAACTTCATTGTTTTGTTGTGTCCTTATGCCAACCATGTCCCAGAGCTCTCCCACCCTCAACCGCTTCCAATCTCTCTCTCTCCTTCCTCCCTCTCCTTCATCCTTTCCTCTGAAATAAAAGACTTGCATTGTAACTCACTCCTGCCACTCAATTCTTCACAAAGCCAAAATGTTTGCTTTTAATATGTGCCACATGAGATTTATCCCACAATGTTATTCTCTAAAACTTTTTTGACCTAAGACCATAAACTGCATTACTATCTATACATTTTGTCTTATCAGCACCCACTTAAAGCCAATCCCTTTTCCAAATCCACCCTGTTTTTCTCCACAGGCCAGTCGGGACGAGGGCTATGAAGTTGACGATGACTTAGCTGAACAGGATGCCACGGCTTTGTTTGAGGTGGGTGTGCTTCTGTTAAATCAGATATATTCTTCCTTTTAAATACCACTTTAAAGTCAAAATATCCTCTTCCTAAATGATTGCACGTGTCGCGGGTTGAGTGGTAAATCCATTGTATTAGCTAAGCTTTGGTCAGGTCTGGTTTAGTTTTTGTGGCCTGGCTTAGGTTTCAACATGGGATTTTGAGATCTGTGTGAGAATTCTCAACCAAAGTGTTAAGTGTTTCAGCATGTCCCCTGTGCCCTATTTGGCCATAATTCATGTATTACCATATACATTTACATTACAGTACACATATCACATGTCTTATCCTATAATAATATGTAATGTTTGGTGTCTGTAACTATGAACAAAAACATGTAAAACCATCTGTAACCCTTTTAATGACTGTCTATATTTATATACAACTAAATTTCCATGGAGACAAGCAAGTAACACAATGCACCTTTAACTAATATCAGACAGTATTGGTGAGCACAACATGGATCTTACCTAAACTGTCTTACTTATAATAAAACCATTAACAAACTAAACAACATGCCATTCTTATAGAGGTGCTCTATGTCCACAACACACTCCCTACTCACTACCCACAAAAGCCATATGCAAACAGGTTGTGTGCATTTGTTTTCCAGGCAGGCGAGGGCAGATTTGGTACTGATGAATCCACCTTCAGCTATATACTCACCCACAGAAACTACATGCAACTGCAAGCCACGTTTAAAACCTATGAGAATGTAGGTACTTTTTATAGATTTCCTGGAAGAGTTTCATAGTATCCATGTTACAGAGTATTCCTCTAACAGCTCTCAGGCACAGACATATTGGACACTATTGATGCTGAGGCTACCGGGACGCTCAAAGACTGCTACATTACCCTAGGTACTATGAGGAAATATGATCTTACACAAGGTTAATGAATCATGGATGCTGTGCTTTCATAACATGTCTGTCTGTGTGTTTTTAAAGTGAGGTGTGCAAAAAACCCACAACTGTACTTCGCTCGACGCCTTAATGCAGCTATGAAGGGACTGGGAACAGATGAAGATACTCTGATCCGGGTCATTGTAGGGCGCTCTGAGGCAAGTGGCTGTCTATGAAATGTATTGGAATAACTTCTACTCAAAGATGTGGGTTTCAGGTGCAAGAAATTTTAGGTAGGCCTTCCAAAGTTATAAGATTCTGCCCATAGACTACCTACCCATAGTGTTCAGCTTGAGTCAAATGGAGCTCACAATTCTAGCAGTTGTAGGGGTAAATTTGCATTTACAGACAAGATAGATAAATAAATCACCAGGATCACACAGAGTGAGTTAATACGAATATTTTAAGACCAAAATGATGAACCTCACTGCAGCAGTTACAGAGAAGGGAGACAATTTTCCAATATAAAGTCAATTGGATGGAGCTGGAAGCGCCCCCATGAACACTTACTATTTGGAACGTGACTGCTGACAGGCTAGCTATGGCCATTTACCATACACATAGTCTATGATTCTACCACAGGGGGTCAAAACCCACTTTGTCTTATATTTTCTGAGTTTTTTTTTAAAGTAAGCAAGCCAGTACTTGATTATTGATTGATGACAGTTATATAATCAATAATTGCCAGTTATTGCACTCTTAGAAACAAAGTATAGTTTGTGATCTAAAATTTGATGATGATTTCAGTGATGAAATGTTGGACCCTCTCATTATATTTTAGGGATTGACTCCACAAACTTCCCATGTTAATCTTGGATGGATATGCCATTTTATTGTTACATATGGATAGGCCCACACATTTCAAACATATTGTAGGGATTCTATGTGATCTCTGATAAATGTAACCTAATATTATGGTGAGATCATTTTCAAGAAGTTGCTGAATTAAATTTTGCTAAATTGTAACAGTAGGCTATGTTTTGTGTCACAGATTGATCTGGAGACAGTGAAGGACCTGTATCTGGAGAAGTATGACGTGACTCTCAAAGATGCCCTGGACTCCGAGTGTGGTGGAGACTTCAAACGCCTCCTCATTGAGATTCTGCACTGAAACACCACACTGCCCCCTGCTGGCCTTTACAGCACCACAACATCTGTTCACTCCCTCAATGTCACTATTATACTACTATTAACAACTATTCTCAGTATTTATGCCAGTGTACATTTGAAGTAAATATGTCATTACTGCTGCTTTCATATGTATGGCTAATGCAGAAAACTTGCTTATCATATACAGTACAGCTTCTTTTTGTGTACATCAGATTTTGACCACCCAATGCCTTTAATAGTAATTTAGCAATGCAAATCTGCAGCAGCATAGAACACACAAGTGCCCAATATCCACTATCACTGTAACACTTCAATTACACTCAGTGAAGTCTTTGGTAGCTAAATGTTTTTAGAGATTTTTAATGAAGACTGCCCCTTGTCTTGTTTTTAATCTTAGCTAATGCTGTTGTTTCTACTTAGATAAACACTATGACTGCTTTTAATATCATAAAGGACAAGTACTGTTAAAAACAAATAACCTCAAGTCCCATCACTGTCTATGCTCACATACTTTATTATGCTTTTGTGTCAAAGTAATATATTGTAATACATACAGCACTGTGATGTATTGCTGTCACATAGAAAACCTAATAAATTAATTGCAACAACTCCAATAGACACAATTGGGAAATTTTGGTTTTTAAACTTTAAACTTTAGTTTTGCACTGTTAATGTGATCCTCTATCCAGTTATCACATTATCATTTTTTATTCATTCAAAACAGTGCCTAAAAACTGAAAAAGGACTTAGTGACGCCTCTGGAGGACTTCAAAGTGAGTAGAAAACACGACCAAACTACTTCCAGATGACTTTTCACTATCTTGCTCCTTCTTTCGAACTTTTTCCTCCATTTTTCTCCTTTTGTGCTGTTTCACGTTGTTTCAATATCAAGGGCAAGGTTTGGGCTACACCTGTTTCTACACATTCTTCCTCTCCTATAACAGTCTGTGCACCATATGAGGCCACATACACTGTCTGTCTCTATGGACTTTACTGTTTAATGCAAAACAAATGTGGGAGGTATAGACTATACAGGTCTTTCTCAAAACATTGTTGTGCTTTATCTTCAATATAATAGATGTGAGTAAATTTTACTAGCTTAACAGAAAATACATTATGACACTTTTTACTTATAATATAATTGAATGATTCATCTACAATTGTAACACACTGTTCTTCACATGTGCTATGCTGCTGTATGAGCTGTGTGAGCCAAGACTCCTTTTACTAATCTTAAGGACTTTGACCTTGTTTTTTCACAGACCTCCATAACTCAGTGAGCCATCTGCCTTCAGTCGTTTTAATTTGTCTCCAGACTTATGTTTGTTCACTGTTCTTGTTTTACTGTTTAAGTTTGACACAGGTCATTTTGTTCCACATGCATTATTTCTTGAGGGACAACCTTGAATGGGAGCAAATTTGGAAGTGTCTTTAGGAAATAGTTCTGCTTCTGCCCCCAGTAGTTTATGTCCCACTAACTAACTGATCCTAAAAAATAGGATTTATTCTACCATCTTCTGTGCAACATTATGGGAAGGTCATGACTTCAAAGGGAGATGAAGTCAAATGAACTAGTCTTTTCAGAAAACATATGCACATAAGCTTTTTCATCTGTGACAGAGGAGTGAAGAATGTCAAGAACAAAAATGTTTTGTGAAAGACAGATTAGGGGGTCTAACTGAATAACTTAAAGGTGCACTATGTAACTTTTCAGAATGGCATTAAACCAACTATCTAACTCCCACCAGAAAAATTTGATTGGAAATACCATGAAGAGGAAGAAAATCTTATGATGTTTATGGCGCTAATACTGCCATTATAACAAAAAAAGATACAAGCAAGCTATTCTTTCATTTGAACAAATTTAATCAACATAAATAATCTTTTGGTCAGGTAGGATTCTGAGGATTCTGAGTTTAGATTTTCCATAACAGACATCTCTAACCTATAGCTTATTTTACAAGAAAAATACATTTGAGGATTAACTATAAACAACCAATATACATTTTATGACATACTTCAAAGGAACCATAATTTTGAACATTATATGTAAAAAATGGTCAATAAACAAGGCATGCAGCAAGAATGGTGCTTAACATGAAACATATGCCCCTAAACAGGCCTGAACAAACCATTTCCAGTAACTGAAGGCAGCACACGAATATGGGAATTATTTACACACACACAAAACAGACTGAGTAACAGAGACAGCCACACAATGAGTCAACGCCATGTTCGAGCATGAGTTAAGATTGTGAGGAAAATAGTCCTTTGCATAAAGTGTTTATCACAGACCAAACAAGTAAGGAGTATAAAGACAAGTCAATGCACCCAAAAAAGTTGATCAACATTGAAAATCAAAAATACTCCAAGCGTAAAAGTCAAAAGTTAGTTTTTTCTACTCTGCCACCCAGAGGACAGACACAGCACTGCCTGTGTGATGGCTGATCTGGTTGACCCGCCCACGCACACAGTCCAGAGTGAAGTACACCGATGTCCCGTTATGAACCCGGAAAGACGACCTTAGGCTCACACTGGCCCACTGGCTGCCGTCTGGCATCTGCCCCCCAACCTGCTGGGCCAGGGGCACAGGGCGCACCCCTTCTGCCTCTTTGCCCCCCTGGCCCCCCTCTGGATCACTCCTCCTCAGGAGAGTTATCTTGATCAGGTTGCATGAGTGAATAAGTTTGAGGTCCAGTGCTATACTGGCAGTGCCACTCTCTTTGAAGACTATGTCTCTTTTCTGTTCGGTTGTTCCCTTAGAGACCATCCCGATCTGGGGCACTCGGGCGCTGGTCTGGTGGAAGAATAAGGGCTTGTTTCGGACAGCTCCAGAAGGGAGCCCCGTGTGAGACACCGCTGCAAACAGAGAAGACGAGATGGCCGCAGGGACCCACACCAGGCTCAGCTTACTGATGCTGGTCTCATCACCAAAGAAGCGCACATTGCACTGAGCAGGAGACAGGATCTCAAACGCCAGAGTGTCCCCAGGACCCACCTTAGCAGCCCCTGACACAGATATGGAGGTGTCCCTGTAGTGGACTCCAGGCTTAAAGCTACGGCACAGCTCCACTCCTGTCCCATTCTGACTGAGATAGGCTAATACCTGGAAGCCCTCGCTCACACAGGCCTGGCCCATAGAGTACAGTGCCTGCTGGAATACAAAGCGCACTGTGCCACTCTCTGCAAACCGCACCCCTCTGCCGTCATGGGTCAGGCCCACCACATAAGGATCTGATGTAGTGCTCACCCTGAACACAGGTCGATAGTTTGTGTGGTAATGAGTGGAGACCACTGCCTGTGCTGACATGGCCACAGCCCCAGTGTCGTGGGACAACCATAACAGGCTAAAAGAGGCAGCCGATGGGTTGTACAGCTGCAGACCATCACTGCTCTGGTTACAGTGGTGACTGGCGCTCCGGAGGAAGAGGGAGATCATGTGACCTGGAGCGACCTCGGCCACCCCGCTGATGCTGACACTTTGAAGGGAGCGTCCTTCTCTCTGTTCCACCCTGATACCGCTCAGCTCACTGCTCTCAGCTCCATCACTGCTGTTCATCCTCAGACACACCTGGATAAAGCTGCGACAACCGTGACTCACAGGGAGATTCTGGTCCAGCCACACCAGGCCATGTTGCCTAAAGATCAGATGCCCTGCCTCTGCAGAAAGGAGTCCTGCCTCACTGCGCCCCTGGATTTGCAGCTGTAGAGTGGGGACATGTGTGAGGATGTGGCCTTTCTCAGTGGACAGGCTGATGTCCCCAGCCCAGGACAGAGACAGAGACAGAGCAGAGGCTCCGGAAAGAGGACTAGAGCAGACACTATCTGTGGTGAAGCTGCAGGGGGCGGCGATGGGCTCTCCGTCACACTCGCTACACGCCTGACACTCGTCCATGTCCGCATTAAAGAAGTAACCATGAGTACACATCCCAGAGTTAGCATCTCTTTCTGACATGCCCTGGCACCTGAATCCACCTGCATGGAACACCAAAATATTCACAATAAAACATTTTATTTTATTTTATTTTTTAGAAATATTTAAAAGGTTGAATGACTTGTTTCTATTTATAATAGATGTCATAATACAATATTAATACAATGATACTACAGTGCCATTCTCCTAGAGGAGTGACATGCATCCTGGTTTGAAAAAGATTTAAGATTTAAGTTTCTATCTATGATTCTCTCTATGCATTTGCCCGAACTGGGCACAAAGAGTACACATTTCATGGCAACCATATCAAAGTCATACCTGGAGTGTTGAGGCATTTATGAGAATCACCACAAAGATCTGCAATTTCAAGACACTCATCTCTGTCCTGCAACAAATAAAAGCTGTATTAACATATTGTTGTATATATTAAAACCCAGATGTATCAACGGCCTGTTAAAGGATGAGGTTCAAATGCAGAGCACACCTGACAGATCCTGTCTGCATGAACTGAGCACTGTGCGATGAGGAAGAAGCCAGGGGGACACACAGTGCAAGCTTCACAGTGAGGCTGTCCATTACTGAAGGAGCAGTACTCGTCTGAGCCACAGCTGCCACAGGCCAACAGAGGCTGACTCACCTGCTCAGGGATCCATTATGTACAATACAATTCTGACAACAATTCCTCACTAATGTACAGTAATGTAGGTCTTCTGTGGATAGTCTTACCTCCATGACATTAGCATCCATATCCACTTTGTGCAGGGACAGAGCCTGTTGGGCCTGGTGAGCCCTGAACTGTCCCCCCATTGTCTCCATGGGATTGTTCAGATCCCCTTGGAAATTCTGCAGTGATGTGTGCTTGATACTGTCGATCAGTAAATTGTACTGGGCTTTCACCTGAAATGTAGGCTAAATGTTAGTACTTTTATCTATACTTGTATTTATAACATTTTCACAATAACACATCAACATTTAAAAAGTCAGTTTTATAAGACCCCAGGATTCAAGAGCAAATTGCACATGATCAGAACATCTCCCAAAAGTCACTGATATAATAATGAAAGCTGGAAGCCTGGTGTTTATGGTGTATATGTTGTTCTATGGTTGTATCTGAAAATGTATCTGAAGCTTACTTGCTCCATTTGCTCAAACATTCTTCTCTGTTGCTCCAAGATCTCTCTTTGCTGGTTGAGAAGTGCCCCCTGCTGCTCAGTGAGGAGCCTCTGCAGTTCTCGCACCTCGTCCTGTTGGCCCCTGAGGGCCTCAACCAGCTTCTCTTGGCCCTTACTCAGCTGCAGCTGCAGCACGAGCGCGTCCTCAGAGGGGACCTCATTGCCCCCTGTCGCTGAAACAAACCGTGTTTACTCTTTAGGGGCTATTTGTTCTACAACAACAACTGCACATGATATAGCCTATTTACATTATTATTTGTATTATTATCATGTGTCTCTTTGAACGTGGTTTCTAGATTTCATAGACGAAACCCCAGGAAGCAGCAATGCATGTCTTTTTTTGTTTTGACGGGCTTTAAAGTAGATCCCACAGCACTTGAACTTACTTGGCTTCATGTCACAGTTGAGTTGTATCCATGCGCCTCGCTCTGCTCCAAAGTCTGGAAACTCATCGAGAAACTGCGCAGCCCTGTCAGTCACGCGCACAGGAGACACTTCTTCTCCATGCGGACTGCAGCCTTCCCCGACGCACACCTTGGGCTTTTGGCGCATAAGGTGGGGAAGTTTACACCCAATTCCTTTGCACTCTCGTGCGCTGTCCTCCCCTGCGGTCCGCTGGGACACACTGGTGGGGCAAATGCCCCCTGTGCAGCCAGGATGGAACACCTCTGCCGTGATGGTCCTGGGGTTGGTTCTCCTAGTGCCATCGTAGCCCCCCGGAGATTGGTGCAGGGCGTACGGCTGGTTGTAATCCTGTTGGTAACCTCCGGGCACGGGGTACACTGGCCCGTGTCTGCTTTGGGCTGAATTTGGGATCTGACGTCTCGTCTCCACGTGCCCTTGACAGTGCGTGCCCACGCAAGACCTGCTCCAGTCCTGAGCCGGGAAACAGCGCGGACCTCGACAGAGATCAGAAGCACTCTGCGTCCTGCTTAGTGCACCCACAATCAGACAAAACGTCACTAAAGTCCGTCCCATTTTGATAGGTTACAATAAATCCAACTGCAGAGACTGTTCGCCTCTCCGTTTATCTATCTTTCCTCGCACTAGAGGCGCTCTCACGGACACAGTGTGCAGCTCCACAGACATCAGCTCGTGTCCATCCTTCGCGGGGCTGAGCTGAGCGCGCTCTGCCCCCTGCGCCTCACTGTGCCTCATCTCGTAACATGTGGCTCACTGCTCCTAATTGGCAGCAGGTTTTGCTCCTAGTCTTAAATTAACCCGTAGCTTTCCCGGACATACCTCTCTACGCACTCACTCCATCTTCAATGGAACTGGGCGTGTGCACAGCCCTGGACTTAACCGTTTATTTTGACTGTAACACCCATGTAATTAATTAAACGCGTTTTAGTCCTTTCCCGCAGTTTTCCTCTGATGATAGTCCCACTTTGGTAGATTTTTAATTGGCCCTGTCAGAATCAGACCTTCTGTTTAATGTGGCATCACGACTTTGAAGTCACAGATAAAGAAAGACAGGAGCAGAGTACCACCTCCAGTAAAACCTAAACTTTATTACACGTTTATTTCCCTGTAGGACCCCGCCTGGCTCTAATTAAAGCATTTACTCCCATTACGCACAATCTGACATTGGTATGCTCTCCTGTATTTAAGCTTAGGGCCACTCAAGGTCAAATAATTGTTATCCTTAGCGTCAGTAAGTATTCCACATTTTAATAGGAATAGTTAGTTGAGTAAAGCTGAGATCGATACACAGCAGTTTACCAGAAATAGTAAAGACCATTGCTGGTTTCAGTTTAACCAAAATAACACCCACCACATAAAACATGAACAAAGATAGGCTTACCTGCTTTCTCAAATTCGCCAGCCTTGAGTCATAATGAAACCCAATGCAGGTTTAAAAATATATTGTGTAATAATATGTTCTTTATTTATATCCTTACATTTGCTCATACACAAAGATAAATGAATAAAAATGCATTTCAATGAACCTGGGCTCACTAGCATCTAAATTGAAAAATCTAAATGGAGTAGGCCAAAGGTTGAAAGTAATTTTGTGTTTCTGTTAGATAATCATTTTTCTTCTGGTTCTAGATATCTGCCTGCAGTGACCCGGTGTACCCAGGGCCCCACAAACACAGGTGCTTTCATTTACCACATGACACAGGCCTGTAACCACTCACAGACTCACAGAGAGACAACTAACAAACTAATTGTCACCATTAGTCATTTAAGTGCAAGTTAATGCATTTCCCTGTGAGCATATCAAGAACGGGGAACATAAGGATATGTGGATTACTGTATCGAAAGTTGTCAGTAGGATTTATCAAGATGCAGCAACATGTCAGTGTGAAACATTTTCCAGTTTAAAGTGTAGCTGTCTTGCCTGTCAGTGGTCAAAGCATTTAAAGCCACAGTATGTGCATTTTTAGGTAAAATAATAGACTAAAATTAAAGCTAGTTTTTGTTTTGTTTGTTTTTAATTTTGTGCTTATTGCACTTAAAGCATGTGTCTTTACTCTGAGGAAACTTGCATCTCAACAAAACTGACTGGCCTGGAGAAGGGCCTCCATCTACTTCTTTCCATTGAAATATAGTCACAGACATACAACTTCCTCTATTAAACACACAACTTAACAATAATTTATGAATAATAAATTGTAACCATGCCATGTCTAATCAAAGTATTCATATTTTTTCATAAGGGTTTCTGTAGAGTTCATTGGGGTTTAACCTGTCTCTCAGTGTCTTATAAATTTAGATAACCTTTCTTTAAGTATCCACTTCCTGCTTTCACAGGAAACTACACTGTAAAGACCTGTGCCTTATGACCAGGCTCTTACAATGATCACAGTGCACAATGTGAGAAGAATTCAAAAAGGTAAGACATTTTGAAATAGCATGAATCAAAAGTATAGCTTCATTCACCCAAGAATAAAAAAGGCCTAATAGAGTATGGAGAATGGACTGAATTGAAATTACTTATTTGGTTCTAAAACTCTCATGATTTTTAGAATTTACTGATATTGTGACTCAGTATAACCATTTAATCTGGATAAGATATTTGTTTTTGTTGTTTGATTCCAATATCCTCAGTTGCATCAGTGTTGCTTAAAAGAAACGTCTCATTTAGGATTAGTGGAAATTACAACAGCTGTGAAAAGAAAAAAGTGAAACATGTTGACAAAAGTGTTCAGATCCAGGATTTTAAGTCTCCATTAAGGCTTTTGTGTTTTGGGTTTTGGTTTGGCCTCTGCACTCTTGCTGCTTGATGTTTGTTCGGTTGATGTTGGACCACATTGCGAGGCAGCGGAACAAACTTGAATGAGGCTGGTATTCATAAGCAAATGTGGTTTCGACATGAAAAGCAAAGCAATTTCTACAAATGTTCTGTGTCTTTGGGTGCAAGCCAGCGAACACTCCCTTATCCAAACTGATTGATCAAGATTTATTAAGTTTTATCTGTTGCTGAAGTGATGCAGGGTTGTAGAGGAGCCATAAAGGTGAAGTTTCTTGTATCCAAATTTTCACTTTCATATGGAAATGATACAGACTGAGATCTGCGCGGCTGCTGACCGTTCTCCTTTCAGCTCATTAGGTTTCACTGGACGTCTGTTTACACTCAACATAAACACAGCATAAGAGAGAAGCACTGGAAGAACTGTACAACTGCATTATACTGGTGCAGCATTGATGCACTCAATATGTCTGCCATGCTTCATTACAGTGTTAGACAATATAGAGGAAAGAAACATTAAGAAATAACTATAATGTTGTACTGTGTATATTTAATGGTCTAATATCCAGAAAAGGCATATTCAGTTAGACCTGTCACAATAATAAAATTGGAAGTACAATATCTGTTAAAACTGTGATATGTTTTTCTTTCTCTTCCCATTTAAGGTTTTTTACTATATTATTTGACTTATTATGTATGCATTGTATAATTGTGTACTGTATACTGATCTTTTATTTATTTGTACTCAGTTGTTTTTGTTGGGTGGAGTTGTTCATGTTATCTTTTGCTTAAAAATATATATTGACCAAAAAAAAAGAAAGAAAGAAAAACAGTATGCCCCTGTTACAATAACTCAAAACCTCAGTAAAAAAAACATGCAATAAATGAATAACATAATGAAACACTTTAGAAGTTTAATATTGGTATCTATTAGTCATACAGTATGAGTTATCTTTTTGCCCTTTACAGCTCAAATTGTGAATAATAAAAATATCCCACTAGAACCCCCATAAATATTATTCTAGTCATTATGTACTGAATGATAAGTTAATATAGTGTCGTGACAAGTCTATATTTAACGCTTCTAAGTATATATAGCTCTACTTTTAACTGACCCAAACAACTATAACATTGGGTATTCCAAAGTATAACTGAAAACCTTGAAAATAAAGTCATGTTTGTTACGCTGATGTTTTGTTTTAGTAATTTATATGACCACATTCTGTCTGGTTCAAGATGAAGTTCATGAAGTACTTTTATTGACTTCACACAAAGTTTCATTTGGTTTCCAGTTGTCTTTTCAAAACACAACTCTATGCAAATGTGACCACTTAATCTCCATCTTAAAGGGTACACATCTGATGTTGTTTGTGCATCCCCACTTACAGCGATGCTTAAGTGTTGTTAGTGATAAAATGATAAGTACTCATAGTGGTGTATCACAGAGTTGGCACAGATCCTGGGCTCATTCTCCAGGCCTTTTAAGCTGCTCCATATGCCAGATGTATTTTTGACCTGAGCTCTGGCAAGATCCTGGAACCCATATGGATGAATCAAAGATACAGAAACCTACAAAATGAGGGTGAAGAAAAGAAAAGTTGTGATTCTGTTAAAAAATGTTATAAAGAATTCTCATGACATTTAGGTCACATTGTTGCTTGGTACAAATCAAATAGTGGGAACTTCTGACAAAAGGTTGGCCCTCTGCATTTCACACATCCTTTAATGCCAATGGAGAAACTTAACCTGTTATGCCTTTGATTAACAGAAACCATGATTATCCTGGAGGAAACCCACCCACACACAAGGAGGACATGCAAATGCTGCACAGAAATCCTATCAAACTTTGGAAAAAATCAAGTACAGGGATTGCCAAGTGGTAGCTCAGGAGATTCCAGTAGCTCTCTGCCCCCTTCTAAGTAGCTCCCCAAGGGATTTCTGAATCATACGTGTTATGCTGACTAACTAAAATTTGATAAAACACCATTGTAAAAGAATATGTTTCATAGGCATCTACCTGTATCCCATCTAAGGCCGTGGCTCTTATTTACTCAATCTCATGCAGCCACTAAAATCAGTAACTCTCTGACATTTTTATTCTGTAAAGGAGCCCACTGGAGGAAAAGCTTGGAGAACCCTGATCTAGTACTTTCGAGCACTGGGGTGAGAATCATTGCCATTTGTGCCATACTATTCAAATCAATTTATTCTGCATTCGCATTAGGAATACTCAAGTTTTAGGGGTAAAAGTATCAAAAGAGTTAGTAATTGCTTCTGTGATCCTTTAGAAAACTTTCCTGAAAGTTACATGGGAAGTGAAAACTCAGACAAGGTAGTGGCTTTTATGAAACCATTTTACTATATACTATAGGGGCATGGCTGTTGTATGCAGCATGTACAATGAGATAATGTGTTTATGTTAAATGACAAATATGTTACTGAATCTGTGTTTCAGATGGATGACATAGACGTGATGTTCAGTCACTTGCTCGAGGAGATGGATGATCTGACTCAGGTGAGGCCATAATATTGTGGTATATTTATGATCATGTGTGTAGATTCAGATCATGGTTGAATAATAAATAAAAAAAGCCAACAGCTGTAAAGTGAAGTCTCACACAGTTCACAGATACTTACTGTGTGAGGAGTGAAGAGTTTGCTTTGTGGTTACTGAAACAGGTACTTGCGTATCTACTATACTGCTTTTAGATGGTACGTAAATTTTGAGATCTAGACCTACAACTAACAAAAGCATGCATATTTAAATAAATATACCTCCCTTTGCTACAAACCTGTCAATACATGAATCAAATGCTTAGCTTTAGATGATTCTTTAGGGTTTTATGGCAATAACATGATCATTAGCAAGTCAATGAAACTGAATTGCTCACCAATCATCATGTGAGTTTTCTATGGCATTAGATTATCTATCACGCATTCATTCAATTACAGGTATTTTTATTGCCATAAAATACTTTTGGTGGTGACCATGGAGAGGTTTTGTGCCTTACTGTGGAACATTCCAGGCAAAACAACAACATCTCCAAGGGGACAAGCGGGCGGTGGACCCTTCACCAAAAAACCTTTGACTTTGGTCACTTGCCTAACATGTCTATAGCACCCTCACAACAGTCCAGCAAGGCATCCCATTTTTAAACAGGTCATAAAGTCAGATCAGCCAAATCTCAGTTTAAGTCTGCACTACAGACTAATTGCACAAGGTGAGTATGTTTTAAAAGTAACATTATGTCACTGAGTTTGGTTGGTTCCCTTTAAGCACACATAAGCCGCTTGCCATCTCAGCACACGGTAATGAAAACATTACAAACCCAAGTGATCCAAGGCCAGCCTCAGGGACAGTTTATCTCAAATCTCTGTAGTCACGAATGTAAGAGTATGAGCCTATACAACTTTACAATAGTTCATGAGTGTCACTTTGGCTCAAACTTCACAGGGTAAATTAGGAGAAAAACATTTAAATGTTGATTTTTGAGTATTCAAAATATTTAATGGTGAACTTACTTATCGTGCTGATTGAGTCCATTCATCATGTTTTCTACTCAGAGTTTAAACACACTGATGTGGGAGCCACATATTTCAGGCAGATTGTTGGCGCTGCACGGTCCACATTCACAAAGTGGCATTAAATCAAATATTGAGAAAAAGAAATGCATTCATTTCTTTCCTCCATAAATAGAGAATGTAACAGGAAGCAGGATTAATTGAATACACATTCTCAGGCTGTGGTTCTCAACAGAACTGTTGTACATGTGAGCTGCTGATCATGTTTGCTTGAATTTAGAGTCAATTTAATGCACATTTCTGTCCACTCTTGGGTTAGTCCAGTAGCCTGTTATAGCAAGTGTTTAGTCCTATTTGGTAGCACTAATTAGACTGGGAATAGTTTTGTACCAGTTTTAGATCTGGCCATACCTGGAAGGCTAAATATTTTTTAAGATGGTACTTGATTTGGGAATCAGTGACAGATATTGAATAGGGAGCAAAGATTGTCTCTGGTCAAAATATGTTGTTTATGCTAGATGTGTAACCTGGATTACTTGCTAAAATTTTAAATTGAATTTCTCTGATCACTAACGTCATGCTGATGAATAAATATTCTGCTCTCATTAAATCCAGATTGGCTCTTTCTCTGAGGGAAAAATGCATTGGGTTCCAGGAAGTGATCATGATCTTATATAGCTCTTTAGACCACTTTGACAGCCATGTTTAACAGCCTACTTTTGGACTGCTGTGTTTTGTAACATGCTTGTTGTTCTGCAGTCACTTCATCAGTTGTGAGAAAGTTTTGTGTAAATTACAAGACAAGTGATTTATTCTCATGTAATGGAAGCAAGTCAAATGGCCAAGATGTTCTCTATAAAAGAAGCAACTTGAGAACAATGTTGAAGAAGGAGAGCTAGAGTATTATAAATAGCAGGCTTGATTGAACAGTTGCGTTCACTCACACATTTGGCCACGTTCACATCTCGTGATGTTTAGTGATTTCACAAAGTATTATAGACAAACAGATCAAGATAAGAATTTTAGAAGCAAAATTGTAATCTATAATAGCAAAAACAAACAAACAAACAAAAAAAATCTATATTGTGGGTGCCCTGTATAAAAAGGATTGACAATAATACCGAAATCAGTAAATATATAACATTGGCAACACATTTTAATTTCATTTTTTCATAGAATTAAAGCTATACTATGTAACTTTTCTACTGAGGGTGCGGAGTTGTCCGCTTGATTGTCTCCATGGTGATGTAATTGCTTTTCACGAATGTTCCACAGAATGGCATTAAACATCTCTATTTTACATTTTCCACTTGACTTGAAAAACATATATTCTCCAACTGTAATTGGCCTGATGCCATCACCTGCTAGTCTCCATGGAGCTAAATAAGTTTAATGTTATGTTGTGTAGCTTTTTAGGTGCAGCAATACCAGTGAGTGACATAGTGGACCTAGTTATTTGTTTATTATTGGATCATGGCATTAATAATTGTGAATAATTGCAGTCATTTGACATTGAGACTATAAATGTGTATGACAAGACGTAAAATAAAGTCTCTCTTAAATTGTATACCCATGCCTCAAGACCCATATACAGTGTGCATAATTATTAGTCAAGTTGTATTTATAAGGATTCATTTTAGAATTGAACAACTATAGTGTTCTCGGTCAATCCAGAATGTTAATAAACCTCAAGCTGGAATATTTAAGAAAGTAAAAGTGAAATTTTGGCTTTCTTAGAAGAAAATCTACGTTTGCACATTTATTGGGCAACATTAATGTGCAAAATTATTATGCAACTAAATGAAAAATTTCCATTCTCACTTGTTTATTTTCATCTGCCAGAATAGTAAACAACTAAAAATTTACAAATAAACATTTCTGTGACCAATATAGCCACCCTTCTTGTCAATAATGGTCATAAGTCTTCCACTCATGGAGTCTGACAGCGTCTTGGTCTGTTGGCGATCAACTTTTTGAACAGCAGCAACCACAGCCTCCCAGACACTGTTCAGAGAGGTGGACTGTTTTCCTTCACTGTAAATCTCCTGTTTAAGAAGAGCCTACAAGTTCTCAGTAAGTAAGGTTTTGGTCAGGTAAGAAATGGGGCCATTTTCATCCTTAAGGGCGTTTCATCCTTAAGGGCGTTACTGGGTAGTCATGCAGTGGAGTACTTTGATGCATGTGATAGGGCATTGTCCTGCATAAAAATCATGGTCCTCTTGAAAGATGACCACTGCTTGAAGAAAGTGTCTTCTAATAACTGGCAGTAGGTTTTGAAGTTCATTTTGAGTCCATATTCAACCTGAAAAGGACCAACAAGCTCATCTTTAATAATATCAGCCCATACCAGTACCATCTCCACCTTGCTGGCTTCTGAGTCGAAGTGGAGATCTGTGCCAACCACAAGCCCATCCATCTGGCCCATCAAAAGTTATTCTCATCTCATCAGTTCATAAAACCTTTGAAAAATCTGTCTTTAGGTATTTCTTGGACCAGTCTTGACATTTCAGCTCATGTTTCTTGTTCAGTGGTGGTCAGGTTTCAGCCTTCCTCATCTTGGCCATGTCTCTGGGTACTGAACACCTTGTACTTCTGAGCTCTCCAGGTGAGTTGCAGTTCTGTAATATGACAGAGCTGGAGGACGATGGTTTCCTGGTAGCTTCATGTTTGATTCTTCTCAAATCCCTTGCAGTTAATTTGCACCTTTTTCTTGCGACACTGTTGACTATTTGCAACAAAACGTTTGATGGTTCTGTGATCACGCACCAATATCTTTGTCACTCTCCAATATCTTTGCAATTTCAAGAGTGCTGCATCCCTCTGAAACACTTTTTACAATCTTTTACTTTTCAGAGTCAGTGAAATCTCTTTTTTGGCTCATTTTATCTGAGGAAAAAGGTTTTATGAGCTGATGAGATGAGAGTGATTCTTAATGGACCAAATGGATGGGCTCATTGCTGAATCAGTAATGGGCACAGAGCTCCATTTTGACTCAGACACCAACAAGGAGGGGGTGGGGTACTGGTAGAGCTGGTAAATGTTTATTTGTAAATTTTGAGTTGTTTACTATTCTTATAGATGAAAATAAACAAGTGAGGATGGTAAATGTTAGTTTTTGCTTAATAATTCTGCAAATTTTTTGTTGCCCAATAACTGTGCACACTGATTTCTAGATTTTCTCCTAAGAAAGCCAAAACTTCACTTTTACATTCTTAAATATTTAGGTTTGAGGTTTATTAACAATTTGGATTGACTGAGAGCACTACAGTTGTTCAATTCTAAAATTAATCCACATAAATACAACTTGCTTCATAATTAAGCACACAGTGTGTTACTGTACAATGTCTGTCTGCAGAGCCTGGTCCAGTCGGCGGACACTGCCGCTGATGCACAGACTAACTCCTCTGGAGCTTCAGATCTCAATGGTGAGACTTCACACTATTCTGCAGGGAGAGGATTCACTCTTAAACCATAAACACATTCTTGGGTCCCAAGGTTTAGTAAGTGAATGATCATTGTGGTTCCAAAAAGTCATCCCAACCTTGACACTCATCAGAATCTGTTTATTTTGATGTAGACGTCTGTATGGTTTCAATCCAGCCCAATTAAATGTAAGACTTCTCATTATGCTAACAGATTCTTCCCGCAAACTGATATAATCTTGAACAATGCAATTTGAACTTTGATGTAGCCCCTTAATATTTTGTCTACTTACATACACATTTCTAAAGGTAAAAAATATAAAATATACAAAAAATATCTAATCTTGTCTCATATTTGCAGAGCCTCTGAATAACTTGGATAAATCAGAGTCAGATCATCTTTTGGCTCAACCAGAAGAAACTCTGCCAGTAGACAACCAAACTGCTCCATCTGACCCACCTCTTCCTTCAGCATCGTCTGTTACATTAGCATCACCAACAACTCTTGCAATGCTCAAACTTGAACCAATGGAAGTTCAAAATGAATCGCCAGCACCAAAACTCACAATGCCGCAAACAGCAAACAATGAAAAGCCACCCCAAGTAAGTTCAAATAACATAACTACAGATGTATTCATATTTGTATTTAAACTGTTTCCTGTGTCATAGACAATTATAAAGGTGTGGATGTCAGATGGCAGTACCAAGACCTTGATGGTGGAGGGGACACAGACAGTAAGAGACGTTCTGGACAAACTGTTTGAGAAAACTTACTGTGACTGCGCCACAGAATGGAGCCTGTGTGAAATCAACCAGGAACTGCACGTCGGTCAGATCAAAATACACTCAAGAAAAATATAACATGAATATAATGAAGACAATTAATCAGCAACATACTAACCTCTCTTTATGTTTGTTTCAGTGTCCTGTTTATAGTTGACTTTTTGACTGTTCAAAAGATATTTTGTTTTCAATTTAGGCCTGTCACGATAATTCATTTAGTGACTTATTGTTCAAAGCTAGAACAATATTTTTTTGGGTGTATACATACATACATATATATATATATATATATATATATATATATATATATATATATATATATATATATATATATATATATATATTATTTTTTTATTTTTTTTTTTTTTTTTCTAAAATCTTGTGTTTTCAGAGAGGATTTTGGAGGACCATGAGTGTTTTGTGGAGTCTCTCTCAATGTGGTCAAGTGTGACTGACAACAAACTGTATTTCCTGAAAAGACCTCAGAAATATGTGATCTTTACACAGCCCCAAGTTAGTGTCACAAAATTCACTTTAACTTTGGTTTAAGTCAGTATTTAATCATTTTTATGCTTCCTCTAGTTCTTTTACATGTGGAAGAGGTCAAGTTTGAAAGCCATATCTGAGCAAGAGCAACAACTTTTACTTAAGGTCAGTCAACATCACAAATGTCCAGTTAATTTGGTCATCTTTAACTATTGGATGTGATTTTCTAAAGGAGAACTTTGGAGGTTTGACAGCTGTAGTTCCTGATCTTGAAGGCTGGTTGTACCTAAAGGATGATGGGAGGAAAGTGTGGAAGCCACGTTACTTTGTGCTCAGAGCATCAGGGCTCTACTATGTGCCCAAAGGAAAGACCAAGGTATAGTCATTGTATATTTAATATAGGCTGACTTTTATAGTGGCTAAATTATCTCATTGTTATGTCAGTCAGTAACAGTAAGAGGCTACGTTATACAAAAAAGAATGTACTTATCCATGAGTTTCAATTGATGAAAAATTTGGACCATTGCTGTCTCAACTGACAGTTTAAGCCAAAATACTGCATCTGTTGAATTGTGAAAGGTCTTCAAAATGTAGCTGAAACCTATGAATACATGAGAAGCTCTTAAAAAAGAACTCACTTCAATTATTAAAGAAATTAACCTGTTCTAAATTGTGTTTTTAGTTTGAGTAATGGCCAACTGACATATTACCAAAATAGACTGAATATGCCTTTGTCCTACATACTTGGGGTTTAAGTAGATCTTTTAAATGCCAACAGTGATGTCATAGAAAGACAGAAAGAGAGGGGAGATACAGGACACAAGAGAAGTATGCAAGGCAGATGTGTGAATGGTAAACAGGAGGGGTAGTGGGAACTATCTTCAGCACATGCTACTGTTTTAGACAAATACAAACAGCACGAGATGCTTACAGTTTGGAGATGCTTTCGGTGGAAAAGTGCTTTGGAGTGACCGCTTTGTTTCTTCCTAATGTGGAAAAACTGAAGGATTCTGGAAGGAAAACAGGATTTGTATACCAAAGAGATACATTTAAGGGGTTACAGTCCATTAGGCAGCCTATAACTGTCTACTTCAAATGCACAGTTTTCCTCGAAGATGAAAATCAAGGCCTTTATATTTAGTGTTGGAATAGTATCAAAACACATAAATATTGCAAATGTCACTTTTTCTGGGGACTGCACCATCAAGACATTGTCCTTGGGCAAGACATCTGACACCCATAGCAAACAGAAAAATAGGCCGTAAAACTGGTAATTTAAATATGCACTATGCAACTTTTCCACCACCTGCTTGTCTCCATGGACATGTCATTGCTTTTCCTGGAATGATAAATAGTATGACATTAATTTGTCTTAAAAATCTCAAAAATACATGCATTCTAACAGAGAGCAGGGTTGTTTCTCCAGATCTGATCTATAACTTGACCTGGTGGTGTCATCTATTTCTCTCCATCAAGATAGATAGGTTTAAAGCTATACTGAGGAACAAAGCAACAACATCTCCATGTACACAAGCAGTTGAGGTTCCTCCACTAGAACAGATACATAGTGTACTTTTCTTTGCCCCAACATCTAAAAAATCTAAATAACAAAAAGAAAAAAAAAAAAAACGCCAAAACAAACAAACAAACAAACAAACAAACAAACAAAACAGTATATATTATTATTAGGCTATAATTATTTGCTCTTTCCCAGTCTTCCAGTGACTTGGCCTGCTTCGTCCGTTTTGAACAAGTGAACGTGTACTCAGCTGACGGCCACAGAATCAGATACAGAGCCCCCACAGACTACTGCTTTGTACTGAAGGTGAGTGCTCATACACACAGCGCTTTGAAGACAGGTTGAAAGAGGAGATCCGATGGAAATGTCCAGATGTGCGGAGGAAAAGTTGGGTTTGATGATACTAGACACGCTGGTGGCAGTTTATCACCGTCCAGACAGTTTAGCTCCAGACCGCAGACTGGAACAAGGTGCACAACAGGGGCCAAGGGTCAGGAGTCACCAGGGCGTGTGCCTCCGAACGAACTCATATTTCTGCCGTGGAAATTTCGGGTCAGTGTCAAGTTAGAGCATAGAAGTAGAACAAGCTTCACGGGTATTTTCTCAAAGTATTGAAAACTCCTGAAGTTGTTTTAAGAAGCCAGTATAAAGGTCGTGGCTGTTTCTTGTCTAGACTGGATCACTGATGATTGTAAACCATTAAACTCTACAGTCAACTTTACCTAGTACAAAACTCCCTCTGCTGGACACTCTGCAAACTGTAATCTAAAGACTTGCCTATAATAATAAAAACAGTAGCTTCACGCTCAGTTGTAGTTATCAGTAACGATCTAGTGGTCGAACAAATTGAAATAAATAATAATGAATTTTAAAAAAGTGTATGGTTTTCCTAACATGCTCCATAGAAAAGGCATATGGTTTGGAAGTTAGACACATTGTATCACAGATCTGATTTCTTATCTTCCAGCATCCTTGCATCCAGAAAGAGTCTCAGTATGTTAAGTTCCTTTGTTGTGAAAATGAAGACACTGTGCTGCTTTGGGTCAATTCCATAAGGATAGCCAAGGTCTGAAACAGACATAAACCCATAATATTAATATAACAGTAACAAACTCACATATTAAATGAGCTCTTATGTAATATTTATGTCTAGTATGGGACAGTCCTCTATGAGAACTACAAGACTGCACTAAAAAGAGCACAGCATCCACCAGATCGATGCTCCACCAGCTCAGGTACTGTCATTTTATAACACACTTTGCCATTAATGTCCCAACATTGCGCAAAATTGACTCTTGTGAGATTGTAGCCATGTTATAATATTACTTAATCAAAAACATATCTGGAGGTGTTTTGTTTTCAGCACACATGAGCAACCCTTTATTATTTGTCAGTCTCCAAAAATGTTCAAAATGCTCTGTTTCACCTCTGTTGTGATGTTATGATGTGATCGTTTTCAAGTGAACAGCTTCCTTTTTTTTGTTCAGTAGAAACTGACAATTCCAAGGCTGAAATCATCCAAATGATTCTAGTGAAGGTGTGTGAAGTTTAAAAATACAGTGGAGCACTTCCTGTATTACACATAGACAGTATAAATATGGTATTACCACAACACAAGGTGGATGTGTTTTTCTGTCTGAGAAGAACACAGACTAAATATGCAGAGTTTGTGTGTCAAACATGTGTGAATGAAACAAAATACAACTCCAGGTGTGTTTTTGATGAGGAAAAAACATTTTAAAATACTAGATCAGAGAATTAAGTAATATAAGCCCTTTAAAATATAAATACTTTAACGCTAACTATTCTTACAGACAACCTCAATAGTCAAATCGGCCAGTCTGCTCCTACTCCGGATGAATGCATAGAACAAGATGAGCCTCCACCAGACTTCATTCCCCCTCCTCCCCCTGGATACATGGCAATACTTTGAGAAATAAAAAAATACATTCAAATATTTGTTGGTTTGATCCACTGTTTATTACAAAAGGACTGTACATAAATTTCAGTGAACACATCCTATGTACAAACTGAGAGGAGACAGACACCAATTTCTGTTCCACATTTAAGTTAATTTTTTCCCCTTTCTGCAACACATAGATGTAGGAAGGCGCCTTGACTTGTGATGCCCTGAAAGTGGTAAACATTACACGGTTCAGTGGTTGTCACATGATTCATTCACTATGAAAAAAGTATAAATTAATCCTTTACAGACACAACTGCTTCTTCAGCAGTTTCCAGAGACATGTAAAAACTGATAGAAATACATTAAGTAGAAAACGTTATTATAAATACGATGGAGAAAATACAATCAAAACAGGATGTAGTGGCAAATCATTCTCTGTAATCAATGATACTTTCATGCACAAAGGCTATAATACTGATGACTGCATGTTGACAATGTATTTTTGAGATGCCTGGACTGTTAATATTTCCTTCAATACCATTTACACTAATCAAGCAGAACATTATAACCACAGCCCAGCTCCTCCCTTGGGACCATTTTGGATAAATACTAATTACTGCAGTTCTTCAACGTCTCACACAATGGAATGATTAAGATGAAGTTCTGTTATTAACCTGACAGAGGCCATATTGTTTTGCCTGATTAGGAACAGATTGTAAACAGATGAATACACCTACATTCACTAAAATACTGGAAATTACAATCTGATTATTACCCTTAAAAATAACAATGGACTCATTAAGGGGGCGGTTGTGGATGGGAGCTTGTGAGCACCAATGTAAGCACCACATTCACAAAAGTAATAATAAAAAACTTGACCACTGGCATGTGTTTTCATCAAAACAAACAAACAAAAAAACAGGACGCGAGTGCTTCAATGAAGATTTAGATTAGCACATAACATTAAAATGTGAGTGGTAGCGGAGCTGAAAGAACCCGAGGCACTCTTGTGTAGAAAATGTATTGTCCTTTATTGAGACAGTCTACACGCTTAAGCTGGACCATGTCTCAATAAAGGACTTTTAATTTTTCTAATGTCAACAATAATTTGAATTAGAATTTAAACATAGTCACAGTTTTTACTTATCAGTGCAAAGGAAACAGATATAGAAGCAACAAAATAAACCGCCTGTCCTTCATTGTAACTAGATTTGAGTCCCTCTTTCTGCTACAGTAGCTGGACAATAGTATTATAAATTCAGGTGACAACAAAATGCAAAATTATGTTCATTCATGACTTGAAATGGCACAAAGTGATGAGGGCAAATGAATTTTCAAGTACATATCAAATGTAACACAGGCCTTCAGATGCTGGCACCACCACTTCCCACTGATGGAGACTCACGGTGAAGCACAGACGGACAACGCACTGGCAGCTTCGCACGTTACAGAATATTTACAAGAAGGAAAGAAACATCACCAGGAACAAGAACAATTTCTCTTTTTTTAAGTTTCAATGCATTCTTTACACACTTGTCACTTTTCTGCAATCTGAACATCAACAGTGGCACACAATCAATTCATATCCCAATACTTAAATATTTTGTGTAGTAGGTCTCTTTCTCATTCACAGTGCAAATGATGGATAGGAAGCTTCTGAATTTGGAATTGGGAGACAAGAAATCTGTACATTACAGATTTTGGCTAAATTTGATCAGTGTTATTTTGTTTAGACTTTCCCTATTTCTGATCAAAACAGTGTAAACATACACCACTATCCATGGCTTGTCAACCCTCCTTCTTGTGCGACAAGTTTTTGGACTGGTCCCTTATCAATCTTTCAAAAATAAACCAACGTGTAAACTGCTAAGATTTCACCATGGCACTTCATTCAGACTGAGCTGTACATATCGCTACACTGCATTCACCTCTGTACATATCTTCCAAATTTGAGTTCAAAATGGCAGTACGTTGGGTTGTGTGTTTTTAGTCAGCGTAGTGCATGATAGACTCAACATAGTTTCCAGGGAAGAGTCCAGTGACGCCATTACAGACTCCTTCAAACCAGCCGTCGTCGTTTTTCTTGATGATGTAGATGATGGCTCCTTCCATGAAAGAAAGCTCATCCTCTTTGTCCTTGGTGTAGTCGTAGATAGCCACAACTGTGAAGAGGCAGACAACATTTAGTACAAAGCACATGTAGGGTGGTGCTAAGTTTAATTGCATCAACTTAAATGTAATGAGCCAAAGATGTTCATTTTGTCTTCTTATATACTTTAACTGCTTGGGTTCTTTTTAAAGACAATGCAGTAAGTGTATTTACCTTGTTGACATGTTTCGGCTGCTAGCTGCAAGCCATCTTCTGAACTGTCACCGGTGTTGGTGGTGACGTGTCACGTGTCAACAAGTTCAAATGCTGGATCAGGGAGGCCATTGAAATCAGAAAACGAGACATGAACAGCATTAACCGTGATGATGGCGCGTTCCTCCTTTCACACACCTGGGACACCCTCCTCCAGAGAACATCGGGCGACGGGAGGCGTGGTCAGTCTGAGCGACCTGCCAGGTCCATCAGGCTGACCACGCCTACAGGAAGTAACAACAGCTGATATACGACACGTCACCAACAACACCGGTGACAGTTCTGAGGATGGCTTGCAGGTAGCAGCCGAAACATGTCAACAAGGTAAATACACTTACTGCATTGTCTTTAAAAAGAACCCAAGAAGTTAAATGTAATGATATCAGAGATTAATAATGATAAATATTGTAGTACTATATATATAGTACTACAATAGTACTATATATATATATATGTATAATACTTATAGTACTATGTATATGTGTTGCTGCTTTGGTTTATCTAATGTTAAAAAAAACAAATATTTAAATAAAACAAGTTAATTTACCTAGGGTATATATGAGTATTTTCATTGCATCAGTTGCATAAAGTGATCCCGAACCACACTTACTTTTCAAAATCTGTTATTGTGTCTGGTCTAAGTAAAGGTGATCTTAGTGAGGGAGTTTTTCCTAACCTTTCTCTAGATAGCTCTTAGGTGCCCAGTGCGGATCTCCATCTGCGTATGGGTCGCTGTAGTGAACCACAGCAGCCTCGTCTTCTTCGTAATCCACCGGGGGAGGGGGTGGAGGGGGGGAGGGCTCCTCAAACACAGACAGGTCCTCTGGAGGGGGAGGAGGAGGTGGGGCAGGGCTGTCTGTGACTGTAAACACACAAAACCAATCATAATCAACAACCACTACATGTGATATGCAGATGTTTATTCACAAATGGAAACTAATCAGTTTTATACTCTATTTGATTGCACAGAGTTTATTATCTTTTTATATTCATTGAATTGTCCAGTATCTCATCTTCATCCAGGTGAAGGACTGGATGCCCCAGCTCTCCAGTCAGTTACTGTTATTCTAACTGCCCTAATGACACTTTTCATTCCTTATCCAATTTCCAATCTAATGCATTTAATGAAATGGCATAATACAATGTAGCTACCTCATTATAATATAAGCGACAGGCCCACTAGAGGGCACTGTGTTATTATTTTTGAGGGAAAAGAACCAACTAGAATCAATTTTGTTATGATACCATGGTCTTTACAAAACTGATGATTGGTAAATTAATACACAAAACACTGGTAGACATGTTCACCCCACTCTCTAAAGATATTTTGCTCTGATCCAACAGAATAAAACTGTGTTAATGCGGCAGGAGATGTAACAAATACCTCTTTTAATTTGAAGTTACAGAAGACTTAAACAAGGTTAGCTAAAAACTGTGGCTAAAACCCTGCATTTGACTGCATGACTCATAGGTTTTGTATCCTGTAGAGTTTCTAGACTGGCCAAGTGCACAATCAGCTCACATTTCTTTCTCTTCGTCAGAGCGAGAGTTCGACTTGAGCTTTCTGTGATCCATCACCATGGCAACAGACAGACATTCAAAAGGCGTGCCCATCGCCAGAAAGTGTGCAGAGTGTAGTGAGTCACAGAGGAGCAGAGGGGCAAATCATGGCATTTTACAGTGATGAGGCATGGCTGATTGTGCATGATTTTAAGCTTGCTCATAGAATGATACTCCAAACTCTAAGTCCATGGGTTTTAAAGAGGTGAAAAATATGCACTGTTGTAATTGTGGTAATTAACAATTAAAAATATCTCAAAATATCACAAAGCTGAAACCCATGAAAAGGTTTATTGTTTGTAATGAAATAATTCTAAAATGCACTACTGTTTGGCATAATAAAAAAGTTTCAGGTAATTTGGCTGAGTTAAAAATAATCACACAAATTATGAAAAGACCAAAGTTATCAATATCAGTAGTATTAACTATTAATATATCAAGAACATATCATTGCAGAATATTAATATAAAAAAAAAAATTACAAAAAGTGAACGCAGAGATTATATGATTTGGAGGAAAAATAGAGCCATGATTTTCATCAGTCATAAATGTGTCTGCAATTCCACATTACAGTATTACAGTGAAAGTCATGCATTTGACTTACTGCTCTCCTGCATTCTGGCCACAAAGCCGGTGAGGGGGATCTGTGGGGTCAGCTGCACCATGGGAGGAGGTGGAGGAGCCACAGACACTGAAGCAGCAGCAGCAGCAAGGAGAAGCGGAGCATGAGACAAAACGAAAGGAGAAAATACAAGGCACTGTACAAAAGAGCTGGCAACATACGGAAACATCAAGCATAGGTAACTTATAACTGCAGAGCTTGTTTATTGGTGGTTTTCAGACTCTAGAATGAGATAATGTCATGCTCCCCTGATGTGGAGCAAGAGCCAGTTGTCTCTATTAATTACATGTAATTTTCATATCCACAAATAAACAATGAAATAACCAGATTATTGATATTAGTCCCCTGGACTTCATACATTACAAATCATCAATTGACATGACCCCCTTCTCTATTAAAAATTACAGTCCTATAGAATGTTTTGTTGTAATCTGGATTTTAAAATAGACTAATGCGCTATTGCTGAGTTTCAGTGTACAAAACATCCTTCACAGGATCACATGTGTAGTTTCACTTGTCACTTATGTCTTACACATGCTACACCCAGAGATGACATAATTATTCCAGCTCAAATGTAAGCCAGCTATGACTCAGAAATTACATGTCCCTGGAAACATAGGTCTCATTATTACTGGTGCCTATTAACGCAGAAACAGCAGTGTAGGGACTGTACAATACAACTGTCTTCAAATTTAAACAGTGTGCGTGTCCAAATTAAAATTATGCACTTAAAATCTAATATAAAACCCAAAATATGTAGTTTAGTTCTAACTTATACCTAACTATGGTAAATGTTAACCCCCTGTGTATTATGACATCACAAATTCATATATCCTATATTTCCTCTTGTCTTCACCTCCCTTAAAGCTTCCCTTTGTAATTAGATTGGGCAACCCATCTAGATTGTATTCTCACATAGCACCTCTATCATCTACAGGTAAAAATCTAATAAACTTACAAATGGTACCTTCAAAGGCCCTTTCTTCTTCCTGCTTATGAACCTAATGGAGTGTTCTTCTCATTGCATATTACTTTCTTACGGTTTATTTATTTTTATATTGCAGACAAGGTCCAATTAATCTTAAATCAATAAAACATCATGTTCCTTTTTTATTCATTATCAGACTAGTATAATTCAGAGCCTATGTTAAATATTATCCATCACAAAGCTCATATGATGTCCCAGTTTAGATCCCTTGCTGATTTTAATGTTGTGAGCATGGCTTTATTGTCTTTCCCTTGCAGACAATAAACCTCCTCTGTCTGAAAACGGCTGTCCTGAGAGAGGGGCCATTAGAGCAAAGGAGCTCAGAGCACTGCAGTGTGCCAAAATAAATCCTAGTCTCAAACAGCACATGCATATATCTTGGGTTTCCCCTTATCAAAAACATATTTATTCCCACATTGCCCATAAAAGCCCTTTGTCTTTCTGCCTATTCTAGTAAACAAATATTTTCTCTGGCAATAATGTCAAAAAAGGACAGCTACAAATCAGCAATTATTACACCAAAAAAACAAAATGGGCAAGTGGTTTATCTATTGGAGCACTACATATACAAAATACAATATATACCTGTTACTCATGTATTTTAGCAGAATTTGTCTTGCTCCAGTAAAGCTATATTGTATAAGCAGCTCTTGAGGTCAGAATATGTCCACTGCCTGTCTTGATTAATTTATGAAGCGTTATATTGTCTGATAATCAGGCATTAGCATGTTAATTGTTATATTTACCATGACAATACCTTTGGACCACTACGAATTAACTACTTCTAGTTTTGTAAAAAAAAATAAAATAAAATACAATAATTAAAAAGTTAAAAGAGTAAAATTGTAAAAAGTAAGTAGATTGTGTCACATGGGATATATGCACAAAACGAAAAACACTGAAGTAGTGTGATAATTTCAAACCTAAAGATGAGAACATTAAAATTAGTATATTCACATCTGAGTACCACAACAATTACCTGAGTTCTGTTGGTAGCCTGGTCCTCCGTTGATGTGTGGCTGTTGGGAGGAGACAGAGGGCGCGCGGCGGTAAGTGCCAGTAGCTGACACCATTGAGGCGGACGATGTGGTTGACGAGTTGTGGCGGGAAATCTGCCGCGAAATGGTGCCAAACTGTGACATGGGGATCGGACCCAAACCTGGGCCCTGTGGCACTGAGGCAGCAGAGGTGGCAACTGTTACAGGGAAAATATCACTGTGAGAAGTGGGATTGTATAGAGTGACATGGCTCATTACAAATAGGGTAGTTAATCCACAGGCCAGTGGTGGGTAAACTCTTATAAATGTTGTTGCAAAGATGGGAGCCTATATACTCTCACGTCCTTCAACTTACAAAAATCAGTCTCCTCTTTGTTGTATGTCTGCTCACCTTGGCCCATACTAGGAGGGGATGGGGTAGGAACGGCCAGAGGCATCCCCACTCCACTACTGCCACTGTTTTCTCTGCCCCCACTTCCACCACTACTCCCACTGCAGACAAAAGAGGAAGAGAAGAAAAAAAGCATGAGAGTGTGGCCACAGGATGAGCCACACACAGTATAATTAGACGACTGTGTTTGACAACCCATTATTACATCTGCCCTGTCATCGCTGCATCTCTACAGCAACAGACGTGTGCGAAAACTGTAGCATCTACCAGCCCTCACATAAACATTTCAGGCTTTTGACGTTTTCTACATGATATTCTGTAAAATTAACAGTAATTGCTGGAAGAAATGAAATTGCTATTTAATATAATTAAATATAATTTATTTTAAATGGGACATCTGAAGAGTGCATAAAATGTCATTACATAAATGTACTAGTAAAGGCTGTACCTGTGAGTCCTGGGTCTCTGGTTGAGGGAGGCAGTGCGTGCAGGGCTGTGCTGGTTGCCGAGGCGGGCAGGGCTCGTCATGTAGTCGTTAGGCACCACTGGAGGCTTCACTGGTTCCAGTGTCTTATATGGAGTATTACGTCTGTTTATAGTAAGTTATAGTTAGTTTTAGAAGTGACATCTTTTGTTCAAAACTGAAGGTTTGTAATATTTTTCATGTATATGACTTTACCCTAGTGTGCCACGGCCCGCCATGGGGGGGCTTGGAGGTTTCTGTGTCGGGGGATTGGTCCGAGACAGTGTACCTCCTCCTCGTCCTGCTGCATTGTTTCCATGTTGCTGGAGAAGCAAAGATAAATGAACACACTGCTTTGTTTGCACTAAATTGCCTGACAATGGTGTTTCCTTAAGAAAATGACATTAAGATTTAAGAGTAATCCAGTCTTTATTAGGTAGTGAGTTTTCAGCTAAACATTTCCATGGCCTTCCATCATTTAAAAATACAAAAGACTATTTTACCGATTGTCTTCTCTTAAACTGTCTTTCAAACGTTTCATGCACTTGTATTTTAAAAATAAAAACTTTACAAAAACACTATTGTGTCTTACCTTGGCTTTAAGCCACTGAGAAAAAGCAGCAAAAAACAGGACAGAGAATACAGGTTCAGGTTAAGGTGATGACAGGTGACAGTGACAGTCAGTGACATTTTAGTTATTACAGAAATATCTATATAGAGTCTAACCTGCAAATATGTGCGACTGTGCCTATAAACAGTTTATGCGAATCTAATTTTAGAAAATTATGTATTAGTAAACGAATCAAGAATGTGCAATTTTAAACATAGCCAGTGAGTGCTATTTATAACATTTCAGAGAAAACATCTAAAGCTCTGTTTGAGAGAAACAGAGAGAAAGAGAGAAAGAGAGTGTTGGTGCACATTGTGTTGCATGAATCTAGACCTTATGTTGATGCTGATGCTACAATCATGATCACATCCACTTTAACTCACATATAGAAATAATAAACAAGGCTTGTAGCTTTAAACAAACGGGCCATAAAGAGAGGTCATAAATAACTGCTGTTCTGTGACTGTGTTAACTACTGCCGTACTGCCAGTTAGGCCTCTGGAGGTTATTGGAGCTCAGCTCTGTCTGTATATGAAGTACTACTCAGACTAGCTCTCCCTTAAACCAGTAAACATATGAATGGGTAATAAAAACAGACAATTTGTCCTACAGTTTTGTATTCTCACTAAACTTTGTTCATAAATAACTAAAAGCGCTGTCATATATAAAATTGTGCTTTTTGGATTTGGGTCAAATGTGAGCAAAATATCTGATTTTAGCTGCTCTGAATGCAGTCTTAGTGGTGTAGCCAAGTGCAGGGTCCATCTATTATGTGTTTGTGAGCAGCCATCATTCATCTCTGCATCTGTAGCTGCATTTGCATAGAGGGCTGTGCCAAATCTGTGTGAGATGCTCCTCTGAGAAGGAAACACCAGCTTTTGAATTTGAATCAGTGCATGTCTGAAATCGACAGACAGCCTCTGTCTTAACAAAAAGAGGAGAGAAGAGACTGGTGCAGAAATACAGAATACTGTAATACAATGAAAGCCTCACACACATTCAAACGCACAGTGGTTTAGTGAATCAAAGGCTGTGGGAAAGCGGATGGATCATGCAGAGAGGAGAAAACACTAAAATTAAGCAGAGCGAGGAGAATACTTGGTTCAGCTAAGGCAGCCGTGCAACAGCCACTTCCTAAGTGCTATTTGGTTTTATATGGGAAGGTTTTGCCATAAGCCATGAAGAATCCTCCATGTACAAGTCAATGTAACATTTCCATGCATGTGATGGGGAGTGATTACTTAAAAGGCCACAGTATCGACTGGCAGAAGTGTGAGTGTGCATCAGTGTAAGTGATATATGAGAGCAGGCAGTTACATGGGAGAGGTGTGAACTCCACTAAAATCACTTTTCCTGTCCTGAAAAATCGATTAACCGTGCAATCGGGATCATGTATCAAAATAATGACTTGAGATAGTTTTGATTGTGGGGAGGATATAACATAGTGTTTTACAGTGTCTTCAAAGAGTTCTGTACTTTGATTGAGTTTTCAAATAGAAAATGTAATGGTGTTCTTCTCACTTTGACCCCATGTCCCACGTCGTCCAACAGAGTGTAGTCGATGGGCTTTCGAATGTAACGCACAGGCCGCTCCATGTTGCCTGGGGCGATGATTTTGTGGGTGCGGGACGTGTTTTTGTTTGTGGTCAGGATCCCAATCTCTCGGCGAGCCACCTTCTCCTTGTGAATGTCCACAGTCTGCATTATCAATAAAAAGAATGGAACAGATGAGAGAGAGAGAATGGCATATAATATTAATTAGATTGCAAGAAAATTCCAGCTTTCAATGAATAAATGAATAAAATCTACTTCTTATCGTAATATTAGGGTAGACTTTTATCACCTGACCTTCTCCAAGAAAGTGCCTTTTCCACTGATTATATTTAAAGACACCTTTCAATTCTATCCACTAGATCTTTAATCTTTAGAATGTGCATTTTTCATTATAAAGGGCTTCCATTTGTAATCATATGGACAACTGATAAAACAACTAGTAGATTAATTGCAAATGTAATCAGACAGTGGAGTAATTACATCAAAATAACACAGGACACAGGTACTATGCAATAGCTGTATTACTAGAACCAAAAGCCAAGAAAATAAATTCATATTATTTTCCAGTAAAGCAGTTAGTGAAAAAAAGACCATGGCAGGCTTTTGGAATACTATGATGCACTCTTCAGTGTCCATCTTATACTACTCCACCCTCACACATATTTGATGAGCATATTTGACGTGCATCTCGTGTAACAGTGGTCTCCTACTTCTTAATTAAAGTCACTATGGCTCTCAGCACCTACACAGCAGGCCTAAACCCCCACTATAGTTTATGAATGATGAATGAAATGGGACAAGTCAATGCGAAGACAGGGCAAGGTAAAGCACAATAAGGATGGATGGAGAATCAATGGTGCTTATACATTTAAGATGGTTTGGGGCACTAATTTGAGTCATATGTAGGTTACAATAGCTTGAATAGCAATATTTACATATACTTAAATAAATCTCTTGATAGAAATCCTAGAGAGAGTATTTTGAAATTAACAGTGTAATAAAAAGTTCAGCAAAATGTTGCAAGAAAGAGAAAATTGTTTAATGAAATGGTAATTATGTATTTGTAATAGGTCTGTTAATGTACTGACAATTTTATGTAAGCATCAGTATCAGTGCACTACAAACAATAAATTACATCAAATGAATTGGATTCAGTATTAATTTAAATAGTGTTTCAGTAAGTTCCTAGTTAAATTTGTTTAGCCTGTTTAGTCTGTTTCAAGATATATATTCCTATTTCAAGCCAAGTGATGTGACTGTCCATGTAGAGAATATAATTCAAACAGGTAATAAAAATGACTATAGAATTGTTTTTTATTTGCTTTCAGTTAAACCTACAGCCAATGCAATAATCAGAAAGCACTAAAGTACAAGGTCACCAGTCAGACATCCGCCTTGACAGCTCCACTGCTGCATCTGTCTCCCTCTGAGTCTAAAGATACAGATGACACAGAGAAACTGAAGTCTGATGGGAGTCAATGGTTTTGTGGAGTTAACGGCAGTCCCTTGTCAGGTTTAACTGTGTATTTCTGCATTTGGCTGAAGCTGAGATATTTATAGTGCCATCTTTAGGAGAGGAAGCTAAAGGGTGACACCCCATTTCAACTGGAAGTAAGAAGAGATCCCCGCCTTTTTCCTGTTACTGACAAGCAAGCAACAACTGAGAGCACATTTCAGTAGAGAATAATAAATACGTAGAAATGCCTTTATATCCGAACTGAAAACACTTCTTCCTTATTATCATTTCTTGTGTATAATATGTGTTGTAAATGTAGTGCTGCTTCTTGACCCGGATATCAAAAAGAGGTTGTGGAATCTCTTTGAATCTCAATAATGAGTGCAGTAGATATTCAGATGATCAGATCAGAACTACATCAAATCCTATACTTGCTTAATTTCTAGTAGTTTCAGTTTGAATCTACTGAACACCTAACACAAATAAGCAGGTAAAGATAAGAAAATCTGTTTTATTTCACTGATTGTGACCATTTTTGAATATCTTTGCTCCAAAAGTCAAATGTGTGAGCCATCTGCATGGGACAAATTGAGTCATTTGTTGGAGTACAGCACTTAGACCACTGGCAGATGTTACAAAGTAATGGTGAAATAATTTAACATTTTGTATTACCTATTACCTAATCACTGACAGCAGACCTGTGTGTGGCCTTGCTGTGCACATGTCTGATCTCATTTAGTTTGTAATCCTTAATAAACATGTGGACACGGTGCAGCTCTGTCGCCCCATTCTCACAGATGGCACAGCTGTAGAGAGCACAGTCGGATGTACACTCAGCCTAATAATTCTGTGCTATCGCCATGACGACTCACAGCAGTGCAACACAATGCAACACAGTCAAAAATCTACAACTAACTTTCATATTCAGTTAAGTAAAATATTATAAAAATAAAAGAGCTGTGGCAGTAGACAGTATTGTTAAACATATAGATAAATAATAATAAGATCTTGAGGCAAATTACACAAATAATGGCTGAAAGGTTTTCAAAGCCCTTAATTTTCTACAGCACAACAGAATTACCATTATCGTTGTTGTGTTCGGGGCACATAATTAAAACAAACACAGACAGATAGGGAAGAGTTTGGCACAGTTCTTCTTTGAATAAATACATTGCGTTTACGTAATTTATGCAGATTTAACAGCTATTCTCTTCAAAATTACATAATACCAAAAAGGTAAGTCGTCATTTAAAGTTTAACTTTCATGGATTGATGGATTCTTGGAAAAATGCCAGGTTTACAACTTACAGCAACAGAGGAGCAGCAAATAGAAAAGCATGAGGAACTGATTTTGCTAAAATACTTTTATCTGGACCAGGCACAAGAAATGTAAACATATAAGAGACCCTCCAGACTATTATTTGACAATAATAACAATGATTATAATTCTTTAAACAAGCTAAATTAAAGGTGCCCTAGGTAACTTTGCTTATGCAGTTTACCCTATTTCCTTGTCTCCATGTCATCATCATTGCTTTTCCTGTTTCACAATTTGATTAAACTAACCCATCTTCATAGAAACAAGCAAGCAACACCTCTAGTCTGACATCAGATCTATGGAAGGGTGACCCTGCTCATGGTGAAATGCATGTTTTTCAAGGTATTTGGCATTGAAAACACTCACAATTAAATTAATTTAAATATGAAATGCAATACTGTGGATCATTTCGGCGAAGGAATAAAATATTTTAAAAAGCAGGTGATAATTTAAAAGGAGTAAAAGGAGTTAACTTGATCTTCATTAAGCCAACATTAATAGAGGTTTTTCCAGCGGCCGTTGGTGTAAAGTCTAAACTCTAAAGAGCCACACAGTGGAGGGTGCAGGCGTCAGAGCTGGAGTTGATCCTGACAGGTTTAATGAAGCGCACAGCGAGGGGACTGGGACAGTCAGAGGCTGACAGACAGGGTGGCCCGGGCAAGAACAGAACAACACGGGACAGAGGGGAATAAGAGGACTGCTGATGAAGCATGAGGTGTCATCAGAGCACTGTGAGGGCTGCCAGGTCCATGGAGCCAAATGTCACGTGTCAGTTTTAATACTGGGAACACTGGTGAGCTGGGAACATACTGTAAGACAACATTTTTTTGTTGAAAAGATGAAAAATATCAGCAAAATTTAGGAACAAAATATTGCAGCTAATGTGCCATGGGCTTGGGGAATTGGCAATGGGCTCTCTTCACCATCAATTTATTATGATAGTTATCTTAGGACACACAAACTGTCTTTTGAATACAATTTCTGAAACTACAAGTACAAGGATTATTTCTTTATTTCTATTTTCTTTTTATTTTCAGGTCCTGGCTTTGTGCTTAGGAACTAGCAGCATGATACCTGGAAAAAGAGTTTGGGTGAAATGATACCCACCATGCAGCTCTATCCAAAGAGCCACAAAGCATACATTTGATTTGATGAACAGCATAAGAAGGTTTCCCATAACTGAATTGTAGATTTATACCTGAGAAATGTGGTTAATTGAAGACTCCATGCGGCGCAGTTGCGAGGCCTGGATGTCCAGTAGCTGCAGCACATTGTTGGCTAAGGCATTGATCTGATAGGCTACGCTGGCCAGAGACTGAGTGGTGTAGGCTTTAGTCTCCTCCAGGGCCTTTTTCTTATCTTGAGCCTGGCAGAAAAGCAAAGACAGGGTCAGTCAAATCAGCACAGGATGTGGAGGAGGAGACACAGAAGTTGGCAAAAGGAAGTAAGGTAGAAAAACTAAAAGAGGAAACAAGCAATTTCAGTGCTCATTTACAAGAAATTGTGTAAACATGACATTTTTCAGCTAACTGAATCCACAATTTTGAGTAAAGGACAGCAGCCTTGGAGGGCAGTGAACCAGAGGACAACAATAGCTGTGTTGGATGAACATGGCAGTAGGACAGGTGCTTGTGGGATAGACGACCAGTGAATAGGAATGCCAAGACACTTTGTATGATCCCAACTCTCCACCGGCTGGCAAACCATCTGTTTCTGGAAGCCTTTAAATAGTGACTGCTCCGGATAGGCTTATTTATAGTTTAACATCAAAACCTGTATAAAAAGTCTAACATTATTGTGATGGAGTGTACTTCTCATCAACTATAGTAAAATAAGTAGATGGGCAAAACAAAACAAAATACAAGCAAAACAATAACAGTTATAACATGTAACATGTATGAGTGCTGTGCAATAAATTGTTGATATCCCCAAACCAAGCCATAGTAATTCATCTGAATTATTCATGAAATATAGCAGCACCAAAAACAAATAAATGACTCGTACAGTGGAGATTTTGCTCCCTTATGCTGATGCATTTAAATGTAATAATTATATAGTCAAATGCCTCTGACAGTAATTAGGCTAATATTTAATATTATTGTGGTTATGTTTATATTTAGGGGTTAAGAGTTTTTGCTTGCCTTTGATATGGTTGTGCACTGCTTATAACCATGCTAAATATGTTCTGCTATCTAACTTTGCAGTATTTGTTGCATAGTGTTTAGTGTTTGTTTGTTTTTTCGGGGATTTTTTTGTACTCACTGGGCCTAAACAGACCAACTACAATGCATGCACGAGAGGACGTGCTCATTACTATTAACAACTTTAATGAATTGGTCACCAACAATTTATAAATGTTTTCACTGCAGACTGTAATTTTTACTATACGGGCCTTAAAGGTCCTATATTATGCAAAAATTGACTCTGGTGAGCTTTAAGCCTTATTAAGACTGATGTTACCTAATCAAAGCATACCTGGAGTTGCATTTTGGTTCATTCACACATGTTTGAGTAACCCTTTATTATTAGTCTGTCCACAACTCCAAAACTCAAAATGCTGTTTCACATTGTCAAAGAAATTATTTTAGTAAGGTTGGATGGAGTTTCAAAACGCAGTGGAGCACGTAATGTATTACTACACAACCTCACAAGCTGGTTTTCTGTTTGAGAAAGTCAGCCTTAATATGCAGGGCTTGAGTTGTAAACATGTGTGAATGAAACAAAACCAAACTCTGGGTATGTTTTTGATGAGGACACAACATTATAACAAACACAACCTTATGGGTATGATTTGTGTAATATCAGACTGAACCCCATGAGTCATTATCTGAGGAGCTATGATTTCACAACGCATCATGTGACCCCCAAAAGCACATGGGGAGTCCAATTTTCAGTTCATTATGTGTCAGAATAGTCAGTGGTCAGTTATTATTATTATTTTTTCTTTTATCAGAAAGAAATAGAAATAGAAAGTAATTTTGACCACATGTTAGTATATACTGGAGCTGGACTTCAAGTGATTTGCAATGACAATGTAATTAAACAACAAGCAAATGGTACATGGAACTTCATATTGCACATGATGTAATGAACTGGACTTGTACGTGTATGGCTATTTCTTTATTTTATAAAGGGCTTAATTTACAGGAACTACATGATTCATGAATCAGGCAATTAATTTGAGACAAATCGCCTCAACTATTGACCATTAATACAAACGCTTTCTTTAATCCCTGTTAGAATATATGATGAAAACATGCCATATTCCCATTATGAACCGTCAGTAAGTCATAGGCTACTGTGGTCGGTAGAGTTGCAAGCTTTGAATTTCAATTCTCTGATCTGGCTCCTACTGAAGTGTTTTTCATAAATGGAGCATTTTGCACTGCCAGAGCCTTCTCACAAAACGGATTCAATCATTGACAAACCACTTGGCCGTAGCACGACACACCCTCTCTAAACACTCCCAGAGGCTATTTCAGCAGGGCGAGTGTAGCTTATGACTGCTACCCCGGCTCTGGTTCACCGGGCCGGGCGCATAAACTCGATATAACCCGTCACAGCCGAGCCAGCCACGGAACCGATCGGTGGAGGGATGGTTTATCTGGGAGGAAATAGCGGTTTAAGGATCTGTTTCGGTCAAACCAGCGTTTCCTGCCCTGTGGTTTCACTCCGCAGACACGACGGAAGATAGCGGCCAAATAGTCTGAATCAAAGCGCCTTTCGATCACGTTTTTCTTACCTGAACATAATTGTTTTCGCAGTATTCAGCGACACGGGAAAGGTTCTGGTAGCTCTCCACAAGCGCTCGTTTGCCAGCGGGGATTTCCTCCTCTAGTAGCATTTGTAGCTCTGCCATCTTACATCCCTTTGCATTTCTCTCCTCTCTGTCCTTTTCAGCGGAGCGAGGCGGTGATGCTGCTGCGCTGGGTAGCTGTGAAAGGGGCTCCCCCGCCTGGCTTTGTGGGGCGGTAGGCCTCCGATTCACAACAGCCCGTGACAAATCTACGCGAAAAACACTGAACGCTCATTGGCTCCCCAGAGTGGTTAACCAATCATGTCAAGACTTCATTATGTTACAGTAAAATGTAAGCGCGATATGGGACAATAAATATTCATCAAATCATGGCACAAGCCGTTGTAATTTATTGTTAATGGTAGATTATAATGTAACTAAAACATATAATTAATTGTCTTTAACTCATTGATTTACCCACCAAAGACTGTCATTTAATGGATTTTTATTTATAAATGTAAATCCTAAATAAAGCTCATTTGAATTTACTTTAAAATGACTGAACAGTACAAGACTACACTTCCCATACGCCACTTCGGTTTAAATCCCCTTCTCCAAGGCGTTTGTGGGATTTGAAGGAGAACTGCTGCACGGAGCTGTGGACGCTTGCTGAGCGTTTGCCGCGGTTTGAGCCGACAAAAAACTACGTTTCCCAAAACCAGAACAAGTCGGCCGTTGCCGTCTGGACTCATCCCTTGCTCGTCCTTTATCAGAGACCAGATTGGCTTTAGTTACACTGCAGAGAGGCATAATTAGCTTAAATTATTTCTGTATGGACAGATGTAAAATAAACGAATGAAAATGTTCTATGGCAACTAAATAGTTTTGACAGGAAAGGCTACAATTTGCCAGCAAACCTCTCTGATCAGAAAGACTGTCCTTCAGTGAATGAAATTCTTTTTCATCAGCATAGATGCCTAATTTAAATTCTTGTCTATTGTCATCCTTGCTGATAATTAACATGACACCAGAAGAGGAGGACGAATACAGCCTAGAGGAAAAATTTGATGCTGCAGTAAAAGTGATCTGGACTTTGCCAGAGGATGGTAAGTCAGTCTAGGCTTAGACCTGCTCATGAGTAAACAGACGGTGATTGACCTACATTCAGCTCTGAAGAGTTGCAACTCTTGGCTGAACCTGCAATGATACAGCTGCAGTAAAGATGAAGCTGGAGCTAGTGTACTAGCTGTGAATTGGATGTTGTGTAGGTTAGGCTACTTCCTTTACATGAATGATAATATTGGTAATTTTGTTCTGATTTGATTTACAGAAATTTCCTGTAACCTACTTAATGCACTGAGATAACACTTGAGTTGGTACTGTAAAGAATGTTTGGATTCTAGTCCTTCTTATATTACCTTTTCTGGGTTTTCAGGCCCTTTCCAACCATCAGATGACATGATGTTGATGTTCTACAGTTACTACAAACAGGCAACATTAGGGCCCTGCAACGTCGCTCGACCAACTGGCTTCTGGGACACAAGGGGGAAAGCTAAATGGTATTTTTTTATTTTTTTTTATAATAAATTTGGATTTAGAATGAATTTATGGTTTAATAACATTATTGTGGGCTTATGTGAAGTGTCTGTGCTGGACCATTTGTGTTTCCAGGGATGCATGGAGTGCTTTGGGAAATATGACAAGGGAAGAAGCGATGAAAAATTATGTTGAAGACATCCAGCTGGTAGGCCATTCACAAAATTGAAAGCCCAATGCATGCAGAATATTCATATAGCTTAAAGATCTACCCATGGATGCAATAGTCTTTTATGACAAAATACAATCATACAGTGCTGGTACTTTAACAAACCTCTGATTTTGTGTTGTTTACTTCTAGATCTTGGAAGCCATCCCAATTTCCACAGAAGTGACTGACTTGGTACAAAAGCTTGGTAACTTCTTTACAGAGGTGGAAAGCAATAATGAAGATGCTGAAGAAAATGAAATAGACAAAAGACATTTTACAAGACCATTTGCAAACCATACAGGTATAGTAAACTAGAATTTCAAACTGTAGGCACAGATAACGTTTCCAATAGATTATTATTGATGTCCTTTTGTTACTAGATGAGCAAGCCATGAAACCCACTGTTCAAGGCAAGTATTTAATTGTTTTGTCTAAAACCACTAATAATAAAAATAAATACATGTAGACAGGTCCATGCTATTTGTTCTTTGATGATATCAACTGTATGACGATTATAATAATAAGTATTTGTGTCATTTTTCAGGCTTTGGAGATTTTTGGGCTGATATACAGAATCTTCCAGAAACTGAAAATGATGGCATTGTGGTTGACCAAAGTGTGAATAGTGAGGATTCTAAGAGCTTCAGACTCAATTGTGAACATAAACCCAGTGAAGATGAGGCAAATGGTGCAGAGGACATTTCTGATGGTGAATACAAGGAAGAAGAGGAGATGGAGGAAAGAGGTACAACTTAACTTATGTTATGTGCCTGATGTTGTCATTGATTTTATTTCAAGCTTATGACAGAAAATTGACTTTCGCCTTTAGTTTACAATATTTACAGATTTTTTTTGTCCGAATGAATACAAGTATTACAAGTATTTTATAGTACATTACATAATATTATACTGAATGTTAATGACGATACAATATAATACAACAAACACAAACATGTTCATACACAATTACAGCTACTTTTAAAAATCCATCATGTGTCCATGAAATTACAAAAAAAACATATTAGCTTGAAATAAGTGCATACTGTGTATTCCTTTAAGATGTATTGTGCTTTGGAAAGTATCACATCTCAAATCTATTTCTGATCTATATACATGCAATTTATATGTTTAAGAATGGGATTCAGACCAAATGCATTTGATGGTTGAGAACAAGAGATGGAGATCGGACTTTCAGGGGTCTAACCACAGCAGCATGGAGCCAAGTGTGTCTTCTTTCACCAATGGGACACACAGTTCTCTCAACAGTGAGGTAGAAGAAGAAGAGCTAGCATTTTCATTAGACCCAGCTATCCAATGCAATCCCTATATATACAATGGACACCTGAGTGGTAAGATACTAATGTGTAATAAATTATAATGACATGTAAACCTTTGGAGTAGTTTGCTAATCGTCCATGCTTTACATAGATCACAATGTGCCTGCTGTAATCAATGTTAGATCTACAGATTCAGATAATGAAGAATTCTGTGATTCAATGGAACATCTTGCAATTGATGAGGTACAAGCGTATTATGCTACTACAAAAGTTATTATTATTATGATGCCTGTATTTAGTGTTTCCACCTCAAATTTGCAGTTACATGAATCAAGATCCCTCTCTAAAAGGCATAATGACCCAAGGTTCAATGGCTTTCTAGCTCTACACAGTGAAAATCAACCTGGTCTTACAGATGGGATAAGAACGTCTGACTTCAAAAGTGCCATGTCAAGAAGAGGTATGGGTAAAATGAAGCATTTTTAAATTGAATAGATTCTTTAATAATTGGATAATTCTTTTGACAAATGTAACATTTTAGAGACTTTTGGACCAACCTATGGCACCCAGTCAGGTCAAAATGTCAGTGTGGCATGTTGTTGTGTGTCACAGAGCACACAGTCTATGTGTAATTCAAGGGAAAACATGAATGAACACATAGCTTCCGCTCTGCTAAGACTCCATCAAGACATGGAGAATGTGCTGCGCAAACTGCATACTCTAGAGGTCCTCCAAACATCACAGGTGAAATACAATGACCAGAGATCAATGATGTTTTCATCAAAGGTGTTATTTCATTTGTATATTTGACATTTTAGCCACCATCACCTACACCAGACCAACATCCCCTGGCTGCTGCCCTAAAGGTATTTCATCTAAATAAAAGTGGTAAATATATAAATACATATTTTCATGTAAATGCATTTTCTTTTGTTTAAATTTTACAGTTCATCAAACCGTCTTGGTGGCCTTCACAGTCCTTTTCTTTCACTGTGTTTTTCACTGTGATCTGGCCTGTGTTTGCACACTGGCTTGTCATTTTGTACTTGCAGAGAAGGAGGTGAGGTCAACACCAATATGATTGTTTCAAGATGGGTTTCCTCTAATAATAACTTGCACATATTATCTCTTCAGGAGAATTATGTGATGTGACCTTCTACTTGCACCATGAGGAATAAATGTTAAAACAAACAACCTAGATGGCGTTATAAACCTAAGATGAAGTTCCAAAGAAAAGAAACAGAAAAAGTATTATAGCATCTGTCTGCTGAAAAAAAGATCAGTCCAGTTTGTGGGGACGCAGAAACAATTAAGAACTCAGGACAGAAAATATTCTTTAAAAAGAATAATAAAGGGGCAGAAATGCATAGGTACAGACTATTTATGTAGAACATTTAGCTTATCTTATAGTTTACTTCTATTAAAGCTTACATACTATTGTGTGTGTCTTTACTATTTACATGTGTATTGCAAATAACATTCAATGCTACATTTCTCATTAGGATGGAATAAACAATTTTGTGACCTATAACTGACCAAGGTGGACTATTGTATTTTTAGTTACCTTAAAAACATCACTGCTGTTATAAGTTTTTATTATTATTATTATTTATTTATTTATTTATTTGCAAATCAGATATGATTTGAGTAAAATTTGAGAACGAAGTCAACAAAAGGAACAACAGAACGTAAAGCGGAACGAATTACGGTATTTGCAAATGGGGACATATTTCACTGTGAGTCCTGCAATTACGTCAATGTTATTTCCGGTTTGGGTCAGCTGTTGCAGTAATTTCAATGCAAGTTCGCATAGCGTGTTATATCAGCGATATAAGGATGAAATAAACCTAATCAAGATCTTTAAGCCACAACTAACACCGTATTATCGCAGTGACCCGTTATGTTTTCCTTGTTAATGTCCGTTCAACCACAGGTAGGAATCTACACGAAGGCCCCACGCTTCTTGTTTTGGTTTCATCTATTGCAAGTTCAACCATTATACATTTTGCATTATAACAGTAGAACTTATATTTGCTCCTACCTTAGTTACTATCTTTTATAAAATTGATGGAGACAAGGCTCAGATCAGTTTGTGTAACCTTTGGCGTTTACTGCGTCACTCACATTTGTGGTGACTGATGACATGTAGTTAATGCGAAGCCGTTTTGCCCCTTTGTATGCTATTGAATGTCCTATATATTATAAATGTTCATTATTATATTTATATTGTATTTTCGTTTTTTCAATAGTGCATTTAATCATATCCACTCCTGTGTTTTGCAGGTGACTGTACCCCTCAGCCACTTGATAAATGTTCTCCAGTCGTTGAACGGCTCAGTGGGTACCCGCACATTTGCTACAAGTAAAACAATAAATAACACAGAGTATGCTAAAGACACAGAGCAGCCCCATAAAGAGGTATTTGCTTAATAAAATTACATAATGTCCCTGTTCTATATTTAAGACCCCTATTGACACATATTTGGAATTATAGCCACTGTGGAACCTGCGTGACTTGGGCTTGTCAGATCTTGGGAAGCAGCAATTGGATGAATTGGTGAATGGCGTTTTTCCACACATTAGACCCCAAGAAGGGTCTCTGTCCTTAGGTCACATGGGTCAAAGTGCATGGAGGACCTCTCATCTCTCAACACACTCCTTTTACCACAATAAGCACGGTAAGCTTGGGTAGATCAAATAAGCTAATCTTTTTTAACTTTGCTTCAGTATGTGTGTCTTCTCTCGTACCAGGCTTTCCACATGTTCCTGGATCAATGTCATTTTTTGCCAAGCATTCCTCTCCTTTTCAGTTAGAGCTAAGAGAACTGGCCAGGTAAAAAAAAAAAGGTTTAATATATCAGATGCAGTATGGCTGACTAATGTGTGTTTTTAATGCTTGTTTCATTCAAGTATGGGTCCAGAACAGAGGCTTTAAGACCTTAAGGAACAAAACCAGACGACTGCAGTCCAGTCTGGATCGACCAATTGAGCCAGAGGGATTTACCCCATCTTTTATGAAGGTCAGTGCTCTCTTTCACAAAATACTGACGCAACTACAACTAATGAATTTTTTTTTTATTTTATTTGAGTATTTAACGATTATGTTGTTCTGCAGGGCTTCCTAACCCGGGATAAAGTGGCAGATGTGGAGAGTCTGGACAGCCTGTTAAAGAACAAGAACATCCCAGATGGGCAGCAGGATTCTTTCAAAAGGGGGTTTGCCGAAGGGTTCCTCAAAGCACAAGCCCTAACACAGCGCACCCAAGGCAGGCTGCAGTATTTTTTCAATTACAGTCCCTGACAAAAGTCTTGTCACTTATCCATTTTGTAGAAACAAAAGCTTATAACCTGACTTTAAATTAATCGATTGGTTTTGGAAATGTCTCATATGAAAGCTAAAACCCTCCCAAATTATGCTCAATATACTAAAATAAATTTGCTTCACTGAAGAAAGATTGATAATTTAATGAACACAGAAAGGTCAGATTTTGGCAAGACAAAAGTCTTGTTGCCTTGTCATATGATGCACCCAATCCTAGATTACAGCCTCACCTGTGATCAGTTACTGATCAAGCAATTAGTGGGTGTGTATAAAAAGAACCCCAGCACACCAGACCTTCACATCAACTGCAACTTGACCTCTGACAACATGCCTAAGATCCACCCTGAGACCAAAGCGTTAATTATCAAGAGGCTGAAGAACAGATACACTGCTGAGGTGTCTGACACCTTCAATGTGTCTCAGCATCAAGTACAAAGAATAAGAAAAAGATCTGAAATGACTGGAGATGTTTTTGACAAGCCCAGATCCGGCAGACCCCGCAAGACAACTGCTCGGGAGGACTGTTTGTTGATTCGAAAATCCAAGGCCAGCCCCTTTTCCACTGCAGCAGAGCTCCACCAGGCCTGGTCACCTCAAGTCCCTGTGTCAACCAAAACAGTTTGTAGAATTCTGTCTCGAAATGGCCTCCATGGTCAAATCAGTGCACAGAAACCAGCACTAAACAAAAGGCAATTAAAAAAATGTGTGGCATTTGCCAAGGCCCACAGCCTGCTAAAAGGATGGACACTGGAAAAGTGACAGAAGGTGGATTTCTCAGATGAATCCTTGGTTTAATTACATCACAGCCGCCGCAAATATTGCAGGAGACATACTGGAGCCCGCATGGATCCAAGATTCACCCAGAAAACAGTTAAGTTTGGTGGTGGAAAAATCATGGTCTGGGTGTTACATCCAGTATGGGGGTGTGGATAATAGCCTAAAATATCAAGAAGTATTAACTACCTCTTACATTCCCAACCATAAAAGGGGTCAAATTTTGCAGCAGGATGGTGCTCCATCGCATACTTCTATCTCGACATCAAAGTTTCTCAAGGCGAAGAAGATCAAGGTGCTCCAGGACTGGCCAGTCCAGTCACCAGACATGAACATCATTGAGCATGTCTGGGGTAGAATGAAAGAGGAAGCATGGAAGGCAAAACCAAAGAATCTTGATGAACTCTGGGAGGCATGTAAGACTGCTTTCTTTGCTATTCCTGATGACTTCATCAACAAATTGTATGAATCATGGTCGAACCGCATGGATGCAGTCCTTCAAGCTCATGGAAGTCATACAAGATATTAAATATGGATCTCACAGCACCACTACTTAATTCACTGACGTTATGCAACATATTTTCGTATTTGAAGTAAATTATTTGTTAAATTTTCTGTAGGCGACAAAACTTTTGTCTTGCCAAAATCTGACCTTTCTGTGTTCATTAAATGATCAATCTTTCTTCAGTGAAGCAAATTTATTTTAGTATATTGAGCATAATTTGGGAGGGTTTTAGCTTTCATATGAGACATTTCTAAAACCAATCGATTAATTTAAAGTCAGGTTATAAGCTTTTGTTTGTACAAAATGGATAAGCGACAAGACTTTTGTCAGGGACTGTATACTTTATACACTTTATCTTGCGTAGCTAGTCGAATAGTGTTTTCATTTGCCCAGCAGTCAGTGTTTTGTCTTTTGTATGCAAACGTGTAGATTCTTTAAGGAGGACTCGCCTCATCTTACTGGTGCTGCTTCTTGTTGGGATTTATGGCATCTCAAAGACACCATTTTTATCGGGTAAAGGCTCCTTTCCTTTTATATCTTTGTGTGTGTTTATGAAATGCAAATTAAAAGAGGCCTGTAGTGATTACAAGTGATTGCATTGTGTGGTGTGATTTCGAACTGTAATCTAACCATTCTTGACAGTACGGTTCCGAACCACATCAGGACTGGACTCTGCTGTGGACCCAGTGCAGATGAAAAATGTGACCTTTGAACATGTTAAAGGAGTCGAGGAAGCTAAAAACGAACTTCAGGAAGTGGTGGAGTTCCTGAAAAACCCGCAGAAGTTCACAGCACTGGGAGGAAAACTTCCTAAAGGTGGGCCTCACTGATAATTCACTCAATATAGTGGCATAAAAACAATTGTATTTAAATCATACATGTGCTTTTGCGTGCCTTCAGGTGTGCTGCTTGTTGGACCCCCGGGGACAGGAAAGACTCTCTTGGCCAGAGCAGTAGCTGGAGAGGCTGAGGTGCCATTCTATTATGCTTCTGGGTCAGAGTTTGATGAAATGTTTGTTGGAGTGGGAGCCAGTCGCATCAGGAATCTTTTCAGTGTGTATTTTAAATGTTTTAATAATATGGTAGTTAAAGCTTAAAAAAAAAAAAAAAAAAAAACACTTTTAAAAACATGTTTATTTTCTAGGGGAGGCCAAAGCCAATGCACCCTGTGTGATATTTATTGATGAGTTGGACAGTGTTGGAGGGAAAAGGATTGAATCTCCTATGCACCCATATTCCAGACAGACAATCAACCAACTACTTGCTGAAATGGATGGGTAATAGCCTAAATTAGATAACTTAAGGAAATGTACAATGTGATCAGCTGTTGCTAATGTCAAATACTGTTTGTGTTATTGAAGATTCAAAACAAATGAAGGTGTGATTATCATTGGAGCTACAAACTTTCCTGAGGCTTTGGATAAGTAAGTTTAGCTTTATAAAACTGTGTTGTTTCATTGTTGGTTATTGTTAAATGACTATTCTAACAACATTTGTCATCTATTTTTAGTGCCCTGATCAGACCAGGACGCTTTGATATGCAAGTGACTGTTCCCAAACCAGATGTCAAAGGTCGCACAGAAATCCTCAACTGGTATCTCAAAAAGATTAAAGTGGACCCAGGTAATGACCCAAACATATATTTTGCTATTGTTTACCTCAGTGTTACAGGATACAGGCTATATTGTGCATTGTTTTCACAGCCATTGAGGCCAGTATTATTGCCCGAGGCACAGTGGGCTTCTCAGGTGCTGACCTGGAAAATCTGGTGAACCAGGCAGCCCTGAAGGCAGCTGTTGATGAGAAAGATATGGTTACATTGAAAGAGCTGGAGTTTGCTAAAGACAAAATTCTCATGGGTGAGCTAAAAGTGTGGGACAAAACACAAAGCGATCATTGTCTTGTTCATGTTTTACTGTACAAGTTACAACAACCCTGATGTGTATGCTTACTGCATATATATTTTAGGTCCTGAAAGAAGGAGTGCAGAAATTGACAAGAAAAACAAGGAAATAACTGCATATCACGAATCAGGCCATGCAATTGTAGCATATTACACCAAAGATGCTATGCCAATCAATAAGGCTACCATCATGCCAAGAGGACCCAGCCTGGGACATGTAAGAAATCCCACGGTCAGAATTCAGTATGACCCTTTACATCACAATGTATTATGAGTTAATGTGGATTATTTAGGTGTCCATGCTCCCTGAGAATGACCGCTGGAGTGAGACCCGCTCCCAGCTGTTGGCCCAGATGGATGTGAGTATGGGTGGGCGTGTGGCAGAGGAGATGCAGTTTGGACCAGAAAACATCACAACAGGTTAGAAAGACTATGACGAGCAATACAACAGGTGTCTTAGTTGGTCTTAAAAAAATGTAATGTAAAAATGTGTCTTAATTTCAGGAGCATCTAGTGACTTTGATGCTGCCACCAGGATTGCAAGGATGATGGTGACCAGATATGGAATGTGTGACAAGGTTAGCAAACAGAAAAAAAGCTTAACTATACAAGTGCATACCCTAGTTTGTTCATACAGACTTTCTGCCTCTTTTTCAGTTGGGAGTAATGACCTATAGAGACATGACGGAGCAAAGCCCAGAGACACAGGCTGCTGTGGAGCAAGAAGTCAGACAGCTTCTGAAGGTCTGTGTCCTGTATATTTACATATGAGAGAAAGACATGTACATGCATGCACATTTTATATTGTTTTTGTTATTTTTAGGAATCTTATGAACGTGCCAAAGCTCTTTTGAAATCTCGCACTAAAGAGCACAAAAGTCTGGCAGATGCCCTGCTCATGTATGAGACACTAGATGCCAAAGAAATTAAAATGGTCTTGGACGGCAAGGCTCTGGAGAGCAGATAAGACCAGACACTACTGATGGGACAGCAGAAAACAATACCACACACCATCTCAAGTCAGTCAGTGCTCAAACTATTTAATGCTGTCACTGAAGATGAAAGAATATTCTTCTGTCTTTCTCAGGTCACTTAGTAAGTGTTAGAAAATAGTGAATGTACATTTACACAAATGTTAAGTTTGGGTCTGTGGAATCCAGTTGTGACATGTAGGTGCTTATTGACATCAGAACAGGTGTCCAACTGGATGTCACAAAAATCTTACATTCTCGCTGTTCAAATTCCAAATCTTGCTGCATTGAACTCGTACTTAATTTTATTAAGTAGCCACAAAATGGATAAACTGCTGTCTGCATCAGATGTGGGAAATGTTTGTGGATATGCACTTATGCACTCTAATGTCAATAGTGTATTTTAAAGTTGTGTGTACAGATATTTGTTAATTAAAATGTTACCCAGACTCAAAACTGTTCAATTGTCAATTTGGCTCCTCAAAACAGTACAAAAGAAATGGATTCTCACATTTAGAGCCCTATACTTTGTTGTCAAAATTGCTGACAATATGTGAATTATTGTAGGAGAGATGATGGTTGGTGAACTGAAGCTGTGTATTTCCTTCATGATGTGGCTACGGCTTTATCATTTTTATGGTAATGTTTAAACTGGGTCAAGTGTGAATAAATTTGATGAAAACATAAAGGGTGTGTTGATGGATCATACTTTATATAAAACAAGTTCTCTTCAAGGATTCAGGAGGTAGGATAGTATAGAAAAAAACGTATTCCTCATTTGTATTTTATTTAGAAATAAATGCAGTGAATTTTTCAGAAGATAATGACAAGAATTGTATTATTATGTATATTTTTTTTATTTTACTATGCAAAAAAACACACATCTAATATTGTAAATTATTTTAAAATTTAAGCCAGTGACCCCACAAGAGAGAGAAACACAGGTAAGAACACCAGACCATGCACCAGACCAAATGAGATGACAAGAAATACAATTTTAAAGAAGGTCCTAAATATGTAACTCCCAGACATGGACAGCACGACCACTCCTAAGATGGTGGACAGTGCTCCTTGTAATATTGGAAAACCTAAATGGGCCAAAGAGTCAATAGCTTTCTTATTGGCATCCGACTTGGGGCTGGAGACAAAGGCATAAGTAATATGTGTTGAAAAGTCCACAGAAAATCCAATGCACATGACTAGGTTAATGAGAGATATTGAGTCTAGACTTACACCCCATAGTGACATAAAACCAGCCACACCAACTACTACTGAGCCAATGGCAAAAGCTACCCAAATGCAACAAATCAGGTTAGGGATGAAGAGAAATGCTATAACCAGCATTGCTACTACTGCTATCATTATGGTTTGAATTGCATTGTCTGTTACCACTGTGTACTGGTCATAATAGATAAATAAAGGGTGGTAGACTAGTAGCTCAATAGGACATGTGTCTGCTGTTGTCCTTAGTCCAACCATTGCATCTTTCACTATTGTTCTATCTAGAGTCTGTATGAAGAAACGAGATGCTTGAATTTCATAGTTTTCTGTCAAGTTGATGTCTTGTTTAAACTCAGGATATAGGTCCAAGAATTGGCTTAAGCTGCTTTTATAAAACTCATGGGTGGTTAGGTTCAGATTAGTTTCATTTGCGTATTCTTGAAATGCAAGGAACCATGCCTGAGTACTATTGACATAAGGTAGGTTTTCAAATGTCAAAATACAACTGTGGAGTTTTTCATATTCCTCTTCATCCCAGTATGGAAAAGGCTGCTTCACAGCTACCATGACATTACAGCTATAATCTGAAAAGTACTCTTTTTGGCTTTGGTAGAAATCTAAAATGTAAGAGTTATCTAATGCGAGATTCCTTATGTCTAGTCCTTCTTTAATGGTCAGGCATCCAAACACACTTACAGCTAAATAGGCAGCATAGATGACAAAAACAAATGCTTTTATGAACTTGTGGGTCAAAAATGGCCCATAAAATCTCTGAAAGAAAGAACTCACGGGCTCTCCTGGTTCCTTTTCAGTCATCCGATTATAACCTCCTCCAATGCAGCAAAGACTAAATACTTTTGAACTACTTGACGGCAGATCTTCAGGCACTTTCATACAGGTAAACCAGTGTCTATTGCCTGCTTCCCTTTGGCCATTCAAAGCCATGCATGCCCCTAAAAATGTGATGCTGTACAGGTAGCAGAATACGACAGAGACCCCAGCGTACAGGCAGAAGGACTGGACTGAGCCAAACGGAGAGGTGTAGCCAAGAAAGAGAGCCAGAGCGTCGGTGATGGAGGTTATGGTTATGGACACTGCTGCTTCACTGTAGGTTTGGGATAATCGTCTAGGGACACTGTCTAAAACACGCGTCCTCTGCCAGCACGAGGTCATGATGAACATATCATCAAGGCCAGTACCTGCATGGGGAAGAGGGAAGGACCAGAGGTCCACAGGTGTTACTTTTATTGCTAAACAATAAATAACTTCTATTTTGCTATCAGAAAAGCCACATAGAGTACATTTAAGAAGGACCTAGATACTAAAGTTATGTAAATGTAAGTAATGCAAGACATAAAACAAAACCAAATGTCCAGCCATAAAATGTTCAGCCATACCTAATAACATGAAAGGACAGGATGCAGCTGTCATCACAAATGGTTGTCCCAGTAACAGCAGTGCCCCAAACCCGCTGAGGATGGCCAGACCAGTGGAGAGTACCCCACAGAGGGCCACCCACACCTTTGTCCTGACATTATCCAATCTGCAGTAAGATATGATGAGATACTGGTAGGATTATATTGTGAAAACTGTTAATACTTACCTCCAGCAAGATCCAGTTGAAAAGATGATGGCTATGGTGTACGTGATAGAGAACAGAAAGATGACTGAATCTGAGGATTTCTCGAATTCCCATTGCATTGACATGGAAGTAGCGTAAGATACCTAAAACAGAATCAGACTATTAATACATTATATGCAAAACAAAATTGAAAAGGTTTGTATGAAAAAAAAGCTTACCTGGACAGAGGTTGACTGATTTGAGAGTAAAGTTAGAAAATTTTCCAACCAGATATCAGCTGTTGCTTTGTCAGTTTCTAAATAGTAAATCAGGTGTATTGCTTCAGCACTTTGAACTATCGAGCTATTTATGTTTAAGTCTACATTTCCCAGAATTGTAAACAAAGGTAGACTTCCATTTTCAGAGTTGTACCATGGAAAAGTCAAGTTAACTGAGTCTATATTATGGGCATTGTAGTTGATAAGCTCTAGGATATTGTTTGAACTGCAACGTCCATTTACGAGAGCACAAACATCAGAATAATCAGAAGTGCCATTGGCCAATTGCACCTTCATGCTTTTAATTTGAAAGTCCAACTCAATTACTTCCTCTAGTGATTTAATTGACAAAATATTAGTATCAGTTGCAGCAATAAAAGTAGCATAGGTTCCATCTGTGGTCATTCTCAAACTTGAAAACCCTGTGCTGTTTCTTGGAAAAGTTTCTTGCATGTATTTTCTCTCCATCTTAGCATGTCCATTTAAAGGTGTAAATTGCTCTTCAATATTGTTTGATGTCCGGGTCTTGAGAAAGTAAAACCCACTTCCGAGACCAATGGAAAAAAAGATTGGAGTGAACAAGAACCACCAAGGATGTCTGCCAATGAAGTATCCCAAGGATTTATAACCTGCTCTGAAGTTTCTCTCAATGCAGTCTGTATAGAAGCTGCCCATTATAGAATCAAAAGACTGCCCAAAACTGAAGCCGGTCACTCAGAGTTATGGACTAGTTGCTGACATCTAGTTACCTGTCTTTATAAGGGTTCCCTCCTGAGCTCAAATTTGCATGATTACAGACTCTGACTTAACAGACAGAGGCTAGTTGTATCTTAATTGTTATTTAAGAATAGTTACCTCTTTAAGTTTAGCACCAAGTGCTTTTTATGGTTGAGGTAACACACACAAAGATGCCTAGTGCTATTGTTCTGTAACCTGGCTTTGGGAGATACACCATAAAAATTCTCAATACAGTCCAAATAAAACATATAAATTAAATTAAACACAAAATTAAATAAATTGGCTTTTACTGTAACAACACACTCTATAGTCTATCCTTTCAACTAGTAGGCTACATAAACAGTCACCTTTTGAAATTTGTTATGTTTTTAAAGGATTATATTTTGGCAGATGTGGGTAGCTGTTACATAAACGGATAGACTTTTTTGAAGAAATTGTATTTTTCATAGAAGTTTTCTGACTTCTCCACAAGAGGCTACGCTTACTAAATGTACTTGTTACTCTACCCACTGTTCGGATTTTAATTACACTTTATGTCCTGTCACACATCAGTCACATAGGTTTATATTCTTTTTAACCTAAACTTCTTCTTCTTCTTTTTTTTTTTTTTTTACTTAGGCTACTTGAGTCCTATTTTGGACTTTTTTTTATTCCTACTTGAGTAACATTAAATTATTATTATTACTTTTATTTGAGTGGAGATCTTGGCTAAACCATAGTCTATATGCATGCATTGTACTTTACCCACCTCTGTATTTGGGGGTCAAAGTAATAAAACATTAAAAATAACATTAAAAATAAAACATAAAAAATGACCATTACATTATTTACTGGTGACGTCACTCACGGTGCGGAAGTTGCGCGAGCTGAACAAACTGTCAGCGGAGCCTGCTAGGTGCTACTGCTGCTGCTACGGCTCTAAAAACAAGTTAAACATTTCCATAGACATCCACAAGTCAAGATCCGGACTATTATCACAGGGATATGGATGAAGACGTGTTGACGACTCTGAAACTATTGATAATCGGTGAAAGTGGGGTCGGAAAGTCCAGGTTTGTGGATTTTTGCATTAGCGGAGCCTGTAGCTAGCCTGTTGTAATGTTGACATTCTTGTTTGTTATGTAAGTTTATTGCTGCTTAGGTGCTGAGCCTTGGAGGTCCATTTTGTTCTCTCAAATTAACTCATCTTTTATTAGTGTTATTGTATGATGGAAAGCATAACTAAACGTACAGCACCACAGGGACATTTTTTTTTTTAAACTTTATGTGCTATTGTGTTTATTAAGTTTATTATTGTCTTGTTAATCTGATCTTATTTCAAGTGTATTTTAGTCTTTCCTCATCGCTGCTATTCAGACATGCTCTGAATATGTTTGTATATTTTACAGCCTTCTTCTGAGGTTCACAGATGACACTTTTGATCCAGAGCAGACTGCCACAATAGGTTTGTAGTGTCCACTGTACACAATAACACAGCCTATCCACTGTAAAGCCCAAACACACCTGAGTACGTCCTTCTCCTTTCACTCACAGGTGTGGACTTTAAAGTAAAGACTATTGCCATAGATGGAAACAGAGCCAAACTCGCTATATGGGTAAGAATACACAGTAGATCATTGTGTACTTATGCTTTGTGTTAAAAATATAATGTAGATCACTGTTTGTCCAGATGGGGGCGACATCGTTCATTAAAACATCACCATCAAACATCAAATGTTCCTTATGTCTGAGATGTTTTAGAAAACCTTCACTCATTACATTAGAATGTGATTTTGGTTTGGCGACTTAAGTGAAGTGTGTCTTGTCTTAACCAGGACACAGCGGGACAGGAAAGATTTCGGACCCTGACTCCCAGCTACTACCGTGGTGCACAGGGTGTCATTTTAGGTATTATTCATTTAAAACTGTCAATTAATTTAATGTATTTACAATATCTACACCATTCCTTCTTTATTTATTGAATATTATTATTATCGTTTTTACAGTGTATGATGTCACCAAGCGTGACACTTTTACAAGACTTGACAACTGGTTGAATGAACTGGAGACCTACACAACACGGAATGACATTGTGAAAATGCTTGTTGGGAATAAAATTGACAGAGTGAGTTGGTATAATTCCTGTTCTTATTCTATATGTTGTAGATTTAAAAATAGAAAATTGCATCAAAACTTTTTAATAATTTAACAATTTTTGCAGGAAGATCATGAAGTGGACAGAAATGAAGGACTGAAATTTGCAAGAAAACACTCCATGCTGTTTATTGGTTTGTATGCTGTTTGATGTGAAATATCCTGAAGGAAGTTGTGGTCTTGAAAACTAAACATGGTGGACTTGAACATCAGAATACTTATTTCATAGTTGGTGATGATCAAGACATTGCGTCACAAACCACTATATGGAGTTAAGCTCTGTAGCCTAGTGTATACCACTTGAGCAGGCTAAACCTCTGTTGAAAGATGCAGCCTCCGCAGCAGAAATACATTATGATTAAAATCTGGGATTTCATTTATCGAGTCCACGTCTGCACATGTTTTTGATTCTCATCTTCACTTGCTCCTCTCTTGAAATTAGGTTAGTATTTTGTAAAGTTTCCATCTTAAATGGCAAATTTAAGGCATTTTAAAAAGGGTTGGGTAGAAGATGTCATGAAGTTTATCCACTGCAAGGACATCTTCATCCTCCTGTCTTAAAGTAATGAAGTTATCTTGTACTCCATTTGTATGTCATCTTTGTCAAGTCAAAGTTATTTTAAACCCTCCTTCATTACTTTGGAGAAAGACTCTGTTTTAAATTTGTAACCCTGTGTGTCTCATTGTTTTTCAGTTTTGTAACATTTTGGACAGGTCTCTATATTTTCACTGATCTCATAAATCTTGGTGTCCCTCCTCTTTGTTCAGAGGCCAGTGCAAAAACCAAAGACGGAGTCCAGTGTGCCTTCGAGGAGCTGGTGGAGAAGATCCTGCAGACTCCAGGCCTGTGGGAGAGTGACCACCAGGGTCAGAAGGTGACCCTAGGGGTGCAGGAGCAAAGCCAGGGCGGTGCATGTGGAGGCTACTGCTCCATACCATGAAAAGGACACCTCAGTGCAATCTGACCCAATGGCTACAGACCACAGACAGACACTACGGTTTAGGTTAAACTTCTGTTGGCCGAGTGGACTTTGCTGTTTGCACACTTCTCTTAAGCCACCATCAGTTCACTACTTTCTTTAAAAACATGAATGAGAGCATTATGAAAAGTAGACCCCCTTTTGAGAGAAAGGAGATATAGTATTTGACCTAACGAACCCTGAATGTACATCTGGTTTGAATTAATTATTTTGGTGAGAGAGATCCAGCTGTACATGATCGAATCAGGTTAATGGAGTAGTGCCTATAACTTGAACCAGTTTGTTGGTTACAGCACATGCGTAGCTTGTCAAATTGTATTGTCGATGATCAGTCATAATCAGAACAGATGTCTCTTAAATCCAGTGCTTCCAGGCGCAAGTTCTGGTTTTGCTTTATTTAAAAATCCGTCACTCTATGTAACTAAGTATAACCAGTACACATTGTTGATTTAGTGTATAAAACTATTTTATTAGATTTCATGTGTAAGATCACAGCAAATATCCCCAAAGAAGTTAATTGGTTCCAATATATTTATCTTTTATTTAATCTTTAAAACAATTAGTACCTATACAGAATGTGGAGACCTCACTTCCAACGTATATTAATGAATAAATATATGTCTTTATTAAGTTTTTCTAGGTTGGACCATATCTTGTTAAGTTACAATGGTGGCGGCGTTTACAATACAGTATGTAGATTTTGAAGTAGATTATACATTTCCTCATAGTTGCTCTACCTGTGTGCTGTTTTGGCCAATGAAGACAATAATCGAACATAATGGTCTGAGGACATTCCTGAACATTTCTATATCGTTAATATGCAATAGTTTTTATTTGTTGCGCTCTATCTTTTTCTGATGCCCTTATCATTGTCCTTGGCCATTTTATCCTTGTTTTTTGATGTGCATCTGTCTGCGTCATTTTAAGCAATAGTTAAAAATGAAATCTGCCTTAATGTAAACTGACTACAATTCCTGTGTTGTTTTGTTGCAATCTTAAATAAAGGACAACCTCGATCTGTCACTAACTGTTGTTTAATTGCTATTTGAGACGTGCCATTAACTTTCCGTGTTGTCTCACAGCCCAACTAATCAAAAACAGGTTTACAATGGAAACCCTGCGTGAGGTGCTCTTTCCATAAAATGTAACTAATGTTGACTTTGCTACACACGCAAAACTGAAGTATAGTTCGAAGAAAATGTCAGAAAGCCGACCAAAAGGCGAGTGGAAAGATCTAGTTAATCATGTTTTGCAGAATAGCGCCTGAAGCGAGGCTATGATTACAAGCTTATGTTTGGTGTCAGGATGTCCCCACATGGAACAAGACGCTCCCCACAAATCTCCAATGAGTGGAACAGCAGTCAACGCACTGCTAACGCTTATAATGCGCTCAATTTTACCAACTTTTGACAGGTCGACTGAAAATAGGGAAGACAGTTTCAGAAACCTTGAGGACTATTGACTAATCACGTGGACAAATTGTAGCTGTGCTAATACCACAGTCCTGCCCAGACTACAACCATTGAATAAGACATTTGAAAAGATTTGACAATAATTTAGGAACAATCACTACATGAAATATACCACTAACTACATTACAGTCAAACACTGCTCATGACATTCCAAGCAGTGATTTAAGGAATGGCACAGGCCAGAAGATTTCACATTGGGTTTATTCAAATAGCTGCTGTCAGACTCAAAACATTGGACGACAATCCAGTCTCATGAAAGTTAATATAACTTAGAAGAACAGAAGGCAATGGTAAGTCAATAACATCAAAATGAAAAGTTACACAATATACATTAGTGTTTGGTGCTTTTTCAGATGTCAGAGTTAATCATAAGTGAAACATAACATTGAGTTTTACAGACATAACAGGGCACTGGCTATTTTAGCATCTGGTATCCCCATATGGAATAATGTGCTAATGCCTACACACAGTTTGCCAGAGCCACCCTGACAGTCTGGACTTCAGCGATGTGAGAGGACTTCTGGATGATGCGGCTGGTGAGGGCGGGGCAAGAGGGGTGGGGTTTGGCACACGGTCTGTCCAAAGGAGGGGTCCTGCAGACAGCAAGGGGCTCTCTGGACACTCCACTGCTCTGTCCCTGGGCCAGGCTGGTCAGGGCCACTGCAGCGTGCAACTCTCTCCAGCCAGGGTCGCCTCCATGCTGTGGCTCACTGAAGAGACAACATTCACTATTATGACTGACTGTGCTTGTACAGTCTTGTCTGATATTAATATGTGCATTCTAACTGACCTGCCAGACTTAGTAGAGGTGTAGTCGACAGGGTCTGTAATAAAATACAAAGGCAAAATGATAAGAGATATTTGGTTTTCTCACCAACATTATCTAAATTAAAAAACAAAAAAGAGAAGACACCGCAGTACAAAGGAGTGCACCCCAAACTGTATTTTATGTCAGAGAAACTGTTGTTCTCATTTTGTTTATAATGGAGGAACAGACAGTAACTGGTCTGTGTGTTGTACCACTTTACCTTCCCATGTTCTATATTTTCATTTCTCTTTGTCCACAACATCTGAACAATAATCAGTTGCAGAGTCATTCTTCCCAAAATAAGGCAGTAATGCCATACTGCTCGACAGTGGTCTGCTAAAGCATGTATTATGTGCACAACACGTTTCCATTTCAGTTTGGGAATATTGCTGTTTTGGAGATATCAGAGATTTTGGCTGAAGCTCAGAGCAATAGACAGGGAAATTAGAGGCCCGCTGTGCAACACAGTCCTTTGGTGCTAACAGCCCGAAACATCTCCGTCTCTGGTTCCCTGAGCCATGCTCCAGCCAAAAGCAACTACTCACTGATAGTAAATCATTCAGATATTTTATACTCTTTGCTACTGAGTATCCACTTCAGCTTCACATTGTTTGCCAATAACTGTTCTCAGCTCTGTATTTTATTCTCTTGAAACATGTGTGCTATGTCAAGGGGCTAGGATTTACAGATGGGATGAACTGATGGACTCCAGTCCCTTATATATGCCACAGGCCAGAATAAATGAAGGGATAGTTGTTTTAGGAAGGGCATCCTATATAAACCTACCCATGCAAATGACTCACTCAAGGGTCCCTTGGGTCGCCTATGGGGAGTCTTTATGTATTTATTATGGACTGGAGCTTTCCCATTTCTGATTCATAGAGCCAACATTACGAGTGGATTTATACCTTGGGTGTTCTTCCCCTACGCATCGTGTTTTTCCCACAATGCTCTGCTCCAGTCAAACAGGTGTGCCATTGTAATGTTCTCTGGAAAACAACTAAGTGCTCAGAAAATACCAATACTTTATATCCTCGTGAGCAGTCCCCACTCAGCACCACTGTTTTCATTTGTTATAAAATGGGATGAAAATGCAACATTGGTCCAGGTATGTTTGTAGTGGTTATGTTTTCACTTTAAATGTGCCCAATAAAACACAACTGGAGTCACTTTTATAGCTCTCTAAACTTTCTCTGGGAAACACTGCACCTGATTTAAGAACCAAAGCTAACAGTAAAAGCCACGCTAACAGTCAGCAAATAACATAGCATTTTATTAGGACATAAATGGACATATTTGGTGAATGTGGGACAGTGTGTTGTGGGTTATGAGCCCATCAGTGCAGTTCAGAGGTGCTTTAGGCGTCTCTAGGGACAAGTACTGAGGTGTTAATGAGCTGAGAGCACATCATGGATCTGGCACTGACTCTTTCCACTTTACCTCCTCCACAAATACGACCTACAGAAGCATGTTAGGTGCTTGGACAAACATTTAACAAGGTTACACAGTTTGACTAAAAATCACCATATATACATCTTTACTATTTTAAAAGTAATGCATTTAAATTATATATATATAAAAAAAAAGTGCACTGAGAGTAACCTTTACCAGGCCAGATAGAAGGGCATTTTTTATTCTAAAAATGTGAAAATAACCCAAAAAGTTAATTCTTTAGTTTATTATTAGCAATGTGAAGTGATAGACCTGTTTCAGACCATACATTTAACATACATTTTAACATTTTTTTTTTTTTTTTTTTTTGAAAAGTCCCTGATTTGACAAAATATCATACCAAACTATATATAACTTTCTATGTCTATAAATTATATAAAAAGTAATACAGCACTGTGTATGAAATGTCCACTGCCTAAGGACATATAATGTCTAATGTTTGGCAGCCCAAGTGGGAAAGGCCCTTGTCTGTGTTATAGTGAAACAAATATTTTCTATCATAAATCTTCAACATTTTTGGAGGGGAATTCACGAAAATGTGATATATATATATATATATATATATATATATATATATATATATATATATATATATATATATATATATATATATATTTATTAACTGATAATTACTGATATATGACTGCAAATCTAACCACTGCAGTTTATTTAGAGGAAACAATAAAAATTAAATAATAGTAACTGAAAAATATCCTATCAACTTTTAATCAAAATGTGTATTTGGAAGCATCAGATCTATTAAAAGCAAACCTATATGTCATACAGTAGCTCTTTAACTGACCATCCCCTTAACTATGTTTGGCTGGGCTGTGCTCTTGTCACCCTGGGATGTATAAAGTCTCAGACATGCTGTAATTGTCCTCGAGACTGGACGGGACATTTCCACGTCCATGGCAAAGCGGCTGCAGCGGAACAAACGGCACATTCAAATATATGGAAATGATATTTGTGGTGTGCAGTAACTGAGGCCTTCCAGTTTATAAAACCAGGGATTTTGTCGTTTGTCTGAGTCTTTATTAGATATGTTTGTAAAAGATTTGGCTCTCAGATTGATCTGGATTTTGAGCTTGTCATAGTATGCAAGCCACTGAAGGTCTGATAGGGCACACAAATGTACACACTTTTTGTAGTAACTTTCAAACTGAATTAAGTTTAGCTGCTTGCTTACAGGGAATGCCAGGGATTTATTGATGTCTAGGTTCTCTGAGGACTTGCATGGAAGTTTTGGTTCACTCAGTTCTAGTTTTACTGTACACGATGGTGTAGTAAATATTAAAGTAAGGAAAAGAGCATAGTTAAACTGTCATCTTAACACATATTCAGCATAAATCCAGAATTAATGCATAAGTAAGTGAGTAGTCCTGGCACAGATTCTCTCATTGCATCAATCTATGACATATGACAACTATATAAACTGAAGACAGACTAATTGACTGAAGTTACTTTTACTGTAACATTTAGATCATCTATTCATTCGGTTGTTCCTAATACTTCAACATGTGGGCCTTAGATGTGGTATATGCAAGACAGGACTGACAGTAAATGACAAAAACTTTTACATTTGGTCAACAGAAGCAAGATACACAAGTCGAGCCAACACATGTGTTTGTTTGTGGGATAAGTCTGCAGTGCAAAAGAAAACCAATAATACCCTCTTTTTGTTGGGTTTCAGACTACATTAAAAAAAACATCCATAGGACCTAATATTTAACAGAGATGGGGACAGCTTAAATGAATATTGATAAAATTGAGAATTATGTTGTAATATAGCAAGTTCTAGGGTCTAGTCACTGATGGAAATGATCAGGTACAACATATGTGAATTTGCCTTTTGGATATTTCATAGGAAAGTACAATGTAATCACATCAGGAATCAGGAAGCATGACATCACCGCATTCTACAGTCTGAAAACCACCAACTCCTGCTTGCATTTTTTGTTCTCTTGTAAGTTTGCAGAAAGCTCTCTCACCCATGTGGTAGACGTAGTTGGCCTCTGTGCTGTATGATGATGCTGGCGACGCCACATCCCGCTCACAGTCGTTGGAGCTGAAGGACTCGGAGTGGCTCCTCCGCTTCCTGCCTGTGCCCGCCACTCGCTCCGCCCCCATCATGTGACGCAGCGTGTCGTTCAGGTAGCGGTTCAGTAAACTGCTCTTGTATTTGGAGGGGCCTGACACCCCATCATCCCCGCTGGAGAGGACTCTGCTCTGGGATTGTAGGGTGCTCTGGTGGGAGGACATCCTGCCAAAATCTGAGGGTCGAATCTGGGCCTGTAGTGGGCATTCGTCTGTGGAAATGAGATTGGTGTGACACAAGAAGCCAACAATAGATGCAGGTGTGTTTAAAGCTCTTACCTGTGTCTGTGTCTGTATCATCGCTGCACACACTCAGTCTCTCGGCGTTGCCCTGGATGTACTGGTTGTACAGTTTGATCCTCAGGGCCCAGCTCAGGTCAGGCTGCCTCACTGTGTTCTTCAGCCTCCGCCGGGCATTGGCAAACCAGTTTGAAACCTGTGCACATTTAGAGTTGTAAAAAATAAGCACCTGAAAATCCAGTCTTTTTCCTTGAAAGAAACATGCTCACATTTGACACAAGGTAACATAATCATTACAGTAGACAAGCTCAAAGTAAACAGTAATAGTTCCCAACAGTGATTTTATTCCTTTTACAACAGTGGGTTGATAAGCCATTTTATAACTGCTATAGTATAATATATTTTAATATTTACCATACATTTTTCATATTTGATTTTATTTTGTCAAACTCACAAATCTGTTTGGTCATCAAAAAGCAAGTTTTCAAAAATCTTCTCAAACTAAATAAAAGCTTTAAAATAATAATTTAAAAAATAGTTATTGTAGTGTTTTAAAACCCACTCTCACCTGCACTAGTGTCATGTGTGATCCCAGAGCCAATAGAACCTTCTCAGTTTTGGTGGGATAAGGGTTGTCCCGGTGTTTGTAAAGCCAGTGCTTGAGTGGCCTTGCCATATCCTGCAACACCTGCCTCTTATGGCGAACTTTGACCCCACCAAGACGAGACCTAAGGGAGACAGAATCACAAAATTCATTTTAAACTACAAACTAAATCTGAATAGTTTATTTACATATGCAAACCTGTACATACCCATATTTCCTATATTTTGGTGATCCATTTGAAGTGGCCTCTTGACATCTCACTTAAACAACCTGGAGATGTGTCTTCACTGTTCAGTCTACTTGCCTCTCCTCTTCTGTCTCCAAATTCTAGCACTGTAGATTTTATGTCAAGTTTGTCCATTCTTTCCAGCGTCAACAGGTGCATACCAAAATGTCCTCAAATAAGAAAAAAATATGTTTCCATACTTGTAAAAAAGGGAAAAAGGAGAGAAAAATTGTATCTTGGTCAAAAAGATGATACTCCCAGCAGCTTCAGTTAGTTGTGTTTGAAAAGGTCCAAAGATATTGTGAGTCTAGAGTGAGGAGAGCCCACCTAAACTTCTGCACTTCTGCCGATTGGCCCTCCCACCATCCAATCACGTGCAAGCTTGTGGAGCAGCAGTAGCACCCCGCAATATGAAAACTATAACACATGTATATCAGCAAATGCGGTCAGAGGATTTACAAGTAACATTTGGCCTGATGTGACTGCTGCCAACGCTAAGCAATTCACCACACTCACATTTTTTCAACATGAGGTCGACAGATTTTGTGGATGTTGAGGTTTGAACCAAAAATCGTGTCAGCAAATAATAATACATGTTTTAGTGGGGACTTTGGAAATGGATGGTGTAATTACAGAGGGCCTAATAATCGGGAAAACCACAGAATGGTGCCCAGTGCTAGACAGAAGAGAATCCTCCAGGGCTCGGGCTGATCTCCATACAAATTGGTGGATAACAGAGACGGTCTGAAGATGGAATAAATTCACAGATGTTTGGAAGTCTTTTAAATCTGGAAAATATTATAACATTTTTACACTGACAAAAATCAAAAAATATAAAGACAGACAAAACTGGGACCAGATTTGAGTTAACTATGATCATATTCATTTGTCATTGTGAGAGAAATCCAAATCGCAATGTAAGAAAATTTGTCAAATAATAAAGATAGGTACAGATATACAGGTCAGATTAAAGGGCCCATATTACACTATTTTCTGATCTATTTTATAATGATTTTCCTCATCACAGACATACCTGTAGTTGTGTTTTGTTTCCTTTGCACATGTTTAACACACAAACCCTGCATATTTAGGCTGTATTCTTCTCTCAAAAAGAAAACACTCCACTGTGTTACATTGTGTTATTAAACTTCATACACTTTGACTACAATCATTTGGATAATTTCATCCCTTGAATTGCCAATCTCTACTCAATGCAAGGTAAAAGGTAGCTGTTAATTTGAAAACTACCACCACATAAAATCACAAGATGAAACAGAGCATTTCGAGCTTGAGAGATGTAGATGGTAGGGCTACTCAAAATGTGTGAATGAAATGAAACAAGTCCAGGTATAAACATAGTGTAATATAAGCTAGAACTCTTATTTCTTGTCTGCATTCAGTAGCCTACGCATTAGAGTATTTATGAAATAACACAATTGCACACACACCACCTCAACACACACCTGGGATTAGAATAATAAACCTGGAACTAAACTTGGACTAAACCAGGCCTGAACCCGGAACTTGAACAGGCTCAAACCATGTCTCCATCAGGATTCAGCTGGGCTCAAACCAGGACCAAACCAGATCAAGCATGAACCCTCCCTTAAATTGAACAGAAGCTTTTTCTTTTCCAGTCAAATAACCCAAAAGTTGATACAGCTTGCCTGTCTAGTTAAACATACAGTATATCAGCACTATTTTCTATACATGTGTATTAAGCTGAAATACTCGGCGTGACATGGTCTGATTAAATAAACATCTGTTTCAGCTTGCTACTGTTTTGAGAACACTTAAAGAAATATCAAAACACCATACTTATCCAATATAGAAATATATATGGCTAAAATAAATAGAACTCCATCCACCGCAGTAAAAGGAAAAAAAAATTCTCAGTAATCCATCAATAAAATATTTAACCATGCAGTCTAATCACCGATCTGTGTGTTGCCTCTTCAATGTTACAAGATAGGGCCACATTTGAATATGTGTCTCTTTTGTCTATCCATATTTTCTTCTGTAAATCTGCAGATATTGTACAATAATAACTTTTTCATATCCAGTCTCTTTATCATCTTCAGGGACACCAAACGTCTGATAAAATGTCCCTTTAGCTCTCATTTAGACCGCGATTGCTGATCGTGTTCAACTGTTAAACATATTAAAGAGCCCATAAGTCTCACCCCTGTACATAATTTACAGATATCAGTGGGGAGGTTGAGTTTGGGAGCTGAAAAACACATGCGTCCCCTTCAGGTGCCATAAATTCCTGGCGCACATTCCTGAAGGAGAGGTTGGAGAATGCTACATGCTAACACACACCATTTAACCCTGTCCCAGAGCTCACCGTCTGCACTGTTGACACTACAGAGACACAGTCACCCTGACAGCCAGGGGACATGTTAAAGAAGCCAAACAGACATATGTAGTTGGTAGTTTGATATGTATGCTATATACTCTTGACTATACCCAAAATTATAATATGACACAAAGCAATTATGTTCGAGCTAAATCCAAAGCTTATTTATCATTTATCAAGTTATCTTGGTTTGTTGGCTCTTTATTCCAAACTTTTATCAGATGAGGAGGCAAACCCTTTAATAAAAAAAACTAAACTAAACAAAATGAAACAAAAAAAACAAAACAAACAAACACACAAAAAACAGTGCATAATACTCTGTCTTTTTGATTAAAATCTATTGGTAGATTGAACTAACAGTAATGACATGTGATGATCTTATGTCTAATATCACCACCATCTTAAAATAAAATGCCCCATGGGCCAAGAAAAAAAAAAAAAAAAACAATATACAGTAAGTCAGCAATAAAACAAAAATCATAAACAAATATGCAAAGTAGGATGTAGGTGGTTTGCAATGTCAAAACGGGGAATCCCCAAGGTAAATTAGTCATTGTTAAATCACTAAAATATTTGGATCAAAATACGATTTTAAAGTATTAAAGTAATATAGTGGAAAAAGTAAGTATAGTGGGATAACTGTATTTTCTGGGCATGGAACATACTACCTGGAAGTCCCCACTCAGGACATAAAACCACAAATGTTAGTGTTGGGCTAAAACCAAAGCTAACTTTTCTCCTAATTTTTGTTAATGCCTCTTGAAAGAAGGAAGTATTCATGACACTAAATAGTACTTACAGAGCAAGTGTGTCAGTGTGAGATATACTGTCATTTTTCACTGTTCAAAATACTGCTCAAGTATATGTCAGCAGTAAAAGCAGATTAAATATTTTTGTTCTATTTTTGTATTGCATCACTACAACCCCTTTAACCTCTGTTCAACAAGATAAGACATTTTTGGCCATTTCTATTTTGATTTAAGTTAATTGCTTTTAGCTCATTACCAAAAATTGACTTTAAAATGGCCCAAATATACTGTATATTTTACTCTATGGAAATGCATTAAAATAGGTGGGCATATTTATTTTAATGTACTATATAAACAGGTACATGATTGAGCCAAATTATCCGTTACCAATAGACGTCATTTTTCAGAGTGATGTTTGAAGTGGGAGCAGCAGAGTTCTTGTTTTTACTGGACGGCAGAGGTGTCTTTAAAGGCATCATTATGATCTCAGAGAGCCTGCAGATTCTCAGAGGCAACATGAAGTTAAAGTGCAGCCCCTGGACTAGGGCGGGATCCGGGTCTGGCACCAGAGTAAACACTGCGACTTTTGGATTGACACCTGACAAAATAGTTTCTCACTAACGCATCTCCAACTAGTTTATTGTCTTTGAAATGAGATGAGGTGGATGAAATTAGTGCATTAGTTGGCATGGTGTCTGCGTGTCTGTGTGGGCTTCCACTGTGTACTACACTTCATGGAGATATTATTGCTTTGTCATGAATGTTTCACAGTATGATATTAGACCCATTTATCTTCATGGAGACTAACCATATCAAATTATAGGTCAGATCAGAGTAATGTAATTTAATAAATGTAAGGTAGAGCTGTTTATTATACTGTGGATACTGTGAATATTATACTGACGTTTAAGTCATGTTATAATGTTCAAAAACAAACCTGGAGTTGTGTTTTGTTTCATTCACACATGTTTGAGTAATCATGCAATATTGGTCTGTCTACACCTCCAAAGCTCAAAATGCTCTGTTCCACCTTAAGATGTCATGTTATGGTATATGGCATATATTTGATTACCACATCTGCTTAGAAGTCTATTTCCCAGTCAAATACATCCCACATAACAAGGCCTATTTAGTGAGCTTTTACTGTAACTTTTATGTGCAGTCATAACTCGGCCTGTGTACCTCTGTGAAGACCTGGGTCCCCTGAAAGCCATTATTATCCTTGTACAAGCACAACGCTCTGCTCAGGCTTCCTCTAAACTTCACATGATTGACACATTAACACTCCTTCACACCCAATTGAGCTCAGCAACTCAAGAAGATGGAAACCCCAAGAATGTGAAAGAATGTAGTCACTGAAAAATATGACTCTTATAGTGGCGAAACAGTAGACCAAAGCAATATAGGGGATATATAGGTCTAGTTTATGACCTACAATGTCAATAGTCTATAATAACTTTTCCAAATATGCTGCCATTTTCAATATAGTTCACCCAGGGCTTTTAACAGACTGTTATCATACTTGTGTCCCCATTTTGTGAGACATTAGCGACTGCTGCTAATATTACTGCTCTGGTGTGCATTACACTTAATTGAAGTGCAGCAGCTGTCAGAATAATTACATGGCGATGTTTGTGACTTGGCAGAGAAGGATTACGTTTGACCACAAGCGCTGGAGAGTTTCCGCTTTTTTTTTTTTTTTTTTAACTTTCAGTCTGTGAGACATTTTTTTTCTCTGCCAAGAGCCAACAAAGAAACTGGAACTAAGACAGCAAAAAAGGGATTGTTTCTTTTCGTCTAATTAGCAAAACACTAAGGGACAGTGCCTTAAAGGTAAAAATGAGCAACAATGGTCTGGTTGTCTTATAAACAAAATCATGTAAGGGAAAAACTGTAACATAACTGTAACATTTGCACCATTTACAACTGAATAAAGCATGATACTTAATTTATAAAGAACAAATTGTTTATTAAAAATTATTCAATCTTAGTATGTACTATATAGTATTATTTTAGTTGTACATAACATTTATATAATTATGCATTTGACACCAGTCTAGTTTATTTTTGCTACTTATGTTAACTTTTACAATTTATATTTCTGCTCTTTGTTTGTCCAAAATATTGTGATGTATGAGCTACTGTGTCCACATTATTTCCCTTGTGCATCAATAAGGGTTAGAAGTTAGGGTGGGGTATTAATTAAGTCGTTACTAAGCCCAAATCATAATTAGTAAACTATTTGGTTAATTATGAATCAAGCCTTTCTTCATACTTCATACATTACTTATTTTAAATGTCACCAAACTTTCAGTCAAACCAAACTATATAAAAAAGAAAAGATAAAAAATAACATAATCACAAATGGCCTCACAAAAGGTCCCAGGTCATTCTAAAAGCTAAATCTATGTCTTTGAAATATTTGATTGTGTGAAAGAACAGTGAAGATTGAACTTGAAGTGGAAAGAATGCTTTGAGTTCAGATCCAGCCTGTCAAGTGACTGCAGCTCCTCCGTGCAGTTGTTGGCGATGGACAAACCCACTCTGTCGGGACCCACTGCACCTCTGCCTCAGTCATCCGCAGCACGACAGACTTCAGCTCTCGGAACGCCACCGCAATATCCCCGTTCACCAACACCTTCTCAAACAGGTGCCCATACTCCCGCTCCATGGACTCACACGAGTCAAGCATCTCCTCAAAATCTTCCTCCTATTTCCAAATGATATTGTTATGACGTGTATGCAGGGAGTGTAGCATTCATAGTCCGATCAAGTAGGCCTGTCACGATAAATACTGACTTACTTATATATTGACATATATTGACTTTCAATATATGTTAGATAGAAAAACAATTTTTGGGAGTCAATATTTGTGTGTGTGTACTATTCTTTGTATTAGTGAGGAGTTTCTTGTTATTTTTCCAGTACTACAATTACATTGGAACTTTAAAGGATTGAATAAATCACTTTATTACAGTCATTACAAATACAAACTAACTACAAAAGTATTTCATTCTGCATGTTTTTTTTTTTTTTTTTTTTTAGCCTATTTTATGTTTAGAATAGTTCTTTTGGGAATACCTTTACCTTAAAGTTATTTGTGAGTGGCATAAATTAGTTTCAATACAGTAATATCATTTATCGTCTATATTTTCTTAAGAAATGTATCGTACTGCGAAATCTGTTATCGTGATAGGCCTACAATTAGGTTAATTAGGACTTCTATTATATTGTAGCATACATGTGAAAACTATAAAGTGACTGACTAAAGCACGACCGGTCATTACATGGTGAGAGAGGAAAGTATAAGAGTGCTTTTCACACAACCCAGTAAAGTGATGTTTGGGACTGGGTCGACCGGTGTGCAGGTGTGTGACCTCGAGGGTTTTATAAGGGCAGAGCTCAAACATGGAGGGGGCACAGGGGGTGCAGATGGAGGCAGTGCAGCATCTTTCTTTTCTACATGTACCAGGGCTATTTCTCCTCATGTTTTGCACTCATCCCAGGATCATTGCAGAGTCATCTTCTGATGTTTAATGTAGCTGATAATTTAGGATTCATATCAAAATCAGCAATTACCTACAAAAGCAGCAATTATTGTTTGCTCTATTGATATTGATATATTAATTCATAATTTATGACTTTTCATTCAGTCAGTCTAAGTGTTTTTTTTTTTTTTCTAATGCAATATGAATCAATTTTTAACAACACGAATCCTTTAACCTGATTAGTTAAGCTTATGTATTCTGTTAAAACCACCCACCAGGACATATGACCCTGTTTTCTCTTAAATGTCTCCTAAACTCAGACAGAAGTTGACCCCTGAATGTAAAGCAGGGTGTGAGCATTTGACCTGACCCCTCTCATGCATACGTGTGCATGGACAGGCACCTGTGCTCTGGGTATGTATGTACATGTGCATACTGTGGGACCGTGTGCCTTACTGTAAATGTGCGGACTGGGTTCTTGTGCTCCTCTTCACAGATGAACTTGGCTCTGCGGCGGGTCAGGCGCAGCTCCTCGATCCTCGGGGGCTTCACAAACACCACAAATGGTCTGTACTCTCTTGTGTACACACGCTTTATGTTCTGTAATGATATCAAGAATGTAACAGTACTGTATACCTAAACTGTACAAGTCATACTCTACAAAGCCTTCAGACATTACCCCAGGGGTGTCAAACATACGGCCCAGGGGCCGGATCCGGCCCTCCAAGACCTTTAATCTGTCCCTCAGCAGATTTTCCACTAAAATATTTTAATTATATTTTCTATTAAAATATTGGTAATTTTCTGCACCACTTAGCATAGCATCGTCTCCAGCGCCCCTCTGCATGGACGCCTCCCACCAAAGCAGGCACAAATGAAGACTTGCCTCTTTCCAAATGCTCTTAAAGGACTACCGTTTTGACTGTTGACCGTGATGCCCTCATCAGCAAAATGTCAAAAATGAGAAAAGTGGACACGAGTGCAGGATTTTCCAAAAAATTGACTTATTCCTATTTGCATACAAGTTAATATTAAAACATTGTGTTGAAATTGCATTTTTCTTAAAGTTTCAGGTTGTTCATAATATTATAATATTTTGTAAAAGAAAAGGTTCATCAATTAAAAAAGATTTCTGTATAGATTTGTGTATGTATATATATATATATATATATATATATATATATATATATGCCATGAGTTTTCTGATCCGGCCCCTTTGGGATCAAAGTAGTTTGGATACGGCCCCTGGACCAAAATTAGTTTGACACCCCTGCATTACACCGCTGCCTTTAGTGACCCATCCCTTAAATTTATTACTACTGTAAACACATACACTTGGGTGCATATCCAGAAGACACACTTTGCCGTCTGCCAGGACTCTGTTGACTGACTCTAGACTTGAGCCATAGTAATAGCCCTTGTAGCGTCCATATTCAATAAACCTACACACACATAAAAAGATGTCGGATGTCTATTCAGAGGTAAAACTGTGTCTTTAGAAGGGCCTGTATTCTTCACCTGTGATGGAGAATGTCCTCCTCAAACTTGTGAAGTGGCACATAGTGATAGTCCACTGCATCTGTCTCTTGCTGCCTTCTCTCCCGTGTCGTATCTATAACAGAAACAATAGCTCTTAGCCCTAACTCTGTTAATAGAATGACAGAAGACGTTCATTGACTCTCACAGGGCACAGTGACAGCATAGCGGTCCGGGTCGGAGATCAGCAGCCTCTTCTTCAGCTCGCTGACGCCAACGCCGCTTGGCCCTGGGGAAAAACATCCAACATCAAATGAGTGCAGCGATCTGGTGACACATCTGTCTTTATCATTACAAAACCTACAAGGAGTCAGACAGAACGGGCTTTGATTTCATTCAGTTTTTTCATCTAAAAGTGATTCTCCAAAAGCCCCTTTTTAAAAATTTTGTCTTAGTATCAAATGTTTAATGCTCAAATGCCCTCTGGAAAAGACATAGCAGTATCGGTATCGCTATAGAGTAGGAAGCACAGGATGGTGGGCACGTACATAAAACTGTCGCATCTGGGTTTTGCTTCCAGAGTAGGATTGTCCAGATTGCATCAGACGCAAATGGAGCAATGAAAGAGGGATTCCTTACATAGCTGCCATTTCCATCACAGCGTTGCACGAGATTGATACGTTACAAAATATTGGGTTTATGTACGCACAACTGATGCCTTTTACAGAGGCCCCAGTGATGGAATAAATAAGAAAAACATGCATGCGTGTTCTCTTTCTGTAACATTCACCAACTTTCTGGAGAAAGAATGGCTATTGTTTCACTGAAAGCAAACTTTACTGTGCTATAGTTTCGGACAGGTTCGAGTGAATGGTTAAGATATCGACGCAGATTCAAAATCCTTCCAAATAAGGGAGTAAATGCTCTTTCCATTAAACCCTATAACATAAACAGTAATACAGATAACATAGGGTCCATGGTGATCTGTCTGCTGCTGTTATAGCCATCCAGGTTGTGGTTTTCCTGTCTACAAACCACAATGCCAATAAACCTTATTCTTAATGATGAGCACTGGTCAGAGAAGAGTGGACAGTAAAATTGAGTTGAATCACATAAGGGACAATTAAAGAAATCCAAATTCAAGCTGTTGCATCTGCTCCAGGACAGTTTTAAAAAACAGAACGGGGACACTTGACAGTTGTCAATGTGTGCACTGTTATCTACTGGCATCCCTGTTTTGAACCTTGTCCATATACAGAACATACTGAAAATTTATATTAATACTCATAAAAGACAAAATAATACCAATAAATGTACTTAGATGTATTACAAAGTTTGAATGTTAAAAATAAACTTTGATAAATAATACTACTTCTTGTGCTACTCTACTTTACTATCACCATCACTGCTAAAAGTACAACTACAACTAGATATTAAATTGAGGCTTAGATACAATTATATTTAAGTATCCAAATTATCAATGGATACTTTGAAACTTTGACTTGTGCTTTATTGTGTTCATTTGTTAAATGCACAGGGCCTCCGCTCCTGTTGTGAGACGACATTAAAAAGACTTTTGGCGTGGTCTGAACTACAATTCCCCACAGTACAATCCAATCCAGTACACAGAGCAGGCCTGCAGCGCTGGCAGAGGCAGGGCCAGTGCTCCGAGGTGATTCAGAAGAGCACCATTTATTCTGACTGTGTTTACATGTGTTTGAAAAAGATTATACCTGAACTTACCAGAATGAACATAGATCTTCATCAGTGCGTTACATTTTCTTTTGATTAGCAGTGATTTAGGTAATTTTGGCATAAACCAGATCTCTATATCTAGTACCACGGTTAATATACCACAATGCAAGAATGATGGAAAAAGTACTTGTTGAAATATTGTTTGGGTGTGACAGCTTGTTTTATTTTTAGGGGGAAGACATTGAAATATAAAAGTGACCTGTTACAGTGGCGAAGTTTTATTGTTTATAAAAATCATTCTATGACATTTCAAAGGATCAATTCCTGTACCTATAATAACATATATATTATGATTATTAATTTATTTTTTAAATTTTCATTATAAAACCCGACCCGGCCCTGGATAAGTGGAAGAAAATGGATGGATGGAATTATCATTATCCCCTCCTTGAACCTTATTATGGTGGAGGGTGATCCTGGGAGCTATGTTGTCGGGGGCTTCATGCCCCTGGTAGGGTCACCCAAGGCAAACAGGTCCTGGGGGACGGGTCAGATGAAGAACGGTTCAGAAGCCCCTATGCTGAGTACACCAATGAGTCCAAATACGTTGCCCGGATTGGTGTCACCAGGGCCCCACCCTGGCCTGGGGTGGGTACTCGACGGCAAGCGCCTGGTGGCGTTCCCCTACGGGGCCCGGCCGGGCACAGCCCGAAGGACTGACGTGGGGCCGCCCTTCCGTGGGCCCACCACCTGTGGGAGGATCCATATGAGGCCGATGCAAGGAGATCTGGGCGGTGGCTCGACGACTGGATCTCTGGACACGGAGACTAGCTCTGGGGACAGGTCTCTCACTGTGGTGTTGGCCTACAGGCAAACAGCAGTGCAGAGTACCCAGCCTTTTTGGAGTCCTTGGGAAGGGTACTAAACGGTCAAATTTTTCTATAGTGCTTTTCCACCTTCAAGGCACTCAAAGCGCTTTACAACAAGGAACCACTCACCCATTCACATACACATACACATTCACACACCAGTGTACGCAGACACTGTGGGCAAGGTGGGTTAAGTGTCTTGCCCAAGGACACAACGACAGCATTCATCTGTGGGAGCTGGAATCACACCAGCCAACCTGTGGGTCAGTGGATCTGACTGCTCAACCTGTGATGTTTTTTTTTTTTATGTCAAGAGCTGGAATCGAACTGCCAACCTTCAGATCAGTGGGCGAATGCTCTACCAACTGAGCTACTGCCACCCCAGTACACTGACTAGGGACTCCGTTGTTGTACTGGGGGGACTTCGACGCTTATGTGGGCAATGACAAGTGACACTTGGCGAGAGGTGATTAAGAGGAACGGCCTCATAATCTGAACCCGAGCGGTGTTCTGTTACTGGACTTCTGTGCTAGTCACAGTTTGTCCATAACAAACAACATGTTTGAGCACAAGGGTGTCCATAACTGCACGTGGCAGCAAAGACGCCCTAAGCCGGATGATCGACTTTGTAGTCGTGTCCTCTGACATCCGGCTGCGTGTCTTGGACACTCAGGTGAAGAGAGGGGCTGAGCTGTCAACTGATCACCACCTGGTTGTGAGTTGGGTTCGCTGGCGGAGGAGGAAGCCGGAAAGACCTGGCAGGCCCAAGCGTGTAGTGAGGGTCTGTTGGGAACGTCTGGCAGAGCCCTCTGTCAGTGGGACTTTCAACTCGCACCTCCGGGAGGACTTCTCCAAGATTCCGGGGGAGGCTGGAGACATGGAGTCCGAGTGGGCTTTGTTCTCAGCCTCAATTGCCGCTTGTAGCTGTGGGCATAAAATCTGTGGTGCCTGTCGCGGTGGTAATCCCCGAACCTGGTGGTGGACACCGGAAGTAAGGAATGCCATCAGGCTGAAAAAGGAGTCCTTTCGGGCCTTGTTGGCGTGTGGGACTCCCAAGGCAGCTGACGGGTATCGGCGGGCCAAGCATGCTGCAGCCCGTGCGGTTGCAGAGGCAAAAACTCAGAGCTGGGAGGAGTTCGGGGAGGCCATAGAGGAGGACTATCGGACAGCCTCAAAGAGATTCTGGCAAACTGTCCAGCGCCTCAGGCGGGGGAAGCAGTTCTTCACCAACACTGTTTACAGTGCAGGGGGAGAGCTGTTGACCTCAACTGGGGACGTTGTCCGGCGGTGGAAGGAATACTTTGAGGATCTCCTCAATCCCACCGTCATGTCTTCTGAGGAGGAAACCGAGGCTGGGGACTCAGAGGCGGACTCATCCATCACCCTGGCTGAAATCACTGAGGTGGTTGGCAAGCTCCTTGGTGGCAAGGCTCCGAGGGTGGATGAGATCCGTCCTGAATACCTTAAGTCTCTGGATGTTGTGGGGCTGTCTTGGCTGACATGCGTCTTCAACATCGTGTGGCGGTCGGGGACAATTCCTCTGGACTGGCAAACCGGGGTGGTGGTCCCTCTGTATAAGAAGGGGGACTGGAGGGTGTGTTCCAATTACAGGGGAATCACACTACTCAGCCTTCCCGGTAAGGTCTATGCCAGGGTACTGGAGAGGAGAATCCGGCCAATAGTCGAACCTCGGATTCAGGAGGAGCAGTGTGGTTTTCGTCCTGGCCATGGAACACTGGACCAGCTCTACAAACTCCATCAGGTGCTCGAGGGTTCATAGGAGTTTGCCCGACCAGTCCACATGTGCTTTGTGGATCTGGATAAGGCATTCGACCTTGTCCCTCGTGATGTCCTGTGGGGGTGCTTCTAAGTCTGAGGCCATGGTTCTCAACCAGAAAAAGGTGGCTTGCCCTCTCCAGGTGGGTGGAGAATCCTTGCCTCATGTGGAGGAGTTCAAGTATCTCGGGGTCTTGTTCACGAGTGATGCAGTCACTGTATCGGACTGTCGCGGTGAAGAGGGAGCTGAGCCAAAAGGCGAAACTCTCGATTTACCGGTCAGTCTTCGTTCCTACTCTCACCTATGGTCATGAGCTCTGGGTAATGACCGAAAGGACGAGATCACGGATACAAGCGCTCGAAATGAGTTTCCTTCGCAGGGTGGCTGGGAGGTCCCTTAGAGATAGGATGAGGAGCTCAGTCACACGGGAGGAGCTCGGAGAAGAGCCGCTGCTCCTCCACATCAAGAGGAGCCAGTTGAGGTGGCTCGGGCATCTGTTCCGGATAGCTCCTGGGCGCCTCCCTCGGGAGGTGTTCCGGGCATGTCCCAATGGGAGGAGGCCCTGGGGAAGACCCAGGACGCGCTGGAGGGACTATGTCTCTCGGCTGACCTGGGTTAAGGAATGTATGCTTTTTTTTTTTTTTTTTTAGCTTTATAGACATAAATCACTAGCAACTTTAGGTCTGCAATGGCTGACACACTTATCTTTCAGTATTTTTACAAGTAAGATGCATCAATTCACCTATTCATTGATATCTCATCATAATACATACCAACCAGGACCACCAGCCTGTGCCTGTCTGTTGAGAGTCTGTGATAGGGGAAGACCTCCACGTAGGTAGGGGGCCTGATGGTGCCATGTACCCCAGCACTCCACCTCCGTGAGCGGGCTGTTTCTCGGGCCACACTGCCTTTCCTCCCGAGACGGAAACTTCTTCTTAAACCAGCTGGGACAGAACGAGAGATGCACTGAAAAATGTTAGACGATTAAAGGGTTTATTAATCAGACCCTCCTATCTATAATTGGTGATCATTTATATTATTAACAATGTGATGTATAATGAATTTTAACACCTTCCATTCACCAGCACTAGGTACACTAACTTTTACTAACTAACTAACTTTTCATGCACAAATAACTTGAAAAAACACAGATCTGACATGTAACTTGCCTGTCTCAATGGAGATAGATACGTTTAAATTGGAACATTCTAAATAGGCAAAAAGATCTTCATGGAGATCAGAAACTATTAATTTCACTAGCATTCACTACACTTGCTCCCTCAGATCACTTTAGATGTACACTACTGCAATTGGGAAATGACTCAAGAGCACCAGTTTTGGAGAACATTTGACTAAATTGTTTGCCCAGCTGAAGCAGACCATGGTCCATGAGTCAAACGTAAATATATTCAAACCAACACAGTTGAACCAACAGCCCTGGTGGTCATCACAGCCACCACCCAGCGGGATGTCAACAGCTCCACTGACAAAACAGATTTATGCCCTGCGTTACATTAAAGACATGAGTATCTGAGAATAGCGCAGTCACGCATGGTTTGTTGTCTGTCTGAGAGCCACTGTCTGCCATGCGCCTGTGGTTTGGCAAAGCTCACAAGGCTAACTCTTGCTCTTTCATGATGTTAACTGCTGCTAAGTGATGGTGCCAGGCCTTTTTGACGTCAGCCATCATTTCAGCATGTAAGCAAATCAGTCCATTTCCTCTCCGTAGACACAAGGAAACTGGCACGCTTCTGTTCAAACTGATGACTTCACTCACCAATGTGCAGTAATGTGTAAAAGGGAGTTATGCATGTGCAAAAACAAACATATACATAAATGAATGAGAAAATCGCATTTGCTACAATCAGGTTAGGTCTGAAAGGAAACATGCTGTAATTGTCAGCTTTATGCACTCAGTCGTAAAAGTTGGGAATATTTTTGGCACAAGTTTTTTTCCACTTTTCTTGAGAGTCTTTAGTGAAAGCGGAGATAAGATTCGGACAGAGAGGACTGATGCAGTGGAACACATGTTGTGAGCCCAGTCTGTGGTGTCCCCATTAAGATGAGTGGGACGATATGAACTCAATGTTGTGCTGCCAAAGCTTGACATAATACAGAGAAATGAGAACACTTTCTGCTGAAAAAGTCTACCTTTACACACCAGCAGAAGAAATGCTCAGAATATGTTCTTCATTAAAAGTATTAAATAGTTTTTAGGTGCTTAAATTATAAACTAAAGAAGAATACTAGTGAAAGTTACATTGTTTGAATGCAAAGATTTGTAAAGGACATATTTTGAATTGTCACAACAGTTACTGATATAACCTCAAACATGTTGCCAAATATATTGCTAATATTTATACAATTCATACTGGCAGATTGCTATTGCTACCGCAGCTTTTCACCTTGTACTGGAGACTGTAAATGTTTACTTGAGTGGAAATTATGTTCATATGACCTAAATCAAATTCTTAAGTAATGTAATACATTTTCAAATAGTCAGTTCTTTAGAGCGACATATAAAAGAGTTTTACATCTGCCCTGTCACTCAAAAGACAAAGTCAGAAAATATCATCATCAAAACAGATGACAGAGACATTTGCCATTAAAGATGTTCTTGACATTCAGTGATTTAGGAGAGGCCAATGCAAAAACCATACTTAAGTCTGAAAACACATTAAAATGCCAGTAATCTTGGTGGTATACTTTTTCTTTGGAAACATAAAGCTGACTGATAGTTGTCTAGTAATCAATATATGGCTCTGTTTATTATTCGATATTTTGATTTATAGGACTACTAAAATAAATGGCAAAATAATCTGATTTCTTTCTCATCATGGTTCCTCTAGTTACTCACAACTAATTTTGAGGTTTGTTTATCATTTAAATAATCTTAAAGGTCCAGGAATCAGATAATAATTGGATTTTGGTGTGCATGTAAACTAAGCACTCATGGTTCCAAATTTCCACACGTTAAAAAGTTCACTTATAACAAAACATTGCATCCACTAGCAAACATAAAAATAATCTGGGTTGCATCACCTATCAGTGCGCATAACCTATTGCCCAATATTTTCCGGTGCATCCAGGTGGCCTTAAATTCATTTTCTTTGAGTATTGATTATATCTGTCTACACGTGAAGAGGTAAACACTTATGCATGTTGCCCTTCCCTTTTGCAAGTTTACATGTCACAATTTGAAGAAACCCAGAGTTCAAACATTGTCCTCAGGTATCTGGCCAAAGATAAGATGAAAATGTACTGTATTAAACACATATGACTCTGTTGAAATACAACATATCTAATCATTAACTTGTTTTGTCCAGACATAAGGGCCTTTTTATGATCCACTGCCTTAAGGCATAAGAACATCGTTTCCAATTCACCAGATAAAGACAAATGGGATAAACTGAAGCCCAAAGCCATGGCCCTGTTTAAGTCCTTTGCCCAAAATGTCCAAACCACAAAGCTACATCATCTCATGAGCAGATTTGAACTATACCAAAGGCAGTTTTCTTTGTTCTACAAGTAAATTGATGTCTCTTCATTTGAGAAGTCATGATAAAATAAAACATTTGTATTGTATCATATTTTTCCAGTGCTCTTACCAATATGAAAGCCAGTTATGGCTCGGTAGTCCACATCCTCCAAGACTGGAAAAGAAGAAAGAAGAAGAAAACTTTTTCCACCCAAGTGGTTGTGATAAAAGTTGTTGTATCAAATTTTACCCAAACTTTACCACTGGACATTAAAATTATTATGTTATGCTAAGGGTGGAGAGTAGGTATCATCAAACTAGGGCTTTCAAAATACTATTGCTATGGGGCTATGGAAGGTTACTTATGCTATAACTATAATGTTCACATATAGATATCAAATTTATTGTTATAATATTATGCCATTTCAATTAACTCCTACAGTTTAACGGAATATATGTTTTAAAGTTGAAAGTTACTTTCAACTACTGGTTCTGACCCACCTGCACCAATATTTCATTTGAACACACAAACTAATTCCAAAATGTTCAACCATAATATGTTAATAACCACCCTTTCAAAGTGGGCCCTGGAAACCACTACAGTTTTTATACGGTTTAGACTGTCACTGACATCACTGTGTCTATTATTTTGGTATAACCACAAACCAAACCAAAATAGATGGTATCCATGTTAAGACAATGTCTTAAAAATCAAAAGTTCATACCTTGCGCTTCATCTGTAGAGCATGTGGAGTAAAGAAAGAAGTTAGACACAGCACTGTTCTTGACCATGACCTTTCACCTCTGGGTGTGTGGTGTGGGGATGCAGCGCCAAACACTGCTCAAACATGCACAATGGAAAGTGTTAAAGGGGAGGTCTGTTTGGGGCGTTTATAGACACATGTTGAAGGTCACCTGGTGCTTTGGGTGTGCGAGGCTTGAACAGGGCTCTTGGTCGCTGCAGGGCCACCCTCCTGAAGGAAACACAAGATGAAAAAGAATGAACAGAGGTTAAAAAAAGCTATTCACAATCAACTTAAGATATGTAAATATTTGTAATTAATTAATTTATTAATGCATTTATTTATTATTCAATTTTTTAGGTTATTATTCATGTTTCAATTCATGTTTTTTGTTATCACATGTTCATTGTTTTACTGTGTATTACTAAAACTTTACATACTCCTGTTGTCCTTAGGTAAGAAGAAGACACTTAACCCCAATGTCCACTCAACAATATGAATGGCATCCAAGGTAAAAAGAATTACCAAATCACAGATCACATTATAACTATTTTCTGAACAAGAACAAGTTGAAAGCCCCTGCACAAATGTACCTCTCATGAAGCTGCTGTGATGGGATGAGTCCGGCGCGGGACTGTCCATCTCCATGGTGACGGGCCTGCCACCAAGTCTCGTCCTCCAAACTGACAATCTGTAATATGTCCCCTCTTCTGAAACCCACAGCAGCCTCCTTACAGGGGACAGTTGGGTCTTCTTCAGGGTTATAATCAAATAATGCCCTCACAAATAGCTGGGGAGGAAATTTATTTTAGGATTTAAACTTTCAAATCATGACAAAGAAAAATACACCTGTCAGTTTTAACACTGGTGAACCGTCTCCACTTCCTGGCAGTGACGAGTCCACATTTGTCATTTGTGAGAAATTACAAAAATCTCTGACAATAATTTGTATTAATCTCTCACAAATGGTGGGCTCACTAACAGTTTCCAGCTTCGACACTGACTTCATTTTTATATAGACTTTACTCGAGCAACTTATTTAACACAGACTCAAATTTTCCACTTTGTCTAAATGTCATTATACCATCAAGCACAGTTATGGCTCAGAAGAAGTGACTTGCATGAAATGATAAAAAAAACAACCAGATGATACAGTGCGTCCAAGTCTGATAGCATTTGATTGCCTTCCCTATCTGTCTGACTTTAAATTTGACAATTCTGTGGCAAAAATACAAGATTTGTGACTTCATTTTGTTTTACTAAAACCAGGTGCTATTTTACAGTGGATTTGATGTGCTTCTTCACATACTGCTTACATCGGTACCTGCTTTCGCTGAGATGACACTTCTTCTTTGTAGAAAGCAGGGATGATCTTAAACGTCACCTCACCTTTTGATCGAGCCTGTGAAAGGTCAATATAGTCAGATAGAGTTGAGAACAGCCAATCAGGAGCCAGCGCAGACACACACCAGGAGAGGAAGAATTTCCTTTGGTTTCCTGTGCTCCATGGAGACACCGTTCACCTCCTTCAGCTCATCGCCTTCATGGATCAGGCCTTCACTCACACATTTAGAGACATGATCTGTTATACCCTCTCTTCAATATAGAATATAGATTATAACAGATTATGAGAAATAGATTAGTTAGAAGACATGGATAGGGATACACACAAACTGTGGTTGGGATTAAATTGCCAAAAGAAGTGAAATAGTGGTACATTTTTAATTGTTTTAATTGGTAAGAAGATTAACAGGTAAGAACAAAAATACTTTCTTTTGTACTGCAAACATGGTAGACGAATACTACTACATAATACACCCGTTAGTATAAAACAGTACTGTTTAATTCTATACACATACGTACTTACCACTTTTATCTGCAGCACCTCCCTTCATTATCCTTGCAACAACAATGGCCCCAGTGGATTCATCCCTTTTGATAGTTGCACCCTTAGATAAACATAAAGCTGATATAAACATAGAAAATAACTTTGTCTAGACAAAGCATCATATTGCTTTCTTAACACACAATAGAGCTGGCAAAGGTCACTCAAATCAGCATTATTTTGACCAGATGTCACAGAGGAGCAAATTGCGTTGAAATGAGCGTGTACTGTAGCGTTCTTACAATCAGACAGTGGTCTGTAGCTGTGGAAAAATGGAGCATATTGGCTTCATCAAAGACAGAGACAGTGTCAGAAAAAGGTCAGTAATTGCCAGGGTTGTGTTAGGATCAATAATAAAACATGTTCCCCATTACTGAAGCTGTAATACCAAAACAGTATAACAATGACCCTAATCAGTGTAAGTATAACCATATTGTATCCTGTGATCTATGGAGAAATATGAAACTATGTATGATTTGCACAGAGTACAGTTGTAATGGTTCTTTGTTTGTCATTTAACACTGAGGCCACAGTTGACCACTAAATTAATGACGACATTTTCATTTGCGTTTAATACTGATTCAATTGCTTGTTTTATGTTGTAAGACTTTTAAGCACGCGACCAAAAGACTACTGGACGCACTTACTGGAAATGATGTGGCACACAAGCCTATTACTGTCCATCATGAAATGTATTTAATGAAAGAACTAGATCCAGATGTAAAAATGTTTTTAATATTTAAAATAACAGTTTTAGAGGATTTCGCGTCCTTGGCGAAGGATTGATGCATTTGTAGTTTCATTACTTTTTCAGGAGATTTGATCCAGGAAATTTTTAGGTGATGAGCTGAAAATGTAAAATAAAGCATGGAATAATGACAATATCAGGAAATAGTACTCACGGGTTAACCTGCTGATTTACATAAAGAGCTGAATTATTCCACTTCTTTCAGGCTGAAATTAATGAGAACAGGAGATTTGGACACCTATAATAATAGTGAAAGTCTGCTGTGGGTGATAGCTGAATGACCATAATTATCCTGAAACTATATAATTATGGAAAAGGAGGTGAGGAAGCTGAACTCTGCGCCCTTTGACCTCTTTGGCTGGACCAAAGAAAAAGTAAGCAGTTTTGTTAGTTAAATTTAGTTTAGTTTACTGAGCATGATCATAGCAAGTGCACATGCACAAGCAACACAAATATTACAAAGTTTACATTAATATGGTCAAATGGGGTCAAATGGGGTTCATAAGTATGGACCTAATTTATTACCAAATAAAAGAAGAAAATGTGAATCTAGCACATTATAAATATAAAATCACACTTACTAAGGGTTCTTTGGTTTTTACCATGCTGACAATCTTGACAGAATCTTCCTCATCTGCCACAAAGTCGTCAGGTACAGGGAGCAACATAGGCTCGTAGTCTCTTTGAGCCACAGCATCATGAACAGCCAGGAGGCTCTAGAATGAAGGTTAATATTACTTAGACATACTTAGCTTTTGCATGGTAACGATATAATCTGAACGTTAAATACTCAAGTATGGCTAAATTTAAATTTGTATTCTTTTATTTTTATTATCTGTATTTACCTTAACCAAGAGTTATTATGTGATCTTTACCAGTGACAACTTGTGTGTTTGCAAGAAAAAAAATATGTTCAAAGAGTTAGTGTTAGTCTGTTCTGAACAAAATGTGTCATGTAAGAACTTTATAATCTTGGTGTCTTTGGCCCTGAATTACAAAAACATCAGTCAAGTAATAGATGTGATTTATGTTGCCAGATATTCCACAACTAGACACACTTGACTGGTCATTTGGATTCTCTGTATTTGTTGGCAGTGAGAAAATCCTACATATCTATTAGAGAGACATTTGATAATTTGATCATATTAAGTTAATTTTACCTCAATCTGTCTGTTTGTTGGAATGTTAGCCATGTGTTCACCAGGACCTGCTCAGAGTAGTAAGTGTCTGGCTAAATTAGGATCATAATTTTACAGAAATAAACACAGACTATTCCACACTGCCTATGGTAAGTATGTGTGAGGCTCTGCCTTTGAGCCAAGAGCAAACAGGTCATTAAGACTCTTTAAACAAGTCTGCTGCTCCCCTGCTCATTAAGAGGACTCACCACTTCTACACTGGGAGTCAACTATACAATGTGCATGGTTTAATAATAAAAGCAACAGTCTATGTTTTTATGCCATTAAATTAGAAAGACGTGGACAGATTGGCAAAAAATGTACACTGGACATAGAAACTTGGGTGACTAAAACGTGGGTCTATCTACCAAAGACAAACTTTGGGAGCCCCATTGTCACCAGAAAACAAAAATATTCTTTTTAAACTTTTGCTTGTGGACTTAAATTTGACCTAGTAAAATACTTAGGGCCACAGAATGGGTGAAATAAAATAAGACACATAGTGAGACTAAAGAATACAGAGGATAGAATAAGAAGGAGGTAACAGTCAAAAGCTCTGATCAACTTTTGATAGAGCAATCAATCAAAATCCAATGCTAAAATGTTCTCTTTTTTCTCTCCAGTTGTTGGGCAGTAATGATGAACATATTTAGAAATAAACATTATAAAGATTTTGCAGACCTTGAGGTGGGGTTTGGACAAAATTGCCACCAGCTCTGTGACTTCATCTCTGCAGCCTTGATGCAACAGTTCCTCCATCAACTGAAACAGAAAAATCCATATTTAATATCTTAACTTTATGGATATTATTGTGGTGTTTCTTTTGCTGTTTTTAATTTAGTTCTTTAAGCCGGTATTGATAAAAACTCTGTAAAGTTCAAAGCTATGTGACAAGTGTGGCGACAGCTAAATGGGTGCAGCCTTGACCGTTGTCAGACAGAGCAGCAGTTGTCGTCTTGTCAAGCATATTACTGTAATGACTTGTACTGCTTCAAGATGTCGAGCCACACTCCAGAGACACAATGCATGAAGGTCATTAGTTTCCACTGTGAGCAAACAGAAGCCTGGCTGAAGGGAAGCAGACCAAGGCTTGGCCCGTGCAGTAGGTCTTGATGATTTAAGCCAGACGAAGAGTGGCTGTCCCACCAAATCTACTGTAGAGGCGGTGAAGGAGGGGAGTGCTGAGGAGCGCATGGGGACAGTATGGAAACATATCAGGATATACAATATCATTGTACAAAGAACATACAGGAGCAGGGAGATTTCTAGAGTCAAAACAACATGCACTGATTTGAACATTGATTTAACATGGTTTTCATTGTGTGGTAGATCTCCTAGCGCAATATGAGCAATTAATCTGGATTTGGGACTGGCACAGAAACTATTCCTTACACACGACAGTCAATTAGCAAGTAATGTTAAGTAGAGTCTAAACCATAGCTTAATTCATTTTTGAAACTCAAAACTTAAAACTGCATGGTTTTCATTTGCCACAGAACAAGATATTCATAAAAATCTACATTTATATATACACTTCTGAATCTTTGGTGAGAGGAAAAATTAGAAAGACTTGATGCATTATGGTGAATAGTATCTTATTCTGTCCATTTCTTTTTTAAAACAATGTGCACTGTTTCAACTTGAAATTCAAGAGCAAATTGAGAATAGTTTTAGCAGTCTGCTGCTCCACTGTGTCCTTTATGAACTTATCCCTGGCAAATTTTCATAAAATCATATTCTCTTTAAAACAGTTTCCTTCTGAATTTGAAAAATAAAATTTAAAAAAGATAGCCACATTCTCTTCCTGCTTCTGTGTGACAGAAAGAGTTGTCTACATCTGTGAGGAAACAGAGCAGTGCAGAGGTGCTGCTGCTCCCTGTGCTGTTAAGCTGTCAGTCTGTGAAAGATGTTTGGAGTGATACTCACTTTAGAAGCCAGGTCTGTTGCGTGCTCCTGGACTGGGATGGGTCTTTTCTTCTCAAAAAGCTTCAATCGCTCATGGATCTGTCAGGTAAGAATATAGCATCAAATGTTGGTTCTTAGTTTAAAAAATTGCATATGTTTAGTATGTACACAGATTAAAACCTATGTGTTACATTATAACAGACAAGATGCACATCTAAAGAGAGAAATATTGATTAATATTTAAAATGTGTTTAAGAAATGTTTTGAAATTAAATGGTTAGCAATTAGTATTAATACAAAGGGCAGAGAGATGACAAGGCATTTGAAGCATGATTATGTCACATAAATGTAACCTTGAAGAGCAGGTGAATCTTCTTCTCCCTCAGCATGCTGTGGAGGAACCTGTAGTCCTCCTCCTGGTCAGGGTGAGCCTCCAGGCCTGACGACAGCATGATTAAACCTGACATTTAAAAACAGAGTGATGTACATGTACACACAAATGGAGGAGATCATATCCCTTTTACTGCCTGGTCATTCCGTGGTCTAGAACAGATTGTGAGCATTGCAATTATTATATGTGCCAAGCTTATACTACTCCCTAAGGCAGACTTTAGGGAATATTTTGTATTTTAGATAAATTATTTGCTTCCTTGATGTTTACTTATTGTTTCAAAATTATTTTTAGAGAAAATAATAAAATACTTATTATAATACTTATTATTATAATCCAGCCACACTCTAATGTTAAACAATAAAAATAAAAGATTGCACTTACCAGAGAATAATGGATGAACAGCATTTGAGCATCCACTTGTGTAGAGTGGATGAAGGCGGAACTGTAAAAGAGATTTAAAAAAAAACAACAACAACTGCCTATAAATTAGTCAATATGTGTCAGCTCTGACCTCAATCAAGCCAGTGAGTGATCAATAGCAATTTGAGGTTAACGGAATACATCCTCCTGACAGAATCAATGAAAAAACAGAGACCCAAACTTATCAGTGCTGAATGTTTTTGTTTCGTGACATTTGAGTAAAACCCCTGCGTTCCTTAATAATAGCTAATGGTAGTTTGAAGAATAGGAAATAATTACCTTAGCCAGGACGATTTCATACGATTTAGGCCTAACTAGTATGCCAGTAGTATATAGTGCCGAAATTGTACAGTAATGTAATGTTAGTTTAGTCATGGAAGTTTATTACAGATGCATGAGTGTAGTCTCATGGTGTAGTCCACCATTATTTTGAAGACCAAAAGACTAAAGAATATTACTTTGAAGTGTTACCGGAAGTGTCGTTTCCTCTCTCTGAACATGAGCCAGATCCACTTCCTCCTGTCTGTCTCCGCTTCTGCGAGTCTGCTGCGTTTTCTTGACCTACATCGGCCAAGTCCAGCGACTAGAACATCTATATGTCAGATGATGCTGTGAGGGTGGCTTTTGTAAAGACCACCCGCTATGCATTGCTTCTCGTTAATTCTAGGCGTGTAGGTGTCTGTTTGTGAGGGTAGAGAAAGTGAATAAGAGGAAGCTAGACGACTGCAGAGCAGACAGGAGGCCACGGTTTCCAAACACATACTCACATCACCGCGGCCTTCATGGTGATGTATGCAAGGAAAGCGATAAGAGTCGGCGATGGGTAAATCTCTCTGTTAATTAAGTTTATAGAACCTGCTGTCTAGCAAGATTTGCACTTTGCGATCTGTTTCGTTATGCCGTATGCTAGCTGTTAGCTTCGAACACTAGCGGCTAACAGTTGGCTTCAATTTAGCCATTTTTCCATATGCGTCTTTTAAACCACATCACGACGTTAAAACAACAGCTCGAACTGAAACACCAAAAAACTGAAATCTGATAACTGCTACTTCTTGCTCACCCGAAGTTGGCTGACTTACGATCTCATATAACCTGCAAAGTAAACAATCAGCTCGTTGACAGAAAAGCTATCGTAGCCACCGGAAGCTAGTTGCTATAAATACGTTTTATTTCTCAGACAGAACATTATAAAGTATTAACCATAATGTCGTCATATATTTTCAGGTGCAATGACAGAAGGGATTCGCAATCCTACCAGGTAAGAGTCAGAATATTATTAAGCGCAGTGAGCTACGTCTTAATTATTAAAAAAAGGACATAATCCACATTTTTATTTACAAACGTCAACTGTTTAGGTTATGAAATAGTGTTCACAATGTGTTGAGCCATAGCATCACAAGATATAGGCTACTTTTTTACCAATAAATACTTGTTATTTCTGATATAGTGGTAAGTATCTTTGACCAGAAGTGCATTGCTATAATATTCCCCAAATTCATATTTTTTCTTTAATGTTTTTAGACCCACAAATCTCAGCCAAAGAGCCAATCCAGCAGCCTTCACCGCTATGACAAGACACGTGATGGCTCATCAGACCCCACACCTCCATACAAGGTGCTGCGCAGGTCAGACGAGAGTCCTGTTAGTAGACATGGGGACAACACAGCCCATAACAAGGCTAAACTCTCCCACGCAGTTAGAGGAAAAAATGGTGGGAAAACCTTTTTTCTGTCTTCTCAGATTTTAATTTGTACCACAGCATTTCTTACTAAAGATTGTGCATGTCTTTGTGAAAGGAACCAGTGGCTCTCCTCAGGAGAATTCTCACAACAGTTTCCATCACAGTTCTGAGTCACATGTCACTCAGAACAAGCCCACAGAAAGAGTAAGACAATTATGATCAGTGTGACATTTATGATCTATTGGTCTTATTAGGCAACGCTTATTTTCTTATGTCTGTTTAAAACATTTGCATGATTATTTTTATGACCAAAATAGATTAAATATATTCATATTAGATTAGAAGTATTTAGGTTGTTATTGCAATAATACTTTGTATTTAAATCATGTAATTATTTTCTGGAACACCATCAGGACCCAGCAGATGACTGGACAGAACACATCAGTTCTTCTGGAAAAAAATACTATTACAACTGTAGGACTGAGGTCTCTCAGTGGGAGAAGCCCAAAGACCTGCTGGAGAGGCAAGGATGATCTGAATATTTTATAAGAAGCATGTTAATCTTCACCATTTTATGTAGAATGCACTTGTATTTTGTAACAGTTGTGTAACTAAATCTTGTACCGTAGGGAACAACGACAAAAAGACAAGGCTGTGGCAAACAGTTTTCCCAGAGACATGGACTACAGACAAGAAGCTTTGCAGGACAAAGCTACTTCAAGTAAGTATTGCAAAAGTAAATGGATCAATCATGAAAGCTAATTCAATTGATTGTTAATCTGAGTTAGGCTTGGCTGGTTGTTCTGTCCAGAGATGTCAGTAAAAACTGTTTTCCAATTTGTTTTGAGTACTATAAACTTTTGAGCAGATTTTAATAATTTTATATTAATAAGCTTTGACCCCAAAATAAATTCACCATTTCTTATGCCTTATCTTTACTTAACCTTGTGCAGAATACAAAATATTTATTGTAGATCATATTCACTTTATTCAACACTCTTGCATATGAAATACTTTTTCTGCAGAGCCTTCAGGAGACCAGTCCACACCATCCAACTCTGGACATTCCTCCTCTGGTCAGAGTGTGAACGCTGCTACTGCTGCACTGTCCTCGTCCTCTTCCTCGTCTCTGTCCGCGGTGCAGTTGGCTCAGTCCCAGGCTCTTCTCCAGGACCCAGCTCTTCTCCATCAGCTCCTCCTGCAGATGAACAATGGGGGGATGGACAGGGCAAAGCTCAATGAGAGTAAGCCATACACCTAACTCACTATTCAGTCTGTTAAAGTTAAACCTTCTATTTAAATGATATCAAAAATAAGCCATTTTGAAGCTATACTGTTAGTCACATAATCCAGTGGCACTGACACGAGGCACTACTCAAATATAATGCTGGCCATTTTTAAAATATATATTTCTACATATAGTGTACAGTTGTGTGTTGTTACTTAATCTTAAACTGTTACCTTAAAGCAACCTCAGTTCTAAGTAATATTCTTTGGTTAATGTGTGTAACTAAATTGGAATGGATTTGTGCTTAAATGTAGTGTTAGTGCAGCTGTAATTGTTAGGCCACTGGTGTTAAGTTTCTGTGTGGTATTTTGTCTGTTTTCAAACTTAATGAAAGTAGTGGTTGTAGTAGTAATAAGTAATGCAACTTTTTTCATTGAAATAATTTGGCTATGATAGTCTTTCCATCCAGTGCTCTGACTTATGTCTGTGTGCTTGTGCACTCACCATTGTGTGCCTTTGCCCGATCATCTATGTTGTTTGTGAATCCATTCCCCTCTCGCTCTCCCCTTCAGTCTTGGCAGCTGCCGTCACCCAAGCTTCCTTGCGGTCTGTGCTTCATAAGCTCCTCGCTGCTGGACCTGCTTTCAACATCACTGCTCTGCTCTCAGCCGCTCAGCACTCCAACCCAGGTACGGCCTCCTCACTGTCTCTCACCCTGCTGTGACTACTACTGTGCCAACAAGTACTAAAATACTACAAAAGGACACTTGTGTCCTTTATTTACAAGTGCATATGTCTGAAGGCCCACATGGAGTTGCTGAGCCTAATGAGCTTCTGCCTCTGTTTGAAATTTAGCGATTTCTGCCTCTGTTTGAAATTTAGAAATTTACTTTACTTTTTAAGGCCGGGTGTAAAGATTGTTATTTGTACTAATGTATCTAATTCTAATCACTTTTGACACAAAAACATCTGGTCTGTGTTGGCTTTGTTATGCAGTGGACTTGCCAGTGGTCAAAAGTGTTTCTCCATACCTGATTTATTCACTATTAATAAGTGGCATAGATACAGTTGGCATATGAGGCTATGCCCACAGACATCACGTATGCATACTTCTCTGGGGGAAAAAAAAAAACCTTTCAGTAAAGCAGAGCTACTGTGATGCCTACAGTTCAACAACTACAAGAGCAAATACTAACCCTAACCCTAATAACATAGAGAAGAATAAATTAGTCTTGACGATCCAAATTTGTACATAAATATACTAATACTGTTGTTGTAATGTTGTAATGTTATTTGTGTGCTACATAATATTCTCTGGTAACACCTATGGCATGACATCTTGACAACTGTATGTATTATTGTTGTGGCAGTTTGTGTCAGATGCAAATGCATACACACATTGATAGCTGAGTTTTAGTTCTTGCTTTTACAATTGGACAGATGGAGGTGTTGTGTCTGACAATGTTACACTGATGGGGTTGACACTGTTGTGATTTAGATCAGATTAAATTAAATCAGATAAAAAAAATACACAAACCTCTTAAAGCTGGTAAAGTTTTTTTTTTTTTCATTTTTATTGTACTTCTGTCAGGACAAGTCTTTTTATAAACATTTGTGGAAAATGGCCAGTACATTAAAGATGCTGGATACATGTAATATGATGTTTGTCCTCTTGTCCAGTTTCAGCTCAGCACTCCGGTCAGTCCCCAGTTTCTCTAACATCTGAGGCCTCTTCACCGCAGACTTACGTCTCGCCTCGTAATGGCACTCCACAGAGCAGCCAGAAATCTGCCATGGGCCCACCTGCCGGCACGCTTACAGCTACACAAAGCAGAGTAAGACACCAACTGGAGATGTTTTCAACTTGTTTTTATTTTTAGTGACCTACAAAATCTTATTGTCTATTTTCAGGGCACTTTGTCTTCAGGAAAACCAGGTTCAGCTATGTCACAGTTAGGAGACAAACGTCCTGAGGATCCCAGAACTTTCCAACAAAGGAGGTGTGTTGTCATTTGATGTTTGTAAAATTGTAAAAATGCTGGGTGACACTAACTTTTGTTCTGTCCCCTCCCAGCCAAGATGTTCAGGGCTCAGGATCAAATGTTTCCACTGCTGCATCACCACACATTCCATCTGGTCAGTCCCAGGCTGACGCCCCCTCCACCTACACCCCCACACTGGCAACTCATTTTGATGAGAACCTTATCAAACATATCCAAGGATGGCCTTCAGAGAACACAGAGAAACAGGTAT